TAGTTCGGGTACAGACAGACAGACAGACAGACAGACAGACAGACAGACAGACGGACGGTGCTTATATATATAGATATGTCTACAATTTTTACTTTTCAATACTTAAAATCGTCTTTTTTATTTTTGAATGTATTTCATTAACGTCTATCCTGCAATTTAAATATGATTTGTTTAAATATATATCTATATATATTTAAATAACATACTTTAAATATAGGATATCGTTAATTATGAGATACATAAAGAAGATAATTTTAAATTTAGAAACGTAAAATTATACAATAAAATTTTGTCACATAGAAAATTTTGCTCGCTCATAAATCAACATTAATAACATTATTAACTTGTTTTCTCTGTTTTAGATAAAGATAATCTTTAATAACATTAAGTTATTATAATGTAATTATTATATTATTAATCATTATTTTGTTGTTGTATCAATAATTAATCTGTTAATTAGTAATTATTGATTTATAATTCATGCAATATTAATGATTATTGAAAATGAAATTACACTATCGTTTATGTATATAAAATTGGTATTATTAACAATTATATATCGTATTAATTAGACAATTGTACGTACAGATACATGTGCAGACGTACACATACATACCCAATTATTATGACATCATTTTGATGTCATAATAATTACTGTGGCTATCTGGGTATGTACAAACGTACACATACGACATAATTATAATTATTACTTTCTGACAACCAATAATTAAACAATTTAATTATTAACATTATAAATTTAATAATTATAATTTACGAATATAATTCTCGCATAAAAAAAATTTTTAATTTATATTTCATATTATCCGTTAAACTTTAATTTTCTATGTAAAATTGGTTACTAAATGAGTGATTTTTGTAATATACATTATTATTTTGTTGTAATATTTTTGTTCTAATAATATGCAAATGACGGAAGATTTAATTACGACAATTCTTTCAATAATTGAACAACGCAGCTATTATAAAAAGAACGTGATTTTATTATTTTAATATAATACATAAAACCGCTAGACATGTATTAGCGTTGTAGAAAATTGACATTTTAGGTAATACTAAAAATATGTATTCATTCTTTTATATTAATGCTAAGTTTATTTCACTCTTTTGTGTGTAGTTTCTTTGTATTATAAAACTTCCCAAGAAGAACAGAAAAGTCAAAATAATGCCAATTTGACGTCATATTGATTAAATTTATGTCATTTTTTGGTCATGGAAATCTCGATTTGGAAGATGACTAAGAAATGACTTTTAATATTGACTCTTATTACCTGTTTGATTTTTAAAAATGTGACTAACGTTTCTCCTCTGTGTATATACAATGCTTATTATTATGAAGATAATTAAAGATAATGTTTTTCATATTCACATATCATTGTAATTCGCAGAAGAGTTGAGTTATTGTATTAAAAATTAAATTGTTGACTAAAATGTTATTTTAATCGGCTCACTTTTTAAAGTTGCATCTCAATTATTTTTAATACAAACTAATAATTTTTTATTATTGTGAACATCAAAATATCATCAAAATTTTATACAATTTGATGTCATTTTGACAAACTAGAATTTGACAATATTTTGACATGAATTTGACATCATTTTGACATTTCTGTTCTTTTCGGATTACCATGACATGCGATATTTCAGTGCGCAAATTATGTATTTATTCATTAATAAATAATAAAATAATAATTATAGTTATTAAATATATGTATCAATAACAAATATACAAAAAACAATCCAATTTCTGAGTAACATATTTGGAAATGATTATACATATTTATTAAATGATTAGAGATATTTTTATTTTATTACACTCATTTTATTAATTTGTACCGTGTTATCTTTTCTCTAAATGCGTTTCTCAGTTGTGCATCGTAATCAATTAAGCTTTTAGCAGTATAAAAGATCGTAGCTTAATTTTTGTTGGAAATATATGAATTTTGATTTAATTAATTGATACATAAAATAAACTTTCGAAATAAATCTAGGAAAAGCGGAATAGGCACGGAAAAACTTCCACGTATGTACGTTTACGGTCAAAGTAAGAATCATTTATATGCGTATATAATAAATAAAAATAATTTATGTTCAAAATATCGCTGCATGACTTCCACACACGATTCAGGTAAGAGCGTTACTGGAATAATCATTTTGATGCTCTACACGTTAAGTCGAGCATCTTTTCTATATCAATCAGTATGGTACCATTTGAAGAAACAACGACGCGAATGTTTTTAGCATCGCCGATCAAGGTAATAACAATGTCTAAATACGAATGCAGATTTTAATATTTGTTCTTTGAAGTATCTAAAGTGCAGCGTATATAAAGTGTTAGTCTATCGCTAAAAATTAAACTATTTCATTAAATCCGATAAGTATAATTAATATGTGAATATTGTATACGTACTGCAATGTTGTTTTATTTCTTCCATTAGGTGCACTGTTCTAATTAACGACAAAATTTTCTAAATTTTATTTTTTAAGGTTGTTTATAATTATTTATAATTGTCGAAAAATTTAAGAAACACTTTTGCAATGCATAGTTGCATAAATAATTTTTAAAAATTAAATTATTAAACATTTAAAATGTATACCAATCATGCAAATATTCCAAATATTAAGAGAAACATTAAATCTTCAAAAATATGTGATTAAATATCTAATTTACAAGAAAACTGTGTTCCTGTAACGTGCAGCTGTAACTCTGGCATCAAGTATAAATTTAAATAATACTGTCTAATCCAGTCTGCCAGAATCCTTGGCGTTGTACCAATTGCAATCTACTATTAACAAAAATCGTATTTAATAATTAATTATGAGAGGCTCAATTATGAGTTGTCACGTACGTAGTTCGACTTCCACGAAATAACATACTGACTTTTTTCTACATGAACGAATGGAATATCGAATGTGAAAACAAAATATATCGGATACAATTCGTAGAGGAACTACGAATCATCTCGAGTAATGTCGAGAACGTTTATCCAATGATATCTTCCAAGACATATCTTCCATTAACTCATCTTGAAGATCTGAACGAAGTTCGCGTCCAATACGGGCGCAAAGAAACATACATGCAAAGTTACGCATTACTTTTTTGGGAAATATTACATATACTATACACTTACAACTCATATTTACAATGACACTTATACACACGCCTACACTTACACGGAAATTACTCAACTCGGCGGGGCTACCGTTATCACACGCTATTGAATCTGTGAACAGCAAGGAAAGACCAAGTCTGTTTCGCTGAGGCTATTAAACATTGAAGAAGAAGATAATGATCTGAAAGAAGAATTGCAATCGCTACAAAGTTATTCAACATAATACCGAACCAAAATATTTAAAAAAAAATAAAAGTTTTGAAAGCACGATGTATTTTCGAAATATAAATCAGAGTAGATAAATATCAAAAGTACAACATTATTAATTAAATCAAAAATGACGGAGAATAGATGCAGCTACTTGTATGTAAAGAATAGGAGAATATCCTCTATCTGCTGCAGATGCACTTCAAACATTTTTACTTTTACCAATTAATATATTCATCCACCACAGATAGCACAGAATCCGTGTCGATTATGCTGTAACATTATTTTGATCAGTGTGTGATATTAATTAGAATTTTAAAATAAATTATAACAGTTGTATTTAGTAACATATCCATGCGAAATTTTCTGACTAGTAACAGCAGAATTATTTTTAAACGCGTTGTTCCATTTTCTATTCAGGTTTATCTAATTTTTTATATTTTACTGTCGTGATTTACATGCTATTAGATATTGACACTTCTTCTTAAACAATGTTTATTATCGAACAAATGATTATTTGATTCATGTTCTCTCATATTTTTGGACGCGTTCTCTTATTCTTTATAAGTTTTAGTATCAAGAAAGGATAATTAATTTTTCGAAATTTTGCAGTTTTCATTTAGATAATAAAACTTTAGTATATGATTCTTTTCAGTCGTTCTTATTTTCAAACCTATGACGATTTCATTAATGTATATCGAATTATTAAAATACGCGCTGTTCATTTTATTATGTTTTAATCACTTGCGGCCATAATTAAATATTTTTTATAATCATATAATTTACTGCTATAACTTACATTTTGTCATGTTTTTCAATTTTTGCACTATTAAAATATATATAAACAATGTATTTTTGCCTGATTCTAAAGTATTAAAAGTCGACGCTATGTTTCCGTAGACGACACTCCTTGTTATTATGTATATTAAACGGAAGAATTTGTAAGTTGGTATGTTTTAATTTAACATTAACTAAATATTTAACTAAATATTGAAATAAAATATTTTTGGCTATCTTTATATCGTATTATAAATCGATAATTGATATTTTGTCATTTCTTATCATGATTTTTCTCTGGAGAACCTTGTGTTTGTATAAATAATATATAATTAGGTCATTATACATTTACAACGTTTATTCAATTTTAATGACAAAATCCATATGTGCAATATATACATATATTTCGAAAGTTCCCGACAAAGAAACAATTTTCTACGCGTGCACGACAAATCTCAATAACTATTTTTGTTCAAAATACAATCTCACTCATGATTTACGCCTACAATTCAGATAAAAGCAGGCACTGAAAATATTGATGTATTTGATGTTCTATGTGTGTTAAAATGTGCATTTTTCATTACCGACTATATATGCAACTATCGTTTTTATATTAATTATGAATTAAAACTGATATTGTATGATTAATTCTGACAAGCAATTTTAACGTAAGAACAATTTTTATAATCTCTCCTTCTGATAGAAGAGATATAATTATTGCTGGCTAATCATAAGACATTCAAATTTATAAACTGGCCCGGTTGCTGCGAAGTAACTCTCATGAAAACACACACATATATATAAACAGTATTTAATGTTTATTTGGGAATACGTCCCGATAGACATATATTAAATTTATACACAGTACAGACCAGTAAAGTTCGTATTAGTAAAGTCAAAGGCGATTATACATACACGCTTTAACGTCGTTCCGTTAAAAGAAACGAGATTAATAGGAATTACAAAATAAATTCTTGTCACGATTACCTTTTAACAATAAGTATCTGTGCACATTTCTGATTCAAAACAGCAAAATCTAAACACATTCGAATAAAATCGTCAAGTAAAAGAGGTAACAAGGAAAATCTAGAGTTAAACGAGTTATACGAACAAAAAATCAGCAGGTACGTACAAATAAGACACAGATTAAAAAGAATCCTGTAAGAAAAGATAAATTATGTGGAAATTATTTGTATTGCATATATTTTTTGCTATATTTAATATATATTGTAATATTTTTAAAACTTTTCCACAATTTTGATTAAAACAATAAAGTAAAAAGTACACTTTGTCTTAAATTTTATCAAGAAAATAATACATATAATGCGACAATATTCTGTTTAATATTTTATAATCTTTGAAAATTGACAATATCAAATATCGCTGAATAATTTGTTAAATAAAAATAGTAAATAGCTGATCAAGGAATAACCGTAAATTTTTCAAAAAATAATTTAAAAATTATAGAAAAATATAAACAAACAAATAGGTCGAACACATTATTATATCTTCGAGGTTTTAATTGTTTTGAAGTATATCTTGCATTGTCATGTGTTAGTGACATAAATATATATATAAAGAATTTCTAGTGATATAAAAATCAGTAATTATAATATATTAGTGTATTAAAATTCACAAGATTAAGAATTTGATTTTCTCTACGCCTGTATTTGTTTGTTCATAAATGAGTCTTTTAATAGATATATAATTTCAAATAATAAAGTACATGAGTAAAGATACATGATTATAAACTGTTTTTCGTCATTTTTTGCTTTTTGTTTATTTTTTATAATAAATAAATATTTGTTCTATTTCTTTTCTTTATAAATACAACAATTAAAAATTTCTTTTATTTCAAAAAGAGACTCAGATCGATAAACTGAAATTTTTATATTTAGAACGAAAATATTTTACATAATACATAATGTTTTCCATTAATTTTATGATTATTTATTATATTGTAAATAATACATTAAAAGATGCCGGTAGATAAAAACGTTATTCGACCACATTATTCAACAAAAGAAAAATTCCTTTAAGAATTTTAACTTTAGTATTTAGAGAAAGTAAAACATATATGTAGTTTACTACTTAAATACTTATTATAAATTATTAAAATTATGTTTTTTAAATTCTCAAACATGACTAGTTTGACGATTTATTTGTTTTTCTGTCCCGTTTTTAACTACATTAATATAAATATGTATTTCTAAATTAATCAAATTATTTAGTATTTTTATATGTTAACAAGCCATTACTAAGCTAACGTTCAAATGTAATTTGATATTGATTCATCACTAATTTCTACGTGATAACAATTATATTGTAAATTGGTCTTTTATTTATTTAACTAATTTTTACTTATAACATTCATCTGTGTCTGTTCTGATAACAAATGATTTTTGTATCACTATTTTTGTTTCTTTCTTTTTTCTACTAATATATGAATCTTAATTTTTAACTCAGTAATTGATATATAGAATCAAAAAGTTTACTTTTATATTTATATCATTTTGGCATTATTAAATTCCTCTTTTTCGATTACAATTATTTTATATTATTAATTATTTTGGCATTTTAATAGTCTTTTTTTTATAAGAAATAATGAAAGAGGAGGTGCGAGGTGCCGTTTTTAAAAGTTTACCTAGCAGCAAATTTTATATTTATTTCATCAAAACATTTTTTTTTAATAAATAAGAAATACATTTTTTTACAATATAATTGTTTTTATAAAACATAAACACCTATATCTTTGAAAATTATTTCTATGTGTAATACGTATAACTATTATTCATAAAAATTTATTCTAAATGTATAATTGTATATGTGAAAAATTTATCAAATAACGAAAATAAACAGTAAATTTAATATTATGACAATATGAATGTTTGTCTTTGATAGCATATTATCTTATTTTATGTTCAATTTGTATAATATTTATTATTTAATAATAATTGATACAACGTCATACATTACATTGTTGTAATGAAGCTTTGCATTAAAAAGATTGTTCAATAATACATATATAATTGTATCTTACTTTTTTATTTTAGATTTCAGGTTAACCACGATTAAACAATTGACCATAATTGCTCTAGAGTGTTGCAATATACTCGCCGGAAAGCACAGTAATCAAATAAATTTATAAATAATATTCTCAAAATAAATTTGTTGGAAAAAAAGAAAGTCACAAGCAGGACGGAGGTGCCGATCCCTCCAGACAAATGGATTCCGATCCAACTGGACTGCCGACAAATTATAAATGCCATCTCTGTGGAAAGACATTCTATTTTAAAGGCATTTTTGAAAATCATTTATTGTCCCACGGCATCAGACCGGAGCGTAAGAGAAAGTATTGTAATATATACATTATTGTATATTCTTGTTCTAATAATATGCAAATAACGGAAGATTTAATTACAACGACAATTCTATAAATAATTGAACAGCGCAACGATTATAAGAAGAGAACATGATTTTATTATAAAACATAAAACCGCCAGACATGTATTAGCATTGTAGAAAATTGACATGTTAGACAATACTAAAAATATGTATTCATTATTTTATATTAGTGCTAATTTATTTCTACTTTTATTTGTGTGTAGTTCCTTTGTATTATAAAACTTCTCAAGAAAAACAAAAAAGTCAAAATAATGTCAATTTTACGTCATATTTACTAAAAATGACTTTTTATACTGACTTTCTTACCTGTTTAAGTTTTAGAAAATGTGACATATGTTTCTCGATTGTGTAGATACAATGCTTATTATTATGAAGATAATTAAAGATTAACGTTTTTCATATTCAGATATCATTGTAATTCGCAGAAAAGTTGAGTGATTGTACACAGAGAAAAAAATGTTGATTCAATTGAACGTCGACGTCACGGGCTGCCACAAAAATATGCCAGTTGATTCATCCGTATTATGTTAATTCAATGACATAATTAATCAAATCGAGATGTCATGCATTTGTTTATACTGCATACGTGTAAACAAAAATGTGTTTTTGGCAGCTTGTGACGTCGACGTTTATTGAATCAACAACATTTTTTTCTCAGTTTATTAAAAATTATATTATTAACTAAAATATTATTTTAAGCAGCTCACTTCTTAAAGTTGTATCTCAATTATTATTAATACGAAATAATAATTTCTTTAGATGATATGCCAGAGGAACGTTCCGACCCCTCCAGGCAAATGGCTTCCGGTTCAACTGGAGATAATATGCAAGGCGAAGGTGTCGGTTCTTCTAGACAAAGAGATTCCAATCCAACTGGACAGCCGGAAACGTATACATGCGATTTCTGTGCACAGACATTCGATTCTTCGGAAATCCTTTGCAATCATTTATATTACCACAGCTTAGAGAATCATCCTTGCTACGCTTGCGAATTGAAATTTATTTCTTACTCATTATTGCGTAAACATTACATTCGGGTACATTCGGACGTTCTTTAAAGTGTGATAAATGCGGAAAATTTTTCGCGAAATTTGATTATTTTGTACGGCACAAAAAAAGATGTCATAAAAATGGCAAGTATTTTTGTAATATATACATTATTATATATTCTTGTTCTAATAATATGCAAATGACGGAAGATATAATTACAACGACAATTTTTTAAATAATTGAACAGCGCAGTGATTATAAGAAGAGAACATGATTTTATTATAAAACATAAACGCTAGACATGTATTAGCATTGTATAAAATTGACATTTCAGACAATATTAAAAATATCTATTCATTCTTTTATATTAATGCTAAGTTTTCTTTACTTTTATTTGTGTGTAGTTTCTTTGTATTATAAAACTTTCCAAGAAGAACAAAAAATCAAAATAATGTCAATTTTACGTCATATTTACTAAAAATGACTTTTTATACTGACTTTCTTACCTGTTTAAGTTTTAGAAAACGTGACATACGTTTCTCGATTGTGTCGATACAATGCTTATTATTATGAAGATAATTAAAGATTAACGTTTTTCATATTCAGATATCATTGTAGTTCGCAGAAGAGTTGAGTGATCGTACACACAGAAAAAAAATGTTGTTGATTCAATTGAACGTCGACGTCACGAGCTGCCATAAACATATGCAGTTGATTCATCAGTATTTTGTTAATTCAATGACAAAATTAATCAAATCAAGATTTCATGCTTTTGTTTATACTGCATATGTTTAAACAAAAATATGTTTGTGGCAGCCCGTGACGTCGACGTTCAATTGAATCAATAACATTTTTTTCAATGTATTAAAAATTTATTGTTGACTAAAATATTATTTTAAGCAGCTCACTTTTTAAAGTTGTATCTCAATTATTTTTAATACAAAATAATAATTTTTTTAGATAATGAGCAAGAGGAACGTCCCGGTCCCTCCAGACAAATGGCTTCCGGTTCAATTGGAGATAATATGCAAGGCGAAGGTGTCGGTTCTTCTAGACAAAGGGATTCCGATCCAACTGAACAGCCGGACAAGTATGTATGCAATCTCTGGTTAAGACTATTCTGTTCTTTGGACGTGCTTCATAATCATTTAAAGGTCCACATGAATTATCTTTGCAACCATTGCGACCTATAATATTCATTTGTAAATCCCATTTCAATGCACATACGCGTTCGACACGTAATGTTAATCGTTTCAAGTGTGATATATGCAATTCAACTTTTTATGATCTCTTCGACTTTGAATGGCAAAAAAAACACCATAGTGTAGGCAAAGAATCCGTAACAACGAAGGAACAGAAGTTGAAACAAAATAAAAGGAAACTCGAATTCGAATCCTTAAAAATGAAGGAACAGGAGTTAAAGCGTAAGAAAAAGAAGCTCGGATCCAAAATCTCTGACGCGGACTCGAAAGGTTTGTCTCAGCAACTTTAATTTTCTGTGTAAAATTGGCTACAAAATGAGTGGTTTTTGTAATATATACATTATTGTATATTCTTGTTCTAATAATATGCAAATGACGAAAGATTTAATTACAACGACAATTCTTTAAATAATTGAACAGCGCAACGATTATAAGAAGAGAACATGATTTTATTATAAAACATAAAACCGCTACATGTATTAGCATTGTAGAAAATTGACATGTTAGACAATACTAAAAATATGTATTCATTATTTTATATTAGTGCTAATTTATCACTACTTTTATTTGTGTGTAGTTCTTTTGTATTATAAAACTTCTCAAGAAAAACAAAAAAGTCAAAATAATGTCAATTTTACGTCATATTGACTAAAAATGACTTTTTATACTGACATTCTATCTGTATAATTTTTAAAAGATAATTAAAGGTTTCCATTTTCAATATTCAGATATCATTGTAGTTTGCAGAAGTGTTGAGTGATCGTACACACAGAAAAAAAATGTTGTTCATTCAATTGAACGTCGATGTCACTGCCATAAACATATGCAGTTGATTCATCAGTATTTTGTTAATTCAATGACAAAATTAATCAAATCAAGATTTCATGCTTTTGTTTATACTGCATATGTTTATAAAAAATCATATTTGTGGCAGCCCGTGACGGCCACGTTCAATTGTATCAACAACATTTTTTTCTCAGTCTATTAAAAATAATATTGTTGACTAAAATATTATTTTAAGCAGCTCACTTCTTAAAGTTGTATCTCAATTTTTTTTAATACAAAATAATAATTTTTTTAGATGATAAGCAAGAGGAACGTCCCGGTCCCTCTACACAAATGGCTTCCGGTTCAACTGGAGATAATATGCAAGGCGAAGGTGTCGGTTCTTCCAGACAAAAGGATTCCGATCCAACTGGACAACAGAGGGACGCAAGTGCCGGTCCCTCTAGACATATAGATTCCGATCCAACTGGACAGCCGGAAACGGTCGAATGCAATATCTGTTTAAAAACTTTTCCGTCTGAGGACGTGCTTAAGAATCATTTAGAGTACCACAAAATTGCAAAGAATAAGTTTCCTTGCAAATTTGCGGCTTAAGATTCATTTGTGATGGAGATTATAGAAATCATATTAATGACAAGACTGGTCCTTTGAAGTGTAATATTTGCGGGAAATCTCTTGAGAATCTTCACTACCTTAACAAGCACAAAAAGAAATTTCATTAACACAAAGAGGTAATAACAAAAAGTCACAAGTAGAACGAAAATGCATTATTTCCAAATCAGCAATGTGATGAAGGCACCAGACAAGATATTAATTCCCCACAACAAAAAAGTGACGAATTCCCCGGAACTTTTTTGAACATCTTCTCCTGTTCCGACCCTCGAGATTCCGAATTCAAATGATAATTGAAAGAGGATTTATCTCAACATCTTGATTTTATACTGCACATTAGATTGAGGAAAACAAAATTGAAGACGTTGAACCTATTGAATCCAAGAATAATCAGCAACGCGATGAAAGCTCCAGACAGGATATTTATGTCGCACTACAAGAAGGTGACGAATCTTTCGGATCTGTTTCAGGCCTCTCGCAATACTCCTCTCCTTCCGATAAATATGAAGATCCCGAACTTTTAATAAAGAATATTTCAAGTCTCCAACCTTAAAATCGACGCGCAAAAGCCGCAAGCATTGACAAGTAGAATCAAGTTGGTCGAAGGCGAAGAAGTTCTATAGCAAAGTATACATTGTTAAAGCATTTTTCACAGCACCAATATGACAAGAAATTGAAATGTAAAATTGCAACACGGATTTCAGTAAGCTCGACAAATGGTACAGATACAAATGTCAAAACGAAGAAAATATCGCCAAGGAGGAGCCGTTTAAATTTTGATGCAACAAAAATTTCAAACATGAAGAAAATTTTGAAATTCACCTACTCGATTCTATCAAATCCGAGCCATATTTAAATGCAAGTGACCAGTTTGATTCGAATTGAATTCCGGATAATTTTAATTTTCTTCAATAAGTAAAAATCAAAAATTATTCTTCTACTAATGATTTAATGTAATCGCATAATGCAACTTGAGAAATATATGGATGTAGATAAACAAACATATATATATATATATATATATATATATATATATTTAAAATTTATATTTATATATAAATTTATATTTATTTATATATAAATATAACTATATATGTCTACAATTTTTACTTTTCAATACTTAAAATCGTCCTTTTTATTTTTGAATGTATCTCATTAACGTCTATCCTGCAATTTAAATATGATTTGTTTAAATATATATCTATATATATTTGAATAACATACTTTAAATATAGGATATCGTTAATGATGAGATTATGAAGATAATGAAAGATAACGTTTTTCATATTCAGATATCATTGTAATTCGCAGAAGAGTTGTATTAAAAATTAAATTGTTGACTAAAATGTTATTTTAAGCGGCTCACTTCTTAAAGTTGCATCTCAATTATTTTTAATACAAAATAATAATTTTTTATCATTGTGAACATCAAAACATTATCAATATTTTATTCAATTTGATGTCATTTTGACGAACTAAAATTTGACAATATTTTGACATAAATTTGACATCATTTTGACATTTCTGTTTTCCTTGGGTTACTCAAATCCAGGACATACGATATTTCAGTGCGCAAATTATGTCTTTATTCATTAATAGATAATAAAATAATAATTATAGTTATTAAATATATGTATCAATAACAAATTTTGATATTTCAGTGCGCAAATTATGTCTTTATTCATTAATAGATAATAAAATAATAATTATAGTTATTAAATATATGTATCAATAACAAATTTTGATATTTCAGTACGCAAATTATGTCTTTATTCATTAATAGATAATAACATAATAATTATAGTTATTAAATATATGTATCAATAACAAAAAACAATCCAATTTTTGAGTAACATATTTACAAATGTTTATACATATTTATTAAATAATTAAAGATAATTCTCTAAACTAAATTGACTTTATCATTTTATTAATTTGTACCATGTTATCTCCTCTCTGAATGCGTTTCTTAGTTGTGCATCGTAATCAATTCAGCTTTCAGCAGTAAAAAAGATTGTAGTTAAATTTTGTTAAAAATATATGAATTTTGAATTAATTAATTAATACATATAATAAACTTGAAATAAATCTAAGAAAATCGGAATAGGCACGGAAAATCTTTCACGTATGTACGTTTACAGTCAAAGTAAGAATCATTTATATGCGTATATAATAAATAAAAATTATTTATGTTCAAAATATCGCTGCATGACTTCCACACACGATTCAGGTAAAAGCGTTACTGGAATAATCATTTTAATGCTCCACACGTTAAGTCGAGCAATCAGTATGGTACCATTTAAAGAAACAACGACGCGAATGTTTTTAGCATCGCTGATCAAGGTAATTACAATGTCTAAATACGAATGCAGATTTTAATGTTTGTTCTTTGAAATATCTAAGCAGTGTATTGTAGCCGAATTCCGACCGCTCAAGTAAGTGAGATCTACGTCTACGTTGACCTATTCAAGGGTGATTGTGATCACGGAATTGTGACTAATTGTTAGAATGATGTATAGAATATTTTTTTTCGAAATAATTCGTATTTTGCTTTTTATTTTATCCTATCGTTATGAAATTTTGAATTTTTATTTTACGATAAAACTGATAATAAATGACGGAACCAAAAATACAGAAAAAAGAGAAAAGATGAAATATAACGAAAATAGTGTATTGAATTAAATGTTGCAGACTAATTATTTTGGTAACAATAAGTATTCTAGAGATGTATATAATTTTTTATTAGATACATAGCAAGCATCGCATGTGTTACAACATTGTAAACAGTGATAAGAAACAATAATTATTATTATTAACGCAGGCTCATGATTTCTTTTTGTTAAACAAATTTCTGTTCACATGCATATTTCCAAAAGTCTAGCATAATCGGAAAGAAAATAATTATGAATTGATAAGCAATCGTTACAAATCATCGCTGTTAAAAGAAAGCATAGTCGTATAATTCTAATACATGTTGCAAATTCTCTTAAAATTGTCTTCAAAATAAATTATTGTTTAAATATAATGGATTTTCAGGTATAAAACACACGTCTACATCATTGTGTTCTTACACGCACATTTTTTTCGTATAATAATAATAACGTTTTATTATATAATAATATATACTACAGAGATGCTATATCTATTATTCGTATTAAACTCTCTTGCCATACCAAATAGTTAATTACATCTCGTATAAAAACTATGGTAATATCTTACGAATATATATAACGTAATATAATAGAGTTTGGCTCTTATCGATGTTTATTATTCTTTTTTAATGTACGTTATGTCGTACAACCGTAAATCTAGTTGCAAAAAGTATATCATAAATTTACAAAAGTATCATAGTTAAATATTACGATGACAATTAAAATATTGAGTTAGAATTTTCAATTTTATGAAAAATAAATAAATCATGAATTAATGAAGAATATATGCATGTTACAAAATTCACAAAATCTTGCAAATTACAAATTAAAATATCTCTCTGTCATCTTATTTATCTTCGCGAAATAAAGAAGATGCTCTCTTCACCTCTCTAATTTCGCCATAAAAATAGATAAGTAAAAAGAGTTTTTTTTACAAAAATATCAACAAGTTTATACAATTTTATAAATCAGCATTATTTAAAAAATTTTCTAAATTCCTTTTTTCTATTTTTTTCCTATTTTCCGTTCCTCATTCCGCGTCATCTTCATTTTCTTTCCGTCAGTTCTTACATTTATCTCTATACACGATACATAAATATTAGTGTATATATTTTTATATACATCTTCTCGAATACTGCATGAAACGTGACAAATCCTTGTTTAAAATTAATATTTGTTTATTTAACAAATTACCTATACGCAACTTCAATTTGTTTTTTCCCAAGTAGTAACAAACTGACATTAAACGTCAAAACGTACATTTGCTATCTGGGTCTCTCTCTTTCTCTTTTGCAGCTTTTAATGACGGCAGTAGGACTGCGAATCAGACTAGAAATTCTCATTGAATCAGAAAAATTGTTGCTTCTCTCATTATTTCCGCGTTTAACAAATATATTTACGCTTAGAGCGTAAGAAGTAGTTAATAAATTCTTTTTTAAGGCCCTCAGTCACTGTCCTCCGCGTTTCGCGGAACACGAGTCAGCGGTCGCCGACTATCCTCGTCCGAACCGTATATAACTTCCTCCTCTGAGTCGTTAAACATCGAGAACGCAGGATTATCTTTCGTTATCGATGAATCTGCAATAAAGAAATTTGTCAGTCATATATTTATATAATAACTTCATATAATTATAATATATATAATTTAAAAATATAATAATATAATTTATAATATAATTTATCATATTGTTTAAATATTTTTTATTATATATTTATTATATTTAAATAATATATTTAATAAATTAAATATATTCATATTTCTTTATAACTAATTTTAAGTCGATATTTTATAATTAGAGTTAAAAAGAAGGAACGAGAATATGAAATAATGCAATATATAATTTTCATAAAAATATCGATGATTTACAGAAAAAATTGGTTTCGAGTAAAACAATATATCTATACAAAATTCTCCAATTTTTTCAGGTTCGTTCTCCAACATTTTTTGATGAATTATATTATTATATTTTTACTTTTTCTCTTTTTATCCAGCTTTGTCATAATTATTAGGCAAAATAAGTGTTAGATTCTCTGTTTTCTTCAAGATACTCACGTTGTCCGTAGACCTGCTGGAGTGCGGGCGCGTAAACGTACGCCATGGTGTACAGATAAAAATTAAGGAGACCGTAAAGGGCCATGAATTGCGCGGATGTGCGATAATAAGTCGAAAGGCGAGAGGCAAAACTGTCTTCTAAAACTCCGGCTCCAAATTGACGAGCCGTGACCAAACTGCAGACGCCGGCGACAACCGCAGCAAGTAGTGTCAAGAACCGCAGACGAAGATCTGTGAAATGTAAAAATAATTGCCTTGTTAAATTTCACAATAATGTCAGAATAAAATTTCAGAATTTTTTTGCCTCAAAAAATTAATTTATTCAATTTATTAGGGTATAAATTATATGCACAATTATTGTTATATTTGTTATAACGTGATTGTGTAATATTTCATGTTATAACATTTCGAAATTATAATTTCAGAATAGATGTGCATGTGCATTTTTAAGTATATATATAAATTGTATAACAAAAAATTTGAAAAAATAGTGTATAATAATTTGCATTAATATTTTTAGAATATATTATCCCATGCATATAAATATAATAAATAAACGTTTTCATTTTAGCGAATAAATATGTACAGCAGGAAAAATGAACAAATAATATATAATTAATATAAAATAAATATTGTAAATTCCTAAAATAAAAATATATATGTGTAAATAATTATACATTTTTAATAAGCATTATAAAAAAATATAAAAAATGTAATACACTGTATTACACTTTTACTGCAGTCTTATAGCGTTAAAAAGACAAACTTACCAAAGTATGGCATAGATCGTAGTTCGCTATACGCCTTCAAAATAAGAAGCAACAGATATGCAATGTAGAAGCCACCGACTGTGAAGAAGAATACCTTGAAGCCCTGAAAAACGAAAAACGTATTAAAAACGAAAGAACAGACATAAATATATAATATATATTTTTGTTACAAGTGATCACATCTTTTTGCTACTCTTCATCGATAGACCAGTTTCGATCTCTTCGACCGCTTTCGATGCGATGCCAAATAAAGATCGAGAACTAGTAATCTTGAAGTATCAGAGACTAGCCGATGGAAAAATATTTACAGTCTTTACTCGTGACTCAATACAAGAAGAGATCAGAAAGAGTTGGAAACAATAGGTGATTTGCAACGCTATACGTGAATATGAAACAATTCGGTAAATATTTCTTCATCATTCTTGAGAGCTTAACGATGCAATTAAATAAGAATATACTTTTATCATTTTTTTATGTATAATATTATATTTTTTATCAGTTAATAGTAATAAATTTTGGTCACAATTTCAGTTTTTTTTCACGCAAAATTCAGATATATAATTTTATATATTTTACACTTAATTTAAATTTAAATATATATAATTTTATATATATATATATAAATTATATATTTTAAATATACATAATTTTCTATATTTTACATTTAATATTCTTTTAAATTTAAATTTAAAGAATTTTATTAAAAATTTTAAATCTTATTTTAAATTAAAAATATATTCTTATTTAAAATTACATTCTTATTCTAAATTTAAAGAATTTTCGTGGGCATAATTCATCGCTTTTTAAATCTCGAAATTAGGAAAATAAATTCCTATCATTATTCTATTTAATCCTGAACCAATAAATAATCAGCTGTTTGCCGATCAGCGATCGGCATAATTATCCTGGAGATTTCGCTGAGGATCAACGGACTGTACACGATCGTTGAATGTCCAGCTGATTTGCGGAAAGACATTGCGGAATATAGCGAGTTGAAGCCGCTGCAGATCAGCTGCACGATGCAGCTCTTATGTCCACCGTTACAGAACAAGCCGACGAATTACGAGAACCCGGGTTATCAGGTTCACGAAGACAATCCTGACGCCTTGTGCGAAATGAAGTTCAAGATCAACGTCGCAAAAAATCCGAGCGTCCTCAAGAAAAATCCGTGCACCGACCTCCCGCATCTCGAACATCAGGTGTTACTGCCTCACTCGACTAACTGCAGTTTGGTAAGTTCGCAAAAAAAAAAAAAAAACAAAGATTCTATAAAAAAATCTTCCATTTTTTACTATAAAATTGTTTGCTTGCATGCATCTTTCCAACCGAATTTTAAATTTTAATACAATTTTTTATATGAGAGATATCAGCTGAGGAATATTCTTTTATTACAATAAATCGAGAAGACTCTAATATAAATATAAATTCAGAAAAAGAGATAAGAGCTAAATAATATAAAATAATAAAGTATCAATTTCATACCTGAATTTAAATTACAAAATTATTTTTAAATTCCTCTATACATTTATTTTGTATCAAAAATATCCATAACTGAATTCATATTACAAAATTTACTACAATAATTTTTATTTTAATAGAAGAATTTAAAAATAATTTCGTATAAATTCAAGTATAAAAAAGGGCCAATAAAAGCTTTCGAGATATGAAATAAATACAGAGGAATTCAAAAATAATTTTGTTGCACTTATCTGTGTTTCTTATTAGCCCTTTTCATATCTGCATTTATACTTTTGACATCTATTTATGTCTAGCAAAGACGCTTTATCTTTCTGTCAATTAACAGATATCTAAGTAATTTAAGCAAATTTAAATATTAAAAATATCTTAAGTCTATGCTTAAGTCAGCTGTTATAAAATAATTATGACATTATGACATATGGTTGATATTCGAGTATTCATATATGGAAGAATGAAAAATTATGCATTGACAAAAGGATGATTCGCTTTCCTTCATCATCCATAATTAGGAGATGTCTTTTACAAGGTGTCCCATAAGAAGTTGCTGAAACTAATCAGCTGTCATTTTTTAATGCACATGCAATTATTGAGAAAACAAAAATTGTGTTAGAAAGAGGAAAGTCTGCAGTTTTTAATGGATTAGTTTTATATCCATTAAAACTTTCCTCTTTTCAACACAATTTTTGTTTTCTCAATAACTGCACGCATTAAAAAATGACAGCTGATTAGACACCGTGTATCAGTGATATTCCGCATATCGTAATTTTCCTTCAAGTTCTACAAGTGCGACTGGGGCGTGCCAATGCTGTTCGAGTGCCCGGAGGACTTGCACTTCAATCCCGTTCACCAGGTGTGCGACTGGCCCTGGCAGGCCGGCTGCGACTCGTCCTGGATCGGTTGCCCGCGGCCCTTTCCGCGATGCCCGACCCGGTATCCGGGTTTACTGCCGCATCCCTTTCTGTGCGATCGTTTTTATCAATGCGACTGGGGAACGCCACGATTACAAGCGTGTCCTGCCGGACTTCACTTCGATTCGCGTCTCAAGCTTTGCAACTGGTCTTACAACTCCAACTGTCGAAATTGCTGAGGAAGAACGCGCGGTTCGCGAATTGAAAAGCGAATTAATTTAAAAAAAAAAAACGAAAGGATCTTTTTCGAGAATCGTATCTGTCAAAAAATAGAACAAAACGCCACAAAAAGAGATGTCGTTTTTTTATACAATAATATAATAAATAATGTATTTTATATATATATATATATATATATATCTATTATTCATTAATTAATATATATTAATTAATTAATAATATAATAATAGATTAATATGTTCTGTCAAATGTACTATATCCTAAGTAGCAAAATGACGTCATTTTGCCGTCTAATGACGTACGCTTGCTACCTGGGATATAATATAATATTCTATTGTAACCAATTATACTAATTAGCGTGATAAATACTTACGTAATAATTCGATGTATCGAGAACGTAATTGTAAGTGGGGTCCTCTAATTCGGTACAACGAAGCCACGTGGCGAGGGTGAGTGCAGCACCCCATAACATTCCTACTACTAAAAGCTTGGGTAGGTAAAACGTGATGAGCCGTCTCTCATTCTAAACAAATAAAATAAAGTAATTGTTAATCAACTGATCAATCGCAATGATATATCCAAAAAATATAATATAATATCATGTGTTAAAACATTCAAATTTCAATTACTATAATACTTTAAATAGCGAGATATTTAGAAATATTGCAAGTCTTATTTATTTAATGCATTTCCAAATGTACTAATTAATTTAAATATTATATTAATATATAATGTAATAATATAATATATAATGTAATTATATTATATATTAAATATTAATATTTAATATATATGTAATATCTAACAAATTATAGCTAACTAATTTGATCTGCTATTTCAGTTTTGCACATTTTTAATTATCTTTTTCGCTTTTGATTTTCGAATATCAATACCTGTCTGAGGCCGTGATAAACGCAGAGCCAGAACATAAGAATGGCGCAAAGAAACGTCGTTTGAAGGATCGCGTCCAGCATACCGGGTACCCAGGAGTTCACCAAGAACGTCATGGGAAACAGCGGATCTGCGTGTTTAGACAAAATGTAAAATCAACGACATATCAAAAATTATGAGAATGTGTAAGAACAACTTTGTAATCTCAAGAACATATACTTACTATTGTACAGAATCAGCAATGGAAGAAGTATAGAGATCCACTTTTGCTCTATGGACCAATCGTGTAGCGGATACTTTCTAAGTGAATGACCAAACCAGCACTGAAAGCGGACACATTTTTCTTCTCTCAGTTTCTAGAGCGGGTTTTAATTGTTCGCGAAGAAAAAAAGAACTGATCGAGTTTAAAAAAAAATCAACGCAAGTACTTCATCATTGAAATCAAAGATAGCTACATAGTCGATTTTCTTTCTAGATTTTTTTTTAAATAATTCTTTCTTTTATTCCTTAAAATTTTCTTTTCTGATTTCTTTATGTCTCAATTATTAATAAAAAAATTAATTACAGCTATATATATTAAAATTAATTATAAATAAATTAATAGCTTCTATCGCATGGAATATATGTAAATTTTTTTCAATATAATGCACATATCTATATAATATTCATAATATTTTTAATATTTATAACATTATATAATATTCATTTTTTATGAAAAAATATTCCAAATATCATACTTAGTTATTAAAATGATATATCCATTTAATTTGTTGTCTGAAGACGACACATGATATAATAATTAAACTAAAAAATTCTTTTTATTCCATTTAAATTCTTAAGTGTATTAAAAAAATATTAACTTTTCGAAAGCAATCTTCGATACAAAAAATATCGATTCGTTCAGCTACACGGAAACCAAAAACGCAACGTTTGATGATTTTCATCATATATGTGGATTACCATGACTCCGAAAGTGGTCAGTAAGAAGATCAATCGGAACCAGATCTCGATCTGCGTGAACGCCGGATTGTAGTTCTTAAACTGTGAACAGGAAATATGAGGGCGAGATTCGAATAAATTGTCACGTCGGAAACGGACGCAGTAATCACAATAATTTCGGCAGTGCAGTGCTTACTGACGTAGAATGTGAGTTCTCGTATCGTGTATCGCTGATGGAAGCTCTCAAGTCCATGGAAGCGAACGGTGATTATGTAGTAGCTGTAATCGAGGAATCCGAGATGAGCAACGACCAGCTCCTCGCAAGATTGTCTCTCGCACTTCAAGTGTCTAGTTCTGAAAAGTAAAATGATAATAATTGGCCAATAATTTCATATACATTACATACAATAGATTCTAGATCTATTGCGCAAAGGGCCACGCACCAAATACATAGGATTTTGGCTGTTTTTTTCATATGTTGTAGCTTTTATGTCCTGCTGAACAAAAGATGTAATAGTCTCAAAGCTAAATATTAAATAGTTACTAGATCATAAGCTGTAACTTATAAAAAAACCAGCTGACTGTACCAAGATTTAATTTTATATGATTAGCAACAGGGTTCCATATAAAATCCTAGGTGAAATTGAATCCTGGTAAAATCAGCTCATTTTCTCACATGTTGTAACTTATGACTTGCTGAACAAAAATGTAATAAGCTAAAAGTTGAATAAAATAGATAATTACTGATTTACAGCCAGTTAAATATGAAAAATTAGTATTATTTGATTGGTTCTAACTCAGTAACTATCCAATATTTAGCTTTAAAGTTATTACTTTTTTTGCTCACCACGTCATAAGTTACAACATATGACAAAAACAGCCAATTTCATCAAAATCCTATATATTTGATGCGGTTGTCCTTCACTTCAGCTTTGACAACTTTTTTTCTTTATCGTCATTATGAATCTATCATTGACGATAAGGCAATAACTCTATTAATCTTGCAACTTGTTTGATTATCAAATGATATGAGAGTATACTTGTACCGATTATGTCCAGCTTCTGGAGGTAGGACAGACACTAGCTTGCGATCAGCAGTGATACCATCTATGGAGACGCTGACTTGGAAACCTTTGTCATATCTTTCATCTATAAGAAGAAAAAAAACCATAGTTTTTTAACATATATATAAATTATATTACTAATTATATAAAATATAAATCTAATATTAAAATATAAATTTTAATATAATATATATTAATATACTTAAATATAATAGCTTTTGAAAGATAAAAATAGATTAATCAAAATAAAAAAGAAATAAATTTTTAGATCTTTTCTCCCTTTAAAAAAAAATCATAAAGAACAACACTGTAATTTTCATCATAAAATGAAGAATCTCACAATTTATTCTCATTTAAATTTATTTGTATAATATATAGAAAAAAGAAAAGATTAAATTGGTGAGAAATCTACTGTGAAAAAAAATAAGCGAGGTAATTATCCTACCCTAATATAATATAATCAAGCTGTACATTACGTAAGCATTTTTTGCTATTAGTTAAAAATGAAAATCACACGTTACCATCGTTATTCGATGTCAATAGCTTGGCGATTACCCATAATTGCTGGCTGTACGTAGATAATAGAGGTGTCTTCATGATAAATGGACCAGTGGCCATTTCGCTGCCGTTCAGATGCGCTTTCTGTTCGCTGGTCGACGTTATAGGGGGTCCTTGGAAAACATTTAACACGTTCATAATTATTTTGTCAAATTAATAAAATAATCGTAATTTGTTGCTCGAGCATCGCGTGATATTTACGGTATTTTTACGAGATTGAAAAATAATATTTTTGGCTGAAATACTCACCGGCGAGGCCGATAAACACCGCTAATCCAAACACGCGAAGAAGGCAACAAACACCATAACAAATTCCCTTTTATGCATCGAATACAAGCGCATTTGCACAGATCTACAAACAAAATTAACAAGTTTTAATTAATAATTATAAAATATGTAGAATTCATGAATTAATATAATACTGTCAATATTTTAGGAAGATATAAAAAATATTTTGCAACATATTTCATAATATAAATATGAACGTCGTGAATTATGTCAAATTGATAAAAAATATATTCGCTTTTTTTAAATGACCCTTACATTAATAAGAAATATTTTAAAAATATTAAAAATTATATAAATAATTATATTAAAAATTATACAAAATAATTAAAATTATTAATTATTAAATAATTAAAATTATTATAAAAATTATATAAATAATTAAAATTAAAATTATATAAAATAATAAAATTAATATGTAAAACAATTAAAATAATAAAAATAATATAAAATAATTTAAATAATATAAAAATGATATAAATAATTTTTCGGGAAATTACTCACCTCTCGCAGCGATCATGATGATAAGCAGGCGCGATATACTTGTTAAATTCGCTAAAGAGGTCACTGAACTGTGACAGCACGTTTCTGACCTTGAGATTCCAACCAGCGGATGGAAGATGATACGAATATCCTAATCCGGGCCCTTCCATCATTCTCAGGGATGCCTTTTCATGTACTTAACGTTCTACGCACATTAAATTCCTTTTTTACTTTACAGTCAATATAACTAGTACAATTTAATACAGATTTATTTTTAAGGAATATATCTATTTATTATACATATAAATTATTAAATAATAATTATTATTATTTAATTATTATTATTTAATTATTATTATGGAATTTGTATATAAAGCTTAGGGGAAAAAATTACAAATTGGATATTTTGCAAGAAAATATAAAAGACAAAAATTTACACAAATCACAGGCACAAAACACTATAAAAAATATTAATTTCTATTTTTTTGTTATTTATAAAAATGCATACTTGTATCAAATATATTTCGCTATACAAATTATAATAGTTGCAATAATAAATGGATAAAATATTAGTTTCTTTTTTATCGAATAAAGAAGATAAAATTTTTGCTTTTATCTTATTTACGTAATTGATTAAAATAAAAAAAAAGAAATATTTCTGTGCCAAAAATTAAGATATACATATATATATTTAAAGAGATATCTTGCGTGTAAAACACCTGTTATTTTTTTCAACAGAGAATTAATTCTTCATCGAAACCACAAAAATGGCAACAATATACAATTTATTATAAAGATGCAATTTATGCCCTATATACCACACATCGTGCATGTAAACAGGAGAGAAACTCACCTTTCCCTCACTTTATAACTGCGCGACGATAGGTGCTACTTCTACCTGGTACTCCTGATAAAAACCACCCTGCCGCATAATTCGGGGATGATTTCATGGACGAGACACCGTATTCGCCGACATTCGATTCGCGTAATCTCGCAACCGGGACGAAAATACGAGCGACCATACGAACGCGAGCGACGTGATGTATACGTGAACAAGGAACATCACGAGAGAGAGACGCGCGCACTATTGATTTTCACGTCATATGCTAGGAACTACCAAGCCTGCTAACTCGTCTGCGGGAGGGGGTTGAAAGTGGCGATATAAGTTAAATAACGAGGGCACATATTTGTATCTCCCCAGATAAGAGGTTTCAATAGCATTGTTATGCGTCGCACATGCTTGTGTTGCAAAACTAAAATAATAAATGTGTCGATTTTAATACCTTCCCACACTCGTCAAGGTCGTCGGATGAAGGAACGAGATATATAGAGGTATATATCTCCGACCGCGATTAAAATAAATAATTTATTATATATGTACAATTTAATCTAGAATATAAAAACATTCGTACAAAATACAGGATTTTTAAAAAAACCGAGTATTGATCTCAGTCCCTCTCTCTTAATCCCAATACTTGATCTTTCCGTCCCAACCAGCTGTGACGAGCTTAGAAGGTTCGTGCGGATGCCAGAGCACATCGATGCACACTCCGTCGTGTGCTTTCCATTTTTTGTATAATTTCGTGGTTTTCCAGTCCCATATGTAACATCTTCCGTCTGCATCACCCGATACCAAGTAGCTGTTTTTTGAAAAGAAAATTGTTAATAAAATTAATATTTTACTAAAAATATATTCGCAAGATTGGGCCATACTACTTCATTATTTTAATTATGCTTATTCAATTCAAGAATTAATAAATATTAAAATTTTAAGCACCTTGAAGAATGATATTATTCGATATATATATTTGCAAAAAAAGCATTTGCACTTATACAGAATGTCTGCTCAAATCTTAAAAAAATATTCTCGGAGAACTCCATAATCTTTCAGGTATTTTCGTATAAAATTTCAGGTAAAATTTGCAGAAAAATTAGAAAAAAAGTTTCTTTATTATATACGCTTTCTAATGTTTCATATTCATATGATTGCAAAGTTATCAAGAGTGCAATTTTCTAGCATTTAATATTGATTAATTATAAAATTAATTTTTTTGGACATTAACAAAGTGTAATATTATTATATCTAAACGATAAAAATATGTGCAAAAATATAAAAAATATATAAAACAAAAATTAATTTATTATAAACGTTTAAGGAATACTTAATTTATTTAAATTATTATTTATTAAATAAATAAGGAATATTAATTTAAATATTACCTGTTAAAAATTCAGCAATTTTTTATAAAACATAAGATTTTAATATTGAAAATAGATCAATACAAAAAATCACACGAAATTTTAATAAATATTGTAAAGATATGATATGCTTTGCTAAATAAGAATAATATTATCAAATTAAAATTTTTTTTTAATTCTCAACCAAATTTATTTCAAGAAATTGATAATTGGTAATATTATATATATATATATATATATATATATATATGTGTGTATATTAAAATAAATTATTGATACATACCTCATATCTGGAGAGAAATCTAAACCGCATGCATATCCAGCGACCATGTGTCCCGTAAAGGTCTTCTTTCGATTCATTTTAAATCTGTTTAGCGCCGAGAATATGACGATCTTATTGTCCATACTTTGACAGGCAAGCCATTTTTGATTTCGCGACGGCGTCACGGCTGGCATGGAATGCATCGATGGGTCAGCTATATATTTCATGTCCACTGGAATATCCCTGCCAAAGAGAATTTATTAATTAATCTTATTTTTTGGAAATAACTCTTTATATAGGATAAGCAATCATACCATTCCCAAACTCGCAGACTTTTGTCATCACTAGTCGTAACAAATCTTCTGTTTTCATCGACAAACGTAATAGTATTCACTGCACCCAAATGTCTGTCATATTCCTGAGTTATTTCACCAGAACGTATATCCCACTGTAACAAAAATTAATTTATTAATTTTTAATTCAAGATTTATTATTTTACCAAATTATCTGTCACTAATTTTAGCATTGTGTTAATGCAATCTAAAAAAAACCATATAATATAAAATTTGTAATATCAAGTTTGATGAAATGTTTTCGATTAATATTTCTTGGCAAAAATCAGCTAAAGAAAGCTATAATTTACTAATTAAAGTTTAAAAGAATAATTTATTATAAAAATTCAAATAATAGTATGTTGCAAATAATATACATATATATATATATATATATATATATATATTTTAAACTTCATTAATATTTTTGACAGAAATCAGCTGATTAACTGTTAATTTGCCATTTAAAATTGAAGTATTATAATACTTTAAACTCGATTAATATATTTTGACAGAAATCAGCTGATCAAATTCATCATTAATTTGCCAATTAAATTTTAAAATTATAATATGTTATAATACGTGAAGTTCGGTTAATATTCTTTATTAATATTATATTTTATTAATATTTTTTATCTTTTATTTTTATGGAAAAGCGACAATAATAAACTTCGATATATGCGGGTATCGACTTACATGCCTATTTTAGAAAAGGAATAGTTAAGAATAAAGATTGTCACATATATATCATATTAACTCCCGTTAAAATTATATACTTTTTGATGAATATATTTAGTAATATATTCTTCATGATATATTATACAACATACTTACGCAAATAATTTTCTTATCGCTAGTACCAGCTACAAAGAGATGCTGCTTATCCGGATCGGGATTGAATTTGGCACAGTATGGAATTTTTCTACTCGTAAAACGACTGATACAAGCTCCAGTTTCCGTGTCCCATAACTTAACATAACGATCGTAAGCTGCTGACAAAAATCGCTTGCCGTCGTTGTCGAAACTTATGTCCCGCACCGCTTGACGATGTCCGTAATAAGTACGGACGCATCTCCTATCCTTATAAACTTCCCACAACTACATAGACAAAAAATTATTACATTATTTGCGAATAATATATTAAGACGCAGATTTCAAAATAATAAAATATTATTTAGCAAAATATGCGTGTAAATACCTTCACTCGGCAATCCATGCTACAAGACAATAATAAATGTGCTGTACGAGGGAACCATCGAATTTGCGAGATGCCTTTTGTGTGACCTTCCCACGTGTGAATTTGCGCTTTCGGTAAGAAACAACGATCCGGTGGCGACTCCGATCTCAAATTTACACCTACATCTTGTGGTGCGTGCAAGAACGAACGTCCTTGATAATCCACACTGTCCTTGACTGCAATATGAAATCATATCAAGTTTATTATAAATTAATTCAAAAAATGATAAAAAATGTTATTACTAACACAATTGTTCTCTTTGGTCAAAAATATTTAAAATAACTAATTTTCTTAAAAAATTAAGCTAAAACTTTTATAAATCACAGCATTACTCATGTTGGATTACAATATTTATATATTATTTATATTATATTTATCCTTCACTATTAAAGTTTAATCTAAATTTAGTAGTGAATTTAATAGAATATAGGAGAAAATATAGCGACTCTGTTTTTTCTAAATATATATGAAGAAAGATATTACTATGCAACACTGTCTTCTCCTCGAGAGGTTTCTCCTCCGTCTGCTTTCCTCGTTTATTTCGTTTAGCTAGTATTTCTTCCAGTTCAGCAGCTTCTTCTTCGCTCGGTTTTATGACACGTTTCTCATCCACATATCCACCCCATGGTCCCAAAAAGCCTTCTATATCTGCTGGATCACTATTTCTGTGCCTTTTTCGCTTGTCCGATGGCCTTAGAGTAGTAGTTTCAAAAACAGTTTTGCCACCCGATTCTTCAGCAGCTTCCTTTGAACCAATTATCACTCTGCCTTCATCTGCACTACCATCTACAGTTGGATCTAACGCATATCCTGAAAAAAGAAAACAAAATCTAAATATTGGTTCAAACTGATATTTAAAAGAAATGTAAAATCTAAATTTTTTGCTTATATAATATCACTTATATAATATTATTATAAAACTTGTTGAAATTCTTGCTTATTTATGTATAACTTGTATTATGGAATTTATATCAGTTAAGAAGGATCGACAAAAGTAGTTTTCATACATGATATATAATTTACCATAACTAGCAAACGTTCTCCTTTGATTTTCAAATTGAAAAGGACTAATGTGTGCATGTTCCACATATCCGGAAAGCATATTTTTCGCTGCACGCTGCTGCTGCGTCTTAAATGGATTTTCTGGCCCAACCTCTGGTCCGAAAAGTTGTTCGTACTTCAAATTAGATGCTATCTCTGTAGCGGTAGGATCAACATGCTGTATACACAATTCTGTTCCCTGAAAAGTGATGGAATACAGATAAATCTCATTTTTAATATAATTAATAAAAATTAATAACAAATAAATTAAATAAATTTAAAAAATTAATTAAATTAATAAATTAAAAATGAATAATTAATTAAAAAACAGTTGGACAATAATTAATAATTAGCATCATAAATGTATAACCTCAAAAGTAAAAGATCAACAAAATGCACAGATGAAATATTTACCGTGGGTACAACGTCCGGAGCGGAACAGATGTTTAAATTAATAGGAGTTGTTAATTTATCGAGAACGATCGACTCGTTGTTTTCGCTCATGTTCCCGTCCTCGTCGCTGCTACTGTTGTAATCACAGAGAAGACTGAGGGAAGACGCCATGGGGACGTTTAATGGGATTTATTAACCCCGTTTAAACTCTGTTGAATTGTAGGAAAAATGTCACGTTAATATCTGGATGCAGGATTTTTAAAATTCAAGAGAAACTTACCGAAACAAGTAATATAATCTTAGAACGATAGACGGAACTGTGACGCATCGTCGGATAAATTTTGTGGTTATGTTGCAAAGCAAATTAAGCGCCATCTATCAACCCGCGAATTATGAATTCGCGATAATAAAAAAAAAAAATAAAAACAAATAAAATAAAATAAAAATTGATTTAAAATAATAAATTAATATAATAAAATATAGTATATAATATAACTAATATAATAATAATATTAACATTAGTAATTAATATTAGTAATAATTATATATTTTTTTAATATAATTAAATATATAATTAATTAATATATATAATGTACATTTTTAATAAATACATTCCGTTTTTTTGTAAAATAATGCAAATTACAGTATGCAAAATATGTTTATTCTATTAGCTCTATATGTTCTAACATATATTGGTATACATATAATTATATTTGTGATATATAATTATATATACTTTATAATACATTTCGATTCTTAAATGCATCATAAGTAATTTATCGTCTATTGAGATTAATTTGTTTTAATTTTTTTGTAATTAACTTGTTGTAATTTCACTTGAAACTTTTTAACTTGATTTTTATATAAATTTTTAAAAGTCGATTTAATTAAAAACATTAGAAATATACCATATATATCAGGAAATTGTGCAACTATTGAAATGTGACTTACATGTACTTTATTTCTGCACATTGTATTATCATTATTATTTGCTATAAACATTATGTTTTATCAAAGAACAAATTATGATTATAGTTATGATTATCTGCTAAAATGTCGGAACGTTTTGGCGTTCTTCATTTGTGGCTTGTTCAGGTTTTTGTAATGTCCGTAACCACCTCCACCAAGTCTTTTTCGTGGTCGTGAAGCCTTGCTGATTCCAACTTCTGTATTGTGCAATTAAAAAATTAATAACGGAATATAAAAGATATTTCACAGATATTAGATCAACTAATAATGGAATTTTTACTATTCCACATTTAAATTTACAAAGTTCACATATTTTAGTGATCAGAATATATTGGAACGCAAGTGGCAAATTGATTTTAATTTATGCATAGACACTAAAAAAATAATAAATATAAAACAATAACTTTCTTTTTCCAATTTATCGAAAAAATTCTTCCTCAAAAATTAAAAATGTTTTATTGTACATATTTTCAAAATGCTAAAATTTATTTGAAAAAATACTCTGCATGTTTCTGCATTTGTTCCAGCTTATTCTTCTCGTTATATATATAATCATTTTCAATATTAAATCTATTATTAAAAATACTTACTTAAGTCTACCGCCGGCGGTACAATAAATCCAAATGATTTGGCAACTTTCGCCAGATCTAAGGTCTCTATATCGAAAACCTGTTTCAAATGATGAGAATCATACGCTCTGACGTAATTTTTAAACGCTTCCTTCGCTGATTGGTGTAAAAAGTAATTCTTTGATATTAGCTTCTCTAGCTAGAAATGTAACAGAAAGTCATTTACATTATATTTAAGTTATTTTTAGTATTTCCGTAATGTCAGTATCACTGTACTATGCAGAGATTAATCAGAAAAAAATATGACTGCAGATTAGTTTAAATTTCTCTATTTTTTTATTATTTTACTATGGCCCGTAGTATTAAATATGTATAAATATAAATATATTGATAAAGAGAACGCACCTGTAATTGTATATCCGCAATTTTATTCCAAGAAAACTCATATTCATTGACAGGTACGCGAGCTTCCTTGAGATAACGAAGGAAACCTAGCTCCTCTGGTCGCAGAATCAGCAAAGCATGACCACTGCTACCTTCTCCGCGAGCTGTTCGACCTACACGATGAATATATTCCTAAAAATATATATTTGATGTTATCCAAATCAGTATCCATTAATTCTAAGTCCGTATTTATACTGGATTACCGTTTCAATTACAGTCTAATTACATATTCAATTTTGCTTTTTTTCTTTCAAAGCAATTAGCCAACTGAAATATAACAATCCTTACTTTGGGATCATCCGGTGGATCATATTGTACAATCCAGTCAACGTCAGGTATGTCTAAACCCCTCGCAGCCACATCAGTGCAAAGTAGAATTCCAGTAGAAGCGTTGCAAAATTGGTAAAAAGTAGTGGTTCTCTTCGTTTGCTTTTGTTTGCCCTGTCAATAAAATCGGAGCATAAACGTAGGAAAAAGTAGCGATTTTAAAAAGTATCAGCAAAAATAATTAATAACACATACATGTATACTCATTACAGGTAAATCAATATAGTTTAGCAGTTCGTGATGGTATTTCACAGACATGCAAGAACTGAAGAAAACCATTATCTTCCTCTTCCTGTTCTTCTTTAAAAACGTGAAAAGAAGTAAAAATCGTTTCTCGCTAGGACACGCCACGTAACCCTGCTGTAGACCATCCACAGTTGCCATTTCCTTGTTGTCATCCACTCCCACATATATAGGTTCCTTCTTGAGAGCCAAAGTTGTTATCGATGTTACCTTTGGCGTCTGTGTTGCACTAAAGAGCATGGTCTGACGACGCTCTACAATAATAATTTATGTAGTAATGAAAAAATATACAACTTAATTTTTTTTTTTCGTAATGTGGTATTACTAACTAGGAAGAATGTTAATAATTTGCTTCAACTCTTCTTCATATCCAATATCCAAAATACGATCAGCTTCATCAATCACTAAACACTGGAGATTCTTGTACAGAAAATCAGGTGTGTTTTGCAAATGATCTAACAATCGTCCGGGTGTAGCCACGATAATATTGATTCCCTTTCCAAGCTTCTGGGCTTCGGACTGTCTATTCGCACCACCCATCAACAAACCATATGTATGATAATGATATTTCATTAATTCTTTCAGGACACCAAAAGTTTGCATTGACAATTCTCTGGTGGGAGACATAATAATGCATCCAGTACCTAAAATTATATAACAAATACATTATTTTTTATCTTTGCTAATTTTATAAAATTGGAGTATCAAAATGATCAAAAAACTTTATTAGTAGCTTCTGCAAATTTATTTCTATGTAAGCCAAAGAAATAAATATACATCAAATAAATTAAATAAAAATAAAATAATTAGGATTATTATTTTCTATTACTTATATTACTAAGAAAAAATTATTCTTAAAATAAAAAATATTTCAATATTATTCTAATGCAGATTTTACATTTATTCTGTTGAATTTACATACCATTACGAGGCATAAACTTCAGCTTGTAAATCAATTCAACAGCAGGAATTAAAAATGCCAGAGTTTTGCCAGATCCGGTTTTAGCAGCCCCCACCAGATCTCTTCCTTCCAAAAGAGGAGGAATTGATTTTGCTTGAATTTCTGTCATTTTTGTAAAGCCCATGTCTGCTATAGCTTTTAATGTGTGTTCGCATACTTTCTCATTCAATACTGAGAAACTGGTGTCATTTGTAATTTGGAAACCTACAGCTGTACCTGGTACTAAATAAATATATATACATTTTTTAAATTAACTAAATAAATATATATACATTTAGAAATATTAAATATTATTTAACTATTATTATTTTAGAAAAAGTACATACAACTCTCGGTGACTTCTTTGGTGACATCTGTTACCTTTGAGTTTAATGATTGAGATAATTTCTTTTTTTCTAAAAAAAATATACATGGATATTATATAATGATTGTATAATAAAATGGAAAATAAAAATATCAATAATTAATTTGCAAATAATATTATTAGTTTTTCAATAAAAAAAATTTATATAAAATATATTTATATAAGAATGAAATAAATTAAAAATCATACTTTTTGGAGGAATTGTTTCTTCTACGTGTTGATTTGTGTTATTTATTTTAGTTTCATTATCTAGTCGACTTTTATCTGTAACAGAAATAAATATTATATAAAAAAATAACAGAAGACTGATTAAAAAGATATAGAATTCATATAAAAAATGTTTAGTTTAAATAAATGATTTCCAAATCATAACTACAATAAATGAACAATTTATCAATCAAATAAAATTATAAAATATACATAAAATCTCGAAAATAAAAATATTAATATATAATTTCCAAATAATATTTCCAAATAATATTCTCATTATTAATTTCAGTAAAAATATTGCTTATAAAATACAAGCAACTATGTAAATAAAAATAAATTAAATTATACTTTTTGAAGAAACTTTTGTTCCATATGTTGCTGATTTGTATCGTTTGCTTCCGTTGTATTTTCTGTTGCATCTGTAACAGAAATAAGTAATACTTTATTTAAATAACGTCAGAGAAAAATGTTAAAAAAAAACAGAATTGAAACATGAAAGATCTTCAGTTTAAATAATTATCTCAAATCATAACTACATAATGGACAATTATCACTAAAATAATGATTGCGATAATATAATGCAAAAATTAAAAAATAATGAAAATATATCTCGAAAATAATCAAATATCTGTAAATTCCCACGTTAATGTTTATCTCACAAGAGATGTAACCTCAAAGTTTTTCATACTCTTACCTTGTTTCTGTTTACGTTTCATTAACATTAATTTGGTCTCCTCCCTCTTTTTAATTTTTCGCATCAGAATTTTCTCAGACATTTTTCTTTTTAATAGAAAATCGTTTTCTCTACCAAGTTTTTTTATCACATGTGCTCTTCAATCTCCTTCATTCAGACAAAACTTACGAGACGTGGAAAAAATACAGTGCTTTTGCTTTGCTCAACAGGATAGGCAACTTTTAGAATATATTCTACCTAAAGAAAGATAATTCCAGGGTATTTTTGGATTTTTCTGGTTATTTTTAGGATTTTTCTTAAAATTTTATAGAAATTTTCTTGGAATTTTCTTGGAATTTTATAGAAATTTTCTTGGAATGTTATAGGAATTTTCTTGGAATGTTATAGGAATTTTCTTGGAATGTTATAGGAATTTTCTTGGAATGTTATAGGAATTTTCTTGGAATTTTATAGAAATTTTCTTGGAATTTTATAGGAATTTTCTTGGAATTTTGTAGAAATGTTATAGGAATGTTATAGGAATATTATATGAATTTTATATGAATTTTTCAAGACCTTTTAGAAAATTTCTAAGAATTTTAGGAAATCTGAGCATTTTGTAGGAATTTTCTAAGAATTTTTAGGGATTTCTAGAACAATTCTAGAGAATTTTAGAAAAGTTTACCAGCCATAGACTGAGGAAAACATAGAAATATAACCTCCTTGAATTTGATCTGATTTACTACAATCTCGAATCACATTTAAATTACATATTCAGTGGCCAAATCATGAGCTCGCAAGCGTGGAAACAAACGCGCAACAACAAAAATAATACATAAAGCTAAACTTGTCAATTTCAACTCGTCCGAAGAGAACCATCATCGAATCATCTATAAATTCCACGAGCTATGTAAAATTCTCGAAAATTCCGCTCGATTCGGCAAGTAAAATCATTTGGTCCCCAGGAAACTCACCCTCTGAAGAAGAGCTCCTCGAAGATCATCCTCAAGGTCACACTTCCCGGACACGCACGAGTCAAACATGTCCGACAAGGAGTCGAACGACGAGATCCAGGTGATATCCGAGAGGTTGCAGACCGCGACGACGATCGACTCCACGTGCAACAACTCTCAGCACCAGGAGAAGGCCTCGCGAAAGGGTCCACCTCCAGAGGGTAAGAAGCCTTGTCCGCTCACCACCGGGACGTCCACCGCGTCTACGACGATCACGAGCACCATCCTCGAGGACTACGTCCAGGTGCGGAGCGTTCCGGAGCTGAACCTCCCGGAGAAGATCGTTCTCGTGATCGACACGGTACGTGAACAGCAATGCACCCCCTTTAAACTGGGCACGGGGGCCACGTTTCCGCCCTTGTACATGATAAAACGCGTGGTGGAGAACTTCGTAGGTGCCAAGTCGACGATACAGCCCGGGGTGCACGAATACGCGCTGATGAGCCTGGACTCGCGGGGCGCCAGCTGGCTCTGCGACTACACCAGCAACGTGAAGAGCCTGGTGGGCCACCTAGAGGGCGTCGAGGACACCCCGGACGAGGAGCGAGGCACTTGCGACCTGGGTCGGCTCTTCGAGACGATACACGGGAGGATAGCGACGCCGTCGACGAGCCAACCGCTCTTTGTCTCCCGGGTGATCCTCGTCTACGGGAGATCCAACTCCATCCCCAAGTTTCACACCGGCCAGAAGTACCTGGAGAGCCTCACGAAGAATCCTTATTTCTTCCTGGACGTTCTGTTCGTTCACGAGCCGGCCAGCGAGGACAACCTCTGCGAGGCCGTCTACGCGGAAATCGCCGCCCTGGATACAACGAGTTACTCTTATATCTTCGAAGTGGGCAGGAACGCTGCCAAGCTGCATGATAACATGGCAAAGCTCCTGGCGCATCCGCTGCAGCGTCCCCTGCAAAAGGACGCCTTTTATACCTTTGCTTCGAACGCTGTGGCACAGGAAGTGCACACTAATGTGTAGAGTGCTATGGACAGTTGTATTTATTTTTCATTGAAAGGTTTGTATAGGTATATGCATGTATAACAGGGTGTCCCATATTAATTTAGACACTCAAGTATCTTGAAAAATATGAAAGATACCTTGGATAATCACTTGAAGGTCACTTTCAATTTCTTTATGATGAACCTCTATTTTTTAGAAAACACATAGTCGGTTTTAAGAAAAAGTATGCCACTGCCTGTTGCAGATTACATTTTTTTAAAAACAATTATCTGTTTTCTTTATACTAATTGATTGATCTCATTATTCCGTGCATAAAAGTATTAAGAATATTTTACAAGATATTTTACTTAATAAAAATATGCTTCATTATAGTGGTTTGGAAAGCTCTTGAGATACGCTACAAGAATATGCAATAAAAAATGGGAGTTCGTAATCTTCACAAGTTAAAATGGGACACACTGTGTATATATATATATATATACATACATGTTTCTTTCGTGAAATCAGATTTTTCTTTGTCAACATAATGTAATTTCAAAGCAATGTAGCTTTCCAGGTAGCAAGTATACTTCATTTTCATGTCAAATGACGTCATTTATTATGTTTAATGACATCAGTTTGCTACTTGAGTTTATATTTCATATTTCAAGCAATTTGTTGAAGAGAGTGTATAAAAGATGACAGTGATTATATATATATGCATCACCATACATTATTGTTCAAACTATCGCACAATAAATTCATCATTATTTTTGTAAATAGATTTATAAATTCATCCTATGCAAACAAATCAAATATCTCCACATCTCAAATGTCGACTTTAAAATCTAAGAGAGATTTTTAACTAAAGGATTAATTTTCTCTTTACAAGAATGATTATTTCTATTAGACTTATGCGTTACTATACTTATATCATTCATTTCGTGATTTATATTCTATCTCATATTATCACATCTCTATTAAAGGTTTCAAAGCTTAACAATACACATCTAGGAGATATTTTTTTAACTAAAAGATTCATTTTCTCCTTACAAGAATGATTATTTCTATTAGATTTATGCATTACCGTACTTATTGTTTATTTCACTGTAACTTATATCTTATGTTATCGCATCTCTATTAAAGGTCTCAAAGCTTAACGATACACATCTAGGAGAGATTTTGAACTAAAAGATTAATTTTCTTCTTACAAGAATGATTATTTCTATTACATTTATATGTTACTATATTTATCATTTATTTCGCTATGACTTATATTATATCTTATATCATCGCATCTCTATTAAAGGTTTCAAAACTTAACGATGCAACGCTGTAAGTGGAGGGAGAGCTTGTCCTTTCGAGCGAAGGCGCGTCCGCAGATCTGGCAGGAGAAGGGCTTAATCCCGGAATGCGTCCGTTGATGCCTGATAAGATTAGACGCAGACGAGAACTTCTGCTGACACTTGGGACATGTGTAAGGCTGCTCACCGGTGTGCTTCCTCCTGTGCTTGTTGAGGTCTCCGGTGTGATGGAAGGCCTTCTGACAGAAATCGCACGTTAATTGTCGACTCCTCCTCGTCCCTCCAACGTTTTCGTCCATTTTTCGCGAATCTTTGCGAACTGGATCCTTCGTGGGAATTTTCTCGAAACGCAAGTCCGGAAGATGTTGTTGCTTCTGGAGATCTTCGAGTTTGGTGATGCAAGAAGAACAAACTGTGTTCAGAACCTACAGATAGAGAGGCGAACATAATTAGATATATAAGATGTAATTAGATTTCAGGATGTGTAAATAAATTCAATTACCACCGGATCTTTTCTATAAATGCGTCTCAAAGTCGCAGGTACATTTCACTTAGCGTAAGATATTTTTTATGGCTTTTAGAGATAACTACGAGATGTGATATTCGTGAAAATTTAAGATAAATAATATTATAAATGTTACAAAGAAATATATATATCTATATATATATTACATGTGCAATCAATTTCTTTATTGCGTGATTTTATATCTATTGTAGCATTTATTTTCAACATAAAAAAAAGATAGATCGGATAAAGCGTCTTAAAAATCCATTCAAAAACTGGGGAAAAAATTCAAAATTTCTACTAAATATTTTTAAGAATGTAATGAATGAAAATAAGTCAAATTGAAAAAAAAGAATAAACTAAATAATAATTATAATTATTATAAATAGTAATAATTATTTCTTAACAAAAGAATTTTTCTTAAAATAAGACATTGATGATTTATTGCGCTTACATCAAGTTTCAAATTCGACTTCTGTAGAAGAGCGCGTGTCGTTTCGTCGCTTCCAAACTCTGGTACAATATGTTTCTTGGAGCAGAAATGACACTGTCCTCGAGTATCGCACGACATGTTTCTATGCAAATGTTATAATTATTGATGCGTACTTTCCTAAATGAGGATAGAGAGATACACGTCTAGACAAAAAAACTTGTGATGCCTTTGGATAATGATATATGGTTTCTCCAATAAAACGTAATATGTGATTATAATAATAGTGGGAGCATTCGGGGAATACCTGTGTTCGAGTAAAGACATATATAAACAGATTCACAAATATATATAAAACGCATACATTTTAATAAACGTTCTACAGAAGTGATAATACATAGAATCAATTATATTAATATGTACACAGAAAAAATTCTCATAGAATTTATCCTGAAATTTTTGATAATTGTGAGAATATGGTAGGAAGAATTTTATAAGTTTCTCTGATTAATATTTTTACCATAATAAAAAATATTAATATTTACCACATAAGATATAAAATGTTCGATTAATTTTACTAAAATATAATTGTTTAAGTATATTAAATAGAAATAGATACCAAAACAAAAAAGTGATAAATATATAAAATATTTTATATATAAATTTTACAATTGACTTATAAAATTTATGATCAAATTTGTAGTGAATTTTCCGCTAAAATATAACGAAAAATTCTTTCCGTATGGGTTTACATTACAATACAACAAAGACTAAATATGTACACTATAATTATTTCTATAAATATTACAAAACGCGTCGACTTTTAACGAGAGCATCAAAATATCAACAACTTTTAAATGAAAGTTTTTTTAATATTATCCTATTTAAAACTATGAAAATATATATATATAGACAAATACATACATTCGGGCAAAAAAACATACATTCATTCTGATAATATGTGATTATAAATCTTCTATCAATTATATCTAATTAGAATGAACGCTATATTGTATAAATGTACAATATGTAGATATGTGTGAGATTGCATGACATAATTACAATAATGCATCTTTCGCAATAATTTACAAAATGTCCTGTTTTTGTTCGGATTATTCTTTAATGACAGTTTTTAAATTAACTCATATAGTTCAATGTTCAGTTAATTTCTTTTCAATTAAAATATACGTTTTTTTATTTCTTAAATTATTTTAATATAATCGGTGCTTAAGAAAATATCTATATCTTTCTTCTGAAATTTAACTCGCACAAGTATTTTTTTATCTCAAATTACGCGAAAACTGTAATTTACGCATAGCTTAATAAAAATTTATTCCACAAACGAAATCGATTCGTCAATGAAAATAACATGATTATCGAAGTAAAATGCATTTTGTTGCATTGCCAAGTAGCATAGTCAATAGATTATTAACAATAAAATAATTATAATATACTTGTATATCACAGTAATATAAGTCATTTGCTGATATATGTAATGTCGCTTATTTTAGATTAATTGTACAATGTAATCGCAAAGTATATTTACAAAATATCTAAAATTTATCAGCTTCGTGTGATTGTGATTATCGTAAAATATCTGATAATTATCGATAATAAAAAGCGCAAGTACATACTTTTTATAAATATTAATATTTTCACGTGAATATTAATACTTAATTACGATGAAAAAATACGTCGTATTTTAGTCCATTTATACATTTTCTTTCGCTCTTGGCAGCTCTTTAGAATCTGCTCTTACTATTTATAATATACACAAATACATCTGTCATAAAGAGCGCGCATGCATTACAGAAGTCAGAAAGCAAACGACAAAAAGTAACAACGTCACACTCGAACTGGACGCCGAAGATGTCATTTGTAATTTCAGGAGTTGCTCAAGATGCCCCATGTATCTCGAGATACTCTCTAGTGTATTCACGAAACGGTCATCCTTCGATTCCTCTTTTCCAATCGTTGTTGAAACAGTAGAGGTTCCTGAATCACCTACGTTCTGATGATCATCCGTCATTTTCCAGTCGCCGCATTTAGGAAAATTACGAGGCACCGGTGGCATATCCTCGTGTTCGCCCACCTTGAAGATCAGGGCCATACCTATCTCCGCGTGAAATTCAATATGACAATGAAACAACCAGTATCCTGAAAAATATAAATTGCATTAACGGAATAATCGGCAATGACTCTATCTCTTTCAATCAATTTCAAAATTTAAGTATATTTTTATCAAAAAATAGAGAAATTTGCAAGTTTAATTTTTTCTCTTCTCATTAAAGATTTTCTCTTCTAATATAATTATTTCAAATACGATAAAATTATACGTTCACAAATAGAAATTAAATTGTAATAAAACAAATACTATTGTATATACAAAGTAAATACTATTTAATAATTATTCAGGGTGTCTACTCAAATTTTGTAAAAAAAATCCCTGAGAATTCCTTGATCTTTCTGATATTTTCGTTTAAAATTTCAGGTAAAATAAGAAAATTTGTAGAAATACAGCTTTTTAAAAATTCTTTATACAATTTTTAATGTTTTTATTCATATCATTGGAAATAAGTTATTGAGAATGCAGTTTATCAGGCATTAAATACTGATTTATTAATTGTAAAATTAATTTAGGCAATAACAAAATATGATATCAACGCTAAAAATATATGCAAGAATATAAAATAAAAATAGAAAACAAAAATAATTTATTATAAATGTCTTAAGAAATATTAATTTATTTAAAATAATTATTTAATAAATTATTTATTTGTTTATTAAATTATTATTTATTTAATTATTAAATGAATAATAAAGATAAAAAAGGAATTTTATTAAATAAATGACGAGTGCTAATTTATTTCAATATTACCTATTAAAAAATTAAACAATTTTTTATGAAACTTATATAATATTAATACTGAATAACAAATCATCAATAAAAAAAATTATATTAAAGGGACAATTTTTTTAATTCCCTGAATCTCAATCAAATTCCATGAAAATTCCCTGATTTTTCAAAGTAAAACAAAATTCCTTCAGAATAGCAGGTTTTCAAGGTTTTTCCCAGGAATATACACCCTATTATTTTTTTCCTCATGTATAGAAGTTTAATATTTCCTCTACTCTTGTTTCTTTTTTCTCTCTTAAAACGCGATTTATCTCGTTGCAATATTTTTAGAGCAAACACTCTTTATTTATCGATAAACATTTATAATACTCTGTTTTTTTTTATTTTCTCTAATTTATTTTATTTTTATATATTTAGTTTTTTTTTAATAATGTGCATGTCGCAAGGTCTCACCTGGATTATCGGCGTAAAATCGCACGATGGTGTAACCACCATCAGGCACGGTCACCGTGTCCTTCAGAGGTGCCCGTGTGAATCTTCTGTTTATCAAACCTTGCCTGTCTAATTCCTTCACTTCGGCGACCGTGGCGGTGCGTCCTATCCTCTCCATTGCCACAACGCGGAACTGATAACCATGAAGATGAAACGGATGATTCGCATCATACTGAACACCTGAACAAAGATCGCTTCTTATTACGATTAAGTTTAAAGACAAGGCTTATAGAAAAAAAAAAAAAATAAAGAATATACCTTCGTCGATCAGAACCAATTCCACTACACTGTTGAGTTTCACCTGAAGTACATGAGTGCAGGCACAGTAATCATTCTCACATCCCTCGACTGTGCTGGAATTGCAGAACTGATCCGGTTTAATAAGGTTTCTTTCGGGCAGAAGTGGATATGGAGGCAGCTTCAGTGATATGTGATTTAATTGTGGTGTGGACACTTGCTTCTTCCTATTCTTCACTAAAAAAGTATATTTATATACTTTTACTTATTTATATATTTGCAATAAATATTTTATACATTTTATTATATATATATATATATATATATATATATATATTCTTTTTATTATATATATATTATATTATATTATATATATTTTTTATATTTTATTAATTAAAGGCGTTTGAAGAAAGCATATAATTATTTAATCTTATTAATATCTGTGCTCTAGATTTTTCAGTTTGCATTTCTTAAATAGTTCAGTATACATTGTTCAACATTACCTAAGTTATACTGTCTATGATTGCAAACATTAAAATAAAACTTGAAAACTTGTTTCAAGAGATGGCACTTGAACTTTACCTTGCCAATAGCCATATAGACCCTTGCGGTGAAAGTGCGGGTTATCTTTCTGGTATAAATCATACGATATGTAGAATTGATAATCCGGTTCTTTGGTATTCGACGCGTCATCGTCGTCCATCGCGATCAGCATCGGGATACTGATGCTACTATTCGTTTCGGTTCCTTCATTCAGAGCGTTCACTTGCTGAAAAAGTCAGAGAAGCTGGTTATTATCTTTCACCCCGTTATCAGTGCATAATTTTTCATCCTTCCATCAATGTACGGGCAAAATTATTAAAAGCTTCTCGCCTCTGACGTCACAATCTGCAGCGAGAATCGAAGAGCCTTAATATTTTTCTTCATTAAATTATATGATATAATTAAGCTATTATATATAATGCTTTGGATATCTAGATACTCCGTTCATTGATGACTTAATCTCTTGTAAAATAACTTTACGGATGACTTGAGATAAAAAAGATACACGTACTAATCCGTAAGAATCATTTCGCGTGCGATTATATGTAACTTCCACCATCGGCTCCTCTTCGGACGCTCCTTCGTATCGAAGTAGCCCGACTTGGTAGACACCAAAAAATCTCTCGTCGCAATCCATCAGTCCTCGAAATCTCATCCAATAGTTGTCCACCGGTTGGTTCATCTCAATTAAGAAATCGAACCTCTCGCCGGCGTAACTCACCAGCGACTCGGCTGTATAATCATTGCGCAATACGTAAACATTTCAACATATAGTAGATTCTTTTTCATTATATTTATTGTGCTTATTTTGCGGGAATTAATAATCTCTTCAAATCGCACATAATAAAATTCTATCATAATTGTTACACAAACAATTTTGAATTGTATCTAATTTTATTTAATAAATTATTTAATAAATTAAATAATAAATAAATTAAAATATTTAACAAATTAAATTATTAAATAATTTTAAAAAACTCATGCAATAGCTATTTGTTAATTATAAAAAATATTGCAATTAATGCATAACTATTTTAATTTAATTTTAATAGTTATAGCAAATATTTAGTTATTGCATAACTTTATTTAAAAAATGATATATACTTAATTCTCATAAATTACTTTAATAAATATCGTGAAGATTGATGGATAACTTTGTTCATTTAATTAGTATTTTTTCGATGTTGAATCTTTTATTGCATCATTATATCTTATTCATTTAGCACCAAATGAAAAAAACTGTCCTTCAACTTTCTCGCGGTGTTTACTAAAACTCTCAATCAAACTGATCTTGTGTAAAAGTAAGTGGCACGTAGCATGAAAGTAAACTCGTACCTTGTATCGGTTCAATATCACGTCCGTCTGAGCTGATCACGTATAAAGTATGATTGTCGACAGAAACTTCTATAGGACAGTTCAGGAATTCCGCGTTAATAAGCCTGAATCTGTATCGAAAATTCTGCAAGCATAAATAAAATAATCGTAAAATCAATGCTAATCCAAATCACATAATCTTATTAAAAAATAATATATTTTTTTTAACAAAATGCATTTATAAAAATTAACACGAAAAACAGAAAAATGTAAAAATTTACCGGTTTTACGATAAACGTCGAAACAGGCATATCGGCCAGTGTCTCGTTTTTACCCTCGAAAGTGGCGAAACGACCCAGACCGTTTACAAGTATGCTAGGCGGTTTGTTAGGACTGTCCATGTGATGGTGACCCAAGAATTTGCTAACACCCAGCTCGTGAATCCAATCGGTGATCACCACCGTATGCTCATCATAGTCATACAGATCCTTGTGCCAATCGACTTTAGGTGGTACACGAACGATCAACGACCCGAACACGCCGTCTCCTCTTTGAAAGCCTGCAGAAGAAAAAATGGATTAATTAATTTAATTATTTTAATTTATTTTTTAATTTAATTTAATTTAATTATTTTATTTTTCTTCATTTAATTTCATTATTTTAATTAATTAATTTAAGCAAAATTACTCTTCCTTAAACTTTCTGCTAAGAATATTTAGAATCAAAGTAGCAAGCATACGTCATTTTGATATCGAATGACGTCATGCGACGTTTAAATTACCTCAGTTTAACATTTAATGACATTAGTTCACTATACTTGAGAAGGTTTAAAAGAATTTAATTTTTGAAAATCGAGACCTACCTCAGTTAGCAAACTGACGTCATTAAACGTCAATTGACGTCATTTTGACGTTTAGTGACGTCAGTTTACCACTTGGGAAGGTTTAAAAGATTTAATTTTTAAAAAATGGAGCCTTATACATACCTATATGCGAGTGCCAGAAGTGCGTCCCGGCTTCGCTGGCGGTATAATTGTACCTGAAAGTCGCCCCAGGAGGGATGGGACATTGCGATACGTAGGGTACACCGTCCATATAAGGCGTGCTGAGATGATGCTGTCCGTGCCAGTGCATCGTGGTGCCTTCAGAGTGCAACATGTTGATCATATCGACTATTATCCTGTCACCTTGGCACACCTATATAATTAAAATATTCTCATTATTTTTAATTGACAATCTGAAACTCATTGTCAAATATCTCTCATTCACGGTTTGAATGATACGGCTAATTGATTAGCGCGAATCAATTATATTCTCTGCTAAACCGTAAACAATTCTATTTTTCCAGCTAAATTGCACAGTAATTTTGCGATAAAAAAAGAATAAATATATATGTATAAAAAGCCAAGCGCTGGTACACAAACAAAACATTTTCTGAATAATTTCTTAGAATCGTGTAATTGAATAGCGATTTCGCCGTCAAGTGTATTAATTATAGAGACTAGATCTGAAATTGAATTGCTCTCGTGCCCAACATTGCTCTCGTGATATATAGTTACAATTGCGAAATAGAGCGATAATTATATACGTATATATGCTTAAACATCGAAACAATATAATGAAAAGAAAAAGACGAAACAATGGTTTTTCGATTGACTGAATTACAAAATATCGAACGATAATATAAGAAAAAATAATTGAGTAAAGTTTTTATACTAACTTTGCATTACTCGAATATTAGTATGATTGATTAATTTCCACGATAAACTATCTATACATTTCTTCTACAATAATTCTTTTGTTTATAATAGCGGAATTAAAAAGATAAAAAATTAAAAAATATATAAAATCAAAAAGTATAGAATCAGACAAAGAATGACCGAAAAATAGGCGAATATACAAGACACTAATTTTATAAAACTACATTCAAGTTTGCGCAAAAATGTATCCGTTGATTAACATCTCCCTTGTAAATTTCTCAAGGATTCACGTAATTTTAGAAAATAAGACCGATTAAAATAAACGAAAAAAACAGAGTAGATAAAGATATAGACAAAAACACAAGCGGTCAGAATAATCATGTATAAAACGCGTTTCGCAATCCAATATAGCATTCAGTTTTACGCACTTCGATCGGCGGACCTGGCATTTTCCTGTTCACGACCGTAAGAGCTCGCTTTATGCCATCAGCCGGGATGCAGTGAGGCCGGAAGCAGTCCGTAATATTGAAGGGACAGTCGTAACAAGCTTTGCTCATCGCGAAATAGGACTCTAGCTTAAAAGTGTAGTAACAGTCCAGGGGTGCCGCGCCATCCTTGCAGGTTCGCCGACACGCGTGACGTCTCCAGTCGACGTCTTCAGCAATTTCTGGATCGATAGGAGACAAACCAAAGTCATCATGCGCCGTTATTATTGTCTCTGAAATCAATTAATAACTATTTAAGTGTTTCTCTTCATTTAATTTTATTTTAAAATTAAATTTTAATTATAAAATAAGTAACAAACTGTCATTTTGACGTTTAATGGCGTCACTTTGCTGCTGGGTAAAAAGATCCAAGCGCAAAAATTAGACGCAACAGTTATAAAATATTTTTCTATTTAAATTGTATTGAAATTATGTAAATTAATTAAATAGAAAAGTAAAATAAACCAAGTTTGTTGCGCCTAATTTCTTCAATTTAAATTGCTTTTTTATTTTTACTCAAATACGCTTACATTTGTGTTTTAGATAAAAATCTATAAAATTTAAAATTTATTAATTTAAGATTTCAATCTTCCTTTCTCTCTCTCTTACAAAGACTTTTCAAACAAAAGCTTTATTGTTTGTTATAAAATAAAAAATCGCAGATAGCAAGCGCACGTAATTTTAACGTCGAATGACGTCATTAGACATTAAAATGACGTCATTTAATGATAATTTGCTATTTAAAATACATAAAAGTGCAAATATAAATCAAATATGTAAAGCTAAAATAAAATGCAATAATATGTCATTATAAAGAGAAAGAGATATCAATGCAAAATTAATATTAAATATAAAATACACATAATTTATTTTTTAATATAAAATTATTAAATATAAAAAAGATCGCACTTACCTGATCGGCTTTCGTGAACGATCAGTTGAAGCAGAAGAGGTAACAAGTTCCAGATTATCATTCTCATTCTGTAAGAATTAAAATGCGTAAGACACATTTTATAATGATGATGTGAAAAAGACATGTAAATTCAGTTCATTATACACAGCATCGCGTGCAAAATAGAATACATATACATACATTACGGAGATAAAATCTCTAGACAAAGATAACCGGGATACGCAAATAGATTTAAAAGCTATTCTGTTGCGTCTTATATAACGCGTGCGTTAGATACGTGACGGTTTATAAACTTTAGCTTAAAGTACTGTGGATGTATAATCATATTGTGCAAAAGTTTGAAAAACATAACACCGAATCGATACGAAATCGAAGGAAATTTAATTTTCCAATTTTTTGGCGACAAAGTAGAAAAAAAAATATATTAAAACTTATTAAAAACTTATTTTCAAAGATATTTTAAAAACGTTAATAAAATTAATATTTTATTAATAAAATATTAATAAAATAAATAATAAAGTTAAATAAATATGTACATTACATTAAAGTTAAAATTAACGTTTTCTTTTAATAAATAAAAAGGGACTTATATATCTAAAATCTATCATTCGCGTTTGATTGTTTTTAGTTCGTTGAATTTTAAATAAGTTTATATATTTCACTTATAAAATCTTACTTACAATTCGTTGTAAATAAATAAGATTTCTTTAATTTCTTCATGTGAGATAAAGCGTTATCTTAATATGTTTATAATGTTTTTTTTATTCACGCTGCGTCAAGCAAAAAATGATCGGTCTTATTATAGTCTTTTAATTAAAGTAATTATCCTGCTAATAATACGTCTTTTCCGGTTTTCTAATGTCATATGTCTGACTTCTATATATATGTACGGAATCATAGAGAGATTATCATTTCTGTATTTATTTTCAGAAGTAGAGAATTATATGTTGAAGGAACTGTCATTTAACTTATTTTTATTTTTGTTTTTATCTTTTTTATTTTTAGTTTTAACGAGCTTTACTTGTACGACAAGTTTTATATTTTATACACATCAAAGTTAATAATAAAACGAAACATTATATACTCATATAAAGTATTTTACTTGTAGTGCATTTAAACAATATATCCTTTCTCCCAACAAATATTAACGTAAAATTAGATTTCTTCCCCAATCATGATAAAAATCATAATTTATCGCGACTTTTTAATCATGTATCTTTTTATCAAAATTATTTTATTTTTCACAAAAATAAATAAAAAATAAATACAAATAAATTAATATTTAATTAATATTTAAATAAATATAAATAAAAAATATTTTATTTTTTTGTAAAAATTATTTACAAAGATTAAAGATTTTTATAAAGATTTATAATTATTTTAATTCCGAAAAAAATTAAGTTAATACTATGTATAAATGTCATTGAAGCAATATTAAACATAAAATTTAAATTATTCAATTTTAATTTTATTGTTAATATTCCATAAATTTAACACAGAAATGATTAATGTTTTTTTGCAAAAGTATTTCTGTACTAGATTTACATTTCGTTTAATCGCCGCGAACGGATGTAAAACTTGACGCTTCAAAACCGATACTGCAGTGTCGAAATCCCTTTTACACAACACATATCTATGTATGTATATACACATCGTAACTTACGAATTTAGCACAACGCGCATCTGTACCTGCATAACTAAACAAAAATAAAAATAATTTCACATATTACACACATACACAGAAACATAAATTTTATATTTGTGTGTAAGTTAATTAATTTTTTTAGAATATAATAAATTAATATATATATTTTATAAATTAAATTTCGGCTCGTATACAATTAAAATATGTGATATAATAAAAGGCCAACTTAACGAGCTTATATGCTATTAATTGAAAAATTTATTTATTAATTTACGTCATACTATACAAAAGTTAAGATAAACGTTTCGACTGTACGACAGTCTTTCTCAATATCCTAATAATATGTTAAAAAATTAATTTAGTCATTTCGACATCATAAATAAATACAACAATTATAAGATTATATGACGAACGCAGTACAAAATTCATGTTTGTTGGCATGAGTTAGAGCGTCAGATGCTGTTATATTATGTAACGACACTGTGAACAAATTAATATATCCGCTCAAATATTACATTTAGATTTTTAATAAATAGTATTAACTTACTTTTTTGTCAACGAAACTAACACTTTTTTTAAAAAATTATTTCTTTTTACTTAACATAATCACAATGTGTACTTTTTTAAAAAACAATTCGATATCTATCTTACAATGTCGGCGCGCTGTATATATACCCAATTTTTAAGATGACGTAGACAATTTTTTTAGAATATCATAATAAGAACCGTCAAGACGCTCGGTGTCCTTTTTTAGGTTGATACTGTTGTTTTCTTCTTTAATATATATCATTTCTGATATCAACCTTTTATAATAATTCTTTTCATAATCTAGGATTTTTGTGTCGTTCCAATTGAAATTGTGTGTAAATTTTACAATATGATCAGAAACCACCGAGTGCCTTGCTGAATCTAATCTAATATTATTTTTATGTTCATTTACTCTTGTACCTAATTGTCTTTTCGTCTGTCCTACATATGTAGCATCACAATTATTACACGAAATCTTATATATGACCCCCGAATTATTTTGGAGCTTATCTCTGTCTTTTTGCGTTTTTATGACTCTGTTTAATTTCTTTAGACATCTGTATCCTACTGTTATATTTGATTTCTTTAATTCTGATGCTACTAGTTCCGAGATTCTTTCAATATAAGGTATCGCTATGAATTTTTTATTATTGTCATTATTTATGATTTCGTTATTTATATCTTGAGTCATTTCTTTGTTTAATCTATTAACAATAAGGAACTTCAGTCTATTATTGATTTCTGAGAAAATGAGATCAAGAAAACGTTTATCTTAACTTTTGTATAGTATGACGTAAATTAATAAATAAATTTTTCAATTAATAGCATATAAGCTCGTTAAGTTGGCCTTTTATTATATCACATATATAAATTAATATGTTCATAAATTTTTAATTTTATTATTAAATTAATAATAATTCTATTTTTTAATAATAGTTTATAATAAAATCACAGAAACTTAATAAAAATATTAATAAAAGTCTATTTGCCACTATAGAGATTCAAGAACGTTTATGAAACATAGTCTGGTCTTCACAGAACAAAAGCTTAAAAACACTGATTTTTTGAATATATACCTCGAGGTTTTACTTCCTATTTAATTGCATTATGCTTTATCTATACATAGCGATAAATGTAATGAGACGATAAATATAATAATGTGTAAAATATATAACAATACATATATATATGTTGAGTTTTGTCATTTAATTGTATAATTTTTGAACGTGTCATAATGTGTGATTTTAACAATGACAAAATAATATACAAAACTTACAAAAATTGTGAAACATTTATTGTAACAAGAAAACTAGTTAGATTATTTAGCTACTTTCCCGTTGCAAGAAAACATTATCTCGAAGTATTCTTTGAATATCCATAATAGAAGTCATTAAACATACTTAGGAATCTCAAGGATGTTTAAGCAAGCCAAATCCTACGTCATTCTTAATAGTAATAAAAGGTACATACAATGAAAGTAGCCAACAAATTTCAGAATTATAAAATAAATTCACTTTAATAATCGTCGCGTATTCCAAATTTATCAAAAATTAACAATACCACCATTTTCTTCATATTTAACTTTTTAAAATTTATCTTTTAATTTTATTAATTTCTTATAATTTATTTTTTTAATTTTTTAAAATTTAATTATATTTTAAATACTTTTTTAATTTAATTATTTTTTAAAATAATGTAACAATAATTATAATAAAAACTCATGCAGGTAGCAAACGTACCCATTAATTTGACATCAAAGAGCGTCATTTTTACGTTTATGACGTCAGTTTGCTACTACTTGGGAATGACAAGATTCTAAAAAGTGACTTACTGGATCATATCTTTTTAATTTTTTTTTTTTTAATTATTTTTTAAATAATTTTTTAATTTAATTATTTTTTTAAAACAATGTAACACAATAATTATAATAAAAACCTATGTACGTTATTTTGACATCGAATTAGGTCATTTTTACGTTTATGATGTCAGTTTGCTACTTATTGGGAATGACAGAAGATTCTAAAAAGTAACTTACTGCATCATATTTTTCATCATGTGAGATGTTTGAGATCGATGATAAAATAAAAAAAATTGATAAAAGTAGTAAGTGTTCGAATATAATTCGATATAGACAGCACGTGTCGCCGGGCGTTCAACTCTCTGGACAGCACAGCTGATTCGGACGCACCATGTCACAAAACGCGCGCGCGCTTTCGCGACTCGGAAGCTGCGTCTCTTCCGGCGCCTCCGACGAAAATCACGCGAACGGTTTCACGAACGACTATACTTTACGAAAGACTGAACCGACTTCGCGCCACTCACCTGTCTATATTGATACAGGAGAGAGGTCAAGCGCGTAGAGGGGTTTCCTGGTACTTCACCTGGGAGGTATACGGAGGATAATGCTGTCATTAGGACGATGATATACTGTATTTCAGCTTAGCAGTCTTCCCCACTCGAGTTCACGCGGCCAATAACTGTATGTCCCATACAGTTTTTCCCGAGCGCATCAGAATTCGTCAGTGGACTTTCCACTCATTAGCCGAAACTCGTCGATGAGGCAAGAATGCGCGGTATATAGGGTGTTCCACAATTTCCGGACATCCTGAAAGGATATTCCTATATAAGATTATTTGAAGAGATTTTTCCTTGATAAAAATGTCGAGGCACCAATCATTTTCAAGTTATATATATAATAAGGTAGCAAGGGTACGTCGTTTTGACGTCGAATGACGTCATTAGACGGCAAAGTGACGTCATTTTTGCGTCTGATGACGTCAGTTTGCTACTTGGGAAGCGAGTAAAAATAAAATAAATTTGGAAAGTCTTTTCGTAACAAATACCCTTAAAATTTTAAGTCGCTACGACTGAGCCCCCACTCTTAGTCCCTTAGTTCAATTAAAAATTTTCAACCCCCCTTTTAGTCCGCGTGCCAGGGGATGGGAGATGATCGGTATCCATGTCATAGGGTAATTTTTTTGTCAAATCAAAATACGTGTTTTACCGTTTTTTGATATCTTCATTTTTACAAAAATTATTTGGGGGTTTCCACACTTTTGACAAACCCTGTATATATATAACTATATTTATGCAATTTGTAAATGATGATGCTATATATTTTACAGTTTTACTAAAAATAACTAATAATATTTATATAAATTATAAGAGTAATAAAGAGTGGAATAAAAAATCATAATCGTTTAAAAATATCGCTTAACAACGTGAAATGTTTAAATAAATTTATTTATGCAATTAGTAAATAATGATGACATATTTATAGTTTTACTAAAAATCATGATACTTTAACAACTTTAACATATTTATATGAATTATACGTAATAAAGAGAAGAAAAAAAAATCATCATAATTTAAAAATATCGCTTAATAATGTTAATTTTAAATCAAAATACGAATAATTTTGTCTTATAAAAAACTTGTTTGCGCATTAATATAATTAGAGAAAAGGAAAAAAAATGGAAATTTATCGAAAAACATATATCAGACAAGAAATCGAAATAAAAATAGCTAAGAAATTTAATATTCATCATCATTAACCAAAAGTACAATTTAAAAGAATCATAATTAAATAATTCCATGAAAAAACAATTGCATAGATATAAAGAAAATTAGAAATCGCGTCAAATATTATTTTTCATGTCCACTAACTTTTGTGTGCGATGTGATATTTTGACATAAAGATGGAAAATATAAAACTGGTCTGTTTCTCCGAACTAGACAGCTTATTCTATCGAATCTATCTACGAAATCAAATTCTCTAAATAAATCAAAAAAACTTGCAATCATAATATTAATTTTCCGCAATTCACAGTCACTTTTTTAACGATAAGATATCACTAACTATCACTAACTCATTGTTTTGAAATCACAGCTGTTGATAAATCGATATCGGAAATATGTGTAATAATTAACATTCCTGGAGCTTATCCTGACGTGACACTATGCTCGATTAATTGATTCATCGTCGATATAAATCTTGTGTTACGAAAACACGAAAAAAACACCGTGAAAATTCGATGATACACTCGTTCGCGAATATTATTCGCGAATATATGCGAATATTTCTTTCCTTATTCAAGTTCAAAGGAAAACCACTGCGTTATCTTTGGCGAGATCAGAATTAATACCCGCGATAAGCGGTGTTGCTGGTTTCGCAATTTCCAAAAAGAATATATTACTTTGTCAGCTTCAACTTTCGCGTCATCATCCTCGACGACTCATTTTGCGTAATGTTGCTAATTATGATAACTTCAGTTGCTAGTTTTTTTCAAGGACCAATTCTCGCAAAATATTCCTTGCACATAGAATAATTATTTGCACACTGAAAGAAAATTGTTAACTTGATTAATTGAACTTAAATATAACTTAAATATAACTTATAGATTTATATTTTTTTTAAATACACAAAATGCATTATGCATTTAAAGATTTCGAATAATTCGGAAATAAATAATAGTATATACATGAAAGAAAAAATGTTTTGCGAAAAATTTGCTGAAGATTAAACGCAAAAATAAAAAAAAACATTTCATTATTGCTGAAAAAAATTGTTAACCTTTCAACTAAATTTTACTATTAATAATTAAAAATATATTAATATTTAAGTCAAATATATACTTATTGCCTGTCTTACACTTTAAAAATCAAATATATACGTTTTGTTAGATTTAATGTATTATATAATATTTAAGTTAAATATTTTTATATATGTTCAATTAACAAAATAGTAATTTACAATTCGTTGAAAAGTTAATTTAATCAAGTTAACAATTTTATTTCAGTGTACAAATAATTATTTAATATTGCGTCAAAATTTTTGTGGAATAAATAAAAAATCTCGCCGAATAAATATTCCGAATTAAACGGATTGCTCTATTAAAGTGATATACGATCAAATTTAACAAAGTCATCATTTCATGATAAATTAAGAATGAAACACTGTAAATAATTCACGGATTTCAGCTAGATTACATATTTTCAGCAAATAATACATTAATATTCTTTAAAAAATCTTTTTGCCATCCAATAAAATTAATAATAATAAAGGTATAATTATTCTATAATTTGTTAATTTCTAAAATTATTTTTTTATCAATAAAATACGTAAAATTAAATGTGCAATCGTGCATTTTATTGCACGTGAGATGACGTTTTATCTATATTATCTAAAATATGCAATTATTTAATCGAGAGAGCGTGTTTTTTGATTTATTACTCCGGGATCTATTACATATCTATACATATATATGTAATAAATTAAACAATGACTAAGATATCAATCCCACGTGCGGAATTTTCGAAATACTATTTTTGTCAAAACAACATCTTTGCGATTATATGTAGATAAGAGCTTATTTCAGATGTGTCTTAATTATAATTAATACGATAAATACGTAACGTGATTACGTCATAATTATCATTTAAATTAATATATCAGTCGATCTTGCTTGCGCAATCACGAAAGGAGAAATGGAGCACGAAAATTCATATATATGTATATATTTTTTTTAAACACGTGCAAATAATGTATTATTTGCATGATAAGAGAAATCTTTTACGAGATTAAAAATCCTCGTCTCAATCCGATTACTGATATACTGCAAAAAGAATGAATAAAAAAAGGTGATGCAATTTACTTAACTGCGCGAGCTTTTTTACGAAATCTTCAAACGCGAGTTTATGATTAGGAAATAATGTTTCGTGGAATATGAATAGTTGAATAATGTATTAAATTAATTACAGTTGATATTGTTTGAGTATATCAGCGTTACTTGATAACGTCAAAAATAAATATTAAAAAATGAGAAAAAATCAATTAAAGCATTGCCTGAATCATGATTTTTTTAAGGATTTAGTTTTACAAATTTATAAAATTAATTTCATTGAATGTATTTTAATTCATTTTTATTGCAAAAAGCAGATATTTAAGCGTCTTAAAGGGTGATTTTAAAGAGAACACTGAGAAAAGAAGTTATTAACTTGATTAAATTAAATACAACATATTAAATCTAACATAACATGTATTTGATTTAAAATTATATATGTTTAATTAACAAAATAGTAATTAATTGAACGATTTAACAAGTTAATAACTTTTTTCTCAGCGCACAATAATTCTTCCTAGCAATTTAATTCAATATTATTCGATGATTCTAGCTACTTGATATTCATGCATTATATTTTGTCTAAAATTATATTTAGTGTTGACATTTGTACTTTAATGAAAAATTTGATATTAGAAAATTAATTTTGCCGATATACATTGACATATGACTTATTTGTACTTACGTCATTCATGAGATAAGATTAAGAGACGTCACAAAAATTCCTTCACTATTAAATTCCTATCACACCATACAGATTTTTATTAATATATTATAATAATAATATAATAATATTATATAAATATATTAATTAATAATATAATATAATAACTATTATGTTAATATATTAATTAATATATAAATCTTATCTTACCATCTTAATTAATCCTATAATAATATTATCCTATCATTCCTAACTCTATCTAATTCTCCTTACTAGAATCCTTCCCTCTCTCTTCCTTCCCTCCATCTCTCTCTATCTCTATCTATCTCTATTTTTTCTATCTAATTTCTCAATATAACCCTCTGTTCCAATACATTCTTCTGATCACTTCTTCAAGAATTCTCGTGAATACATTCTTTTGAATTACAAATTAGAAAATCGGCGTTTTGAAGATCGATAGAAAAATAAAAAAATATTCTTGGTATTATGTATGAGATAAAAGGATGCCTATTTTTATTAGTCACGCCTTCTTATGAATAAAATGATTGAATCAGAAAAAAATGTACGATTTACGCATTCCTTTAGCTAAAGTATCACGAAAGGAAGGAATTCCCCGTCAAGTCAAAAAAAAACCGGTAGTTGCCGGCTCGCGTTATTTAATCGTTTGTTATAAGAACTTCCTAGTTTACCCGATACAGTCCATCTAATTGTAGTCTACAATAATGTGAATAATTTTTTGCCATTCATCTATATACATACGGATTGTTCAACCAATTATTGTCGGATTTGCTGAGTTCGAAGATCGAGATGAATCAACAGCCACATATCGTTTCTCAACAGTTTTGCAATAAATATATATTATGATCTCTATCATCACTTGTTTCTTCACGATTTACGATATTTGTTTCTTCACAATTTTATCCTTTATCTATATTAACAGAAAAGAATACGCAATTATCTCGATTCTAATCGTTCATTGAGTTCTTTTTTTTAATGAGAGAAGAGAAAAATAAAACGCTAAGAAAGGGAAGATCGATTCTTGAGATTAAATCCGTTGGATAAAAAAATTTTGGAAAAAAAGATGCGCTGCTGAAACGCTACATAAAAAAAAAAGCAAGATATTACACAGGGTTGAATAAGTTAATGATTTTTTACAACTAAGTTAAGTTTAAGTTAGTTGCTTATAAAATTAATTTAGTTAAGTTAAAATTAACTAAAGTTAAATCAAAAGTTAATTTTTAAAAACATTATATTAAATTAGAAATTTATTTGTTAATTCTTTTAAAATTTATAACAAGTAACAAAGAAATTTGATTTTTATATAGAAATATATTATTTGGTAATTACAATTGATGACAAATAAACATAAAAATTATTAACTTTAATTTAAAAATAATATACGTTTATAACTCAAAAAAACAATAATGGTACTTAAAGAGATAAAAAATAAAATTTAACTTAGGAAATAAGTTTACGGTCAAAAATAAGTTGAAGTTAAAAATTAATACATTTTAAATTAACTAAGCTAAGTCAAAAGTTATTAACTTTTTAACATTTTTAAAATTTTCAACTAATTAACTATATATAGTTAACAACCAACCCTGTTCTATATTAACAGAAAATAATGCGCGATTATCTCGATTCTAGTCGTTCATTCTTTTAATAAGAGAAAAAGGAAACGAAGAAAAGGAAGATCGATTCTCGAGATTAAATCCGTTAAAATCCGGATAAAAAAAGATGCGCTAAAACGCTATATAAAAAAAGAGAGAGCAAGATATTACATAATTTTGGAACGGGCTCGATTGCGAAGGTCGCGTAATGAACGCATAAGGAATAACGATCCAACAGGCTGATGAATGTAAAAAAGAAATATGTGCACGAGGTGAATTATTTTCTACGATGAGAGAGAGAAACGATGATTCTTACCCAACCATCAGCCATGGCCGCAAAATCAAGGGATGTGGAAAGTGGACGGAGTCCATATAATGATGATGATGTTTGTAGAAATATTACGACATATACGGTATGCGTGTCAGAGAGTAATATTTTCTGAGTTTTCCTTCACTCTGGTAAAAGAAGCGTCAAGTCATTAATAAAGAAACATGCACCGAGGTCGGTGTAACTATACATATTGTGTGCGCATAAATGTCAATACATATTTAGTAATATATATATATATATATATATATATAGTTCATTTTTTATCGTAGATTTGCATTTCAAATCACATATTACCATATGTAAGATATTCTTTGATTGCATTGTTTAGTTCCAATAATATAAAACATCTTTTTCCTCATCTTTCATCCGTGCAATTTCCTGCCTTTTCATAAAATATATTGAAATAAATATATTAAATATATAATCACATATTTAATAATATAATTATAAAATTAATTTAAATATATTAAAATATAATTATATTACAATATCTTCTTATATTTCATATTTTATATTTATATAATTACATTGCTAAGATTGTAAAAAAAAATAAAAATAATATTTTCAATAATATAATCAACTGTCGCTTTTTAATTATTGTCTTTAATATAATTCACCATTGAATATATTTTTTGCCATAATTATTAAATATTTTAATAGTTATATTGCTCAAAAATACTGGAAAAGATTACATAAAAAGTAATTTTCTAATTAATATACATATAAGCAATATAATTATCACCTGCTTTTAATTATATATAAATACGATATATTCAATAAATAAAATCATATCAGTTTAATAAGATTTATCATTGAACATTGCAATTATTATGTCATATTTCAACGTCAAAATTAATTCCATATATTAATTTTGAAGTTTATATATATATATATATATATATATATATATATATATATATATATTTAATTCAATTTAAAGCACTTGTACTTTTTTTACAATAGTGGGAAATTAATAATTTATATATATATATATATATTTCTTTTATTGCAATCTCACGCTATAGCCTCGCATCCCAAAATTAATTCCATATATTCCCAGATAGTCACAGTAATTATTATATCATTTTGATGTCAATGCATCATTTGCCATCAAAATGATGTCATAATAATCACTGTGGCTATCTGAGTTAATTTTGAAATTTATATATATATATATATATATAATTATACATATTTAATTCAATTTAAAGTATATCCACTTGTATTTTTTTACAATAGTGGGGAATTAATTATTTATATATATTTTATTGCAATCTCACCTGTAACCTCGCATCTCGAGGAAGAGGGAAGAGAAAGTCCGGCCCGGAATGTCTCGGTGATAGCATAATATTGACGAAAACAACAAAGTTACGTGTAACCAATGTACAAGGACGAAAAAGAGCATTCCCCTTTACAGCATATCCGATAATCGCCATCTTTCTTTTCGTATAAATAAATATATCTTTCTCCATCTAGAGCTCTGCTCTCTCTCTCTTTCTCTTTCTCTGCTTGCAACAAGTACGTGTAATAATCTAAAAATTAAAATATATATTTTAGCTTAAAAAACATGAAGAAAATATTATATTTAAGGATTGTAATTCGTAATTAACAAAATAGAGTAATTAATGAAAAATTATATATACAGCGTTAAAAAAATTATATTTAAAAGATATATATATATATATATATGTGTGTGTGTGTGTGTGTAGAAAAGTTCATTAAAATATAGAATAAAAAATATATATATATAATTGAAGGTTATAATGAATCATATACAGAGATTAAAAAAAGATAAATAATCATTTCATGTATACAATATAAAATTACAATTAATATAACATTAAACGATACATTATTGAATTAAAAGATTAAGTGAGAAATTCATAAGTAAAAAGTATGGAAGCGCGATTTATATGCGTAAATTTTCTTTTATATCTTGTGAAAAAATTGTTCATATCTGAAACGCTAATGCGTTGTACATATAACATAAAATTGAAGGTTATAATAAATCATATACATGAGATTAAACGAAGATTAATAAATTTTACGTATAATACAATCTAAAATTACAATTAATACAATATTAAACGATACAATATCGAATTAAGATTGCTTGAGTGAGAAATTCACAAGTAAAAAATATGGAAGCGGGTTATGTGCGCGAATTTTCTTCCATCTTGTGAAAAAATTATTCATTCTACCGCTAATTAGCTAATTAGCCCGCTTCCCCTTTATTCGTAAATACCTTTTAGACCCTCTCTAACTTCGATCTCAACGAAAAATCGTTCCTTCTTCGGACGACAATTTTATACACGAACAACTTCACGCCGGCGCTCGCGCATCCGAAGCGCGCGTGCGCGCCCGATGACGTCACACGCTGTACCGGCGCTCTCGCGCGCTCGTCGCGCCCTCTTTCGGGATGCGGCAGAAGCGCGCTGTCACCTTCGAAAAACATGGCGTATGTTTTGTTTTGTGCGCGAGGACGATGGTTACGCGCGGAGCGTCCGAAGTTTCCCTTTATTAATTAAAGGAATTTAAATTCTCCTCTCGGGAGAGGAAAAGTGACAAGTGACAAATCAAAGTGTCATCGCATGCGGACAGTGGAAGAAGGAGGAGGACGCGATGAACGCGACGAGCCTGTACGTGTCTACGTGTCGACTGGTGCTGCAGGCGGACGCCGAGGACCCCAACTCCTGGACGGACCTGTACAGGTTGGTGCCCTACCTCCGGCAGAGTCTCAGCTGCACCGTCTGCTCGAACCTGCTGATCGAGCCGCACACTCCGACCGAGACCAACTGTCAGCACCACGTGTGCCGGGGATGCCGCGGCGGTCGCAAGAAGCTGAAGCCGTCCTGCGGCTGGTGCAAGGACTATGACAAGTACGTGGAGAACGTGCAGCTGCGGATACTATTGCAGTGCTACAAGAAGCTGTGCGAGTACCTCACCAGCACCGGGGTCTACCGTACCCTTCTGCTGTCTGTGACGTCCGCGAACAGCGCTACCACCAACGGGGCGCCGTCCACAATTGGTGCTAGCAGTCTGATGGAACTGATCCAGGAGGTGCGGGTTTCAAGGATGAGTTCAAGAGCAACGCTGGCCTGTCCAAGTCTGCGTACAGCATCCTACCATGTGTATATACCAGTACCACCTCTACGCAGACTCAGGGTAACAGCATTCAGACCACCGAGGCCATATCCCAGAGTATACCTGGTGCGTACATCATTGGTGTATGTTATTTATTCATGTGAAATGATGTACGTATTTTAAATATATTTTTATTATGTATTATATATTCTTATATTTATATATTCTTCTTGTACTTATTTATTCTTACTTTTGTCAAACTAGAATCGCCAACGATTCGCACGGTATCCAATGGATCCTCAATATATTCTGTGATGTACGCTGGATCTGGTAACAAAATTACGATAAAACGTAAGGCTGCTGCTACAGAGGACACGGAGACCAGTCAACAGGAGACTGACGGGAGCCAGCACAGCTCTGTAGGAGGGGTAAAATGCATTCCGTCTTCCCACCTTAGATATGGGACCCCTTCTGAGAAAAAGTCTTCAAAGAGCAAAGTAATTTCAATAGATACTCGGTTAAGCTTATATACGACCTTACAGGATTTTTACATTTGCACTATAATCTTCGTTTAAATGCTTAAAGATATGCGCGTCCTCCGTAAGGTACACTTCTTGTAAGGTACAATAATTTTTCTGACCTATTAACAATTACGTAGCTGAATACTGGTGATTAACTACCTGTACATATTTATCGCTTTCACTTTTTTTTTTGCACTAATACTAGTTTTAGAGAATATCTCGAGACTCATCTAGGTCCCATAAGAAAGATTAATGCAGATGTTTTTGTCCATATTTTGTTCCAACATTTAATTTAATTACTTCTGCATTGATCTATAATGTCTAGTTTCATACCAATGTTTCTTTACAAATATATAAGAACTCGCTTTGTTGTAAGCAGTCCTCGGGCAGTTTTAAGAAGCCAAGGTCAAGTTCCGCTAGAAGTAAAAGGAAAGGATGCAGATGCGGCAACGCCACTGCGATACCTGGGAAACTTACCTGTTGCGGTCAAAGGTGTCCTTGTTATGTGGAAAGTAAACCTTGTGTAGAGTGTAGGTGTAGAGGTTGCAGAAATCCTCATACGGCAGATGGATTAAAGGTGAGTTTAATTTACTTTACTTAAAAAATTTGTCTAATTCTTTTCTCGAGCATTTGTTTTGTCCTCTTACTTAATTCTTGTCTATATTTCAGATCCGTCCACATATTCCTGAACTTCATAATTTACAATTGCAACTGTCCACCTCTCTGGATTGCGATGCACTAAGCGGAGACCCTCTGGGAACTGTACCGCAGTGTCTGTCGACGTCTCCTACAACAATACAAGTTTTAAATGTGTATTCTACTCCAAGACTAGATATTGACAATGTACCGCAAAACTTACCGGCTGCTCTGTTAGTGGGGGAAGACGCTATGGTGAGTACTGAAAGTGAAGCGGAAGACAGTGATGTACAAATTGATGTGTGACAAAGTATTTAAATGAATATTTGCAAAGGTGATAACAAATACCTATAGGAACATTACTTTATAACGAGTCCGCCTCTAGTTCTAAGCAGAAAAAGACGCATTTATGTAAATAGCTTAATCGAAACTGATCGAATCTATTGATGAAAATTATAAGAATCAAAAATAATGCAATTAAAAATTAGCAATGGCGATAATAAACATGCATATATATATGTGTATATATGTATGTGTTTTTACTGTCTCTTATATATTTGTGTAAATATTTTGTACATGAACTGAAAAATTTAATTCAATGCTTAACACGTTCCATGTCCCACTGGACTTTCCACTCAGTTTGTTTTTTTTTTTTTTTTTTTTTTTTTTTTTTATTAAATGATATATTGTTATACAATATTTTGTAAAATCATGTATTGATGCCTAAATGCATAGTGCAAGTTGTCATATCATATATGTTTAAATATTGTCAAGCTTTATATCAAGACTCGTTTTATTTCTTGTCAGTCTGAAAAACACTTGATTACAGTCATGATAATATTTACCCAAAGAATTATATATTTATTTTATAAAACAACATAAAGATATATAATGCAAAAAATGCACTTTGTATATGTATATAAAACAATGAGACACTATGTAACTATTATACATAATTCTTTTTTTCTTTCTATTTTATAGCAATAATGTTCTTTGTCTTATTTTGTTCTATAGACCATTTTAAAAGTTACATTGTTTCTTAATAATAATAATTTTTGCAATCTTTGAAATATTATATATATTATAAACAAAATTATGAGATAACATGAATGGAAAGTCACCAAAAATCAGTTTGGCACAGAACATGTTAATCATAACAACAGTCAATTGTGTCTATAAGATCTATCATCGTTATAATTTATCATCTGTTATTTTATTATATATGATGATGCGTTTTATGCATTATTAACATGTTTTAAAAATGTGCAGATGCTTATAACTTCTGCTGAATATTGTTCTGTTAATTGTATAGTATAAAAGGCAAGTTTCGTACATGAAAATATTTCTCAAATGATTTACTATATGTGTAAACATGTATTCACATAATTCTAATAATTTTCTACGTAAACATAAATTTTGTTCATATTTTACGTAAAGATACGTTAATATATAATGTTGCACATTTTATAGATAGATGCACATGAATATGTGTATTGAAACAAATTTTGAGTTAATATGTGTATTCTAACTAAATTAATCTGAATTAATTGAAACAAAAGCTAGCTAAATTAAAAAATGAGAAAGCTGATGAATTGAACATTACGCGTCAAAAATATCTCGTCAACTTGCCAGTTGTACATACAATGTGACAAAAAGATCGTTATCTATTTTGCATACTAATTTTTACAATCCTTAAGTATATAAAACGCAAAGGGTGAGTGATGTGGGGCGGCAACTTGTTAAATTTTCCTACAATTTAAGATAATTGCATCGAAATAATGTGACAAATACTCTAAGTGAATAAGCTACGTATACTAACAGAAAATAATCTAAATAATAAATGAGGGAGATAAGAAGATACATACGTAATTCGGGTTGTAAAAACTTTTTTTTTTTTTTTTTTTTTTTTTTTTTTTTTTACTTTAGATTGTCGAAAATATAATTAGATAAATGCCTAGTTTTTATTTGCCTTGAAATTTCACTTGAAAGCAGATTCATGTTAAGTAGCGTCACTATCAGAATTGGATTTTTCTATCACTACAAATGTAAATTCTATATAAGGCGACAAATTCTCAAAAATTTATTATTAATTTATTAATTATTAATAAAAAAACATTGAATTTAAAAGTTTATCTTTTGTCGTGCCACACTTCAAAAGCAGAAAAAATATTTTTATTTACTTTATAAATTATTATAAAATAAATTTAATATAAAAAATTTTACAAAGAAAAAATATATATATATATATATATATATATATATATCGATAAGAATTCTTTTATTCTTTATTAATAAGAAAAATTCTTTATTTTATATAAATACTTTGTAAAATAAAAATGTTATTTTTTATTGATAATATTTTTCTTATAAAGTATATACGTTATTATTAATAAAATCTGCAACGTGTCACCGATCAGAGAGATAGCAATAAAGAGTATATTAGATATACAAGATTATACACTATTTATAATAGCAATTAATATAGTTTGTATGTCAAAATTTATTTATATTTACTTTATTTCTTATTATTGTATATGATATGTATATTACTTATTTTTGTTACACATATATATACAAATTATTTAATAAATTATAAATGTATAAAAATATATGCAGATAATATCTTTTTTTTTCAAACAATACTATTTATGTTTCTGTGGGCAACAAAAAGTTAAATCCAATCCTGCGTGGTGACTTTATATACATATATATCATAAAATTTATAATATATATATATATATATATATATATTATATACATTATTATGTAAATGTATACATTATTAGGTAAATTATGTCAAAAGGGCGCATAAACTGTATTTTTCAGAAATAATTCTGTCGATATGAAGAATAGCAAATTTTAGAATATTAATTAAATTTCGCGTATAATCGAATATGTTAATTACTCACATTTAAAGCGTACGAAACATTAGTACAAAATTACTAAGTGTATGTAGAATATTTTCTAATTTCTGTGTGTGTATGTGTGCGTGCGTGTGTGTATGTGTGCACTCTTCTAAAATATCTATAATCCATCAACTGTTGCTCATATGTAATCATGCTTGGATACAAATAAGATACTTATATCAATTCTTTCACAACAATAGTCGACACAATAGCACAATACACTCTAACAGCACATAAATGATCTCATAATTTGCGATAGGACGGTTCAGCAAACGTGAACAGAAAGAGAATATCGAAATAAAATAAATACATATGGGCGAAATCCTTTGTAAATCTTATGAATAAGAAACATTTATACAGTATATGATCCGCAAACACATTAAATAATAAGGCAATATGCAATAAAGCTCAACATAAGATAAAATTAATGCAAAAATGTAATATTATCTATTTTTATATGTAAAAGTTAATATTAATCTAATTGGTATATTTTGATTCACTCAAAGTTGACTAACTTATAATTTTGAGAATTACATACAAATATATAGATATATATATAATAAATTAAATCTTGCTCTGTTTATTAATTTTGTCTTATGTAAAGCTAAAAATAAATTGGAAATTGTTTAAATTATTTTAAAATCTAATTGTAACAGAAAATAAATTTTAAAAAAATCGCATTTTCTAAAATCGATTCTATTAGGTATCGCACAATGCATTTTAATCAACATAGCACATTAATAACTATGTTTCACATATATGTACATATTACAATAAGGCAAAAACAGCAATTGGGACCTAGTTTAAATGGTACATTCAGGTATAATTGAGGAGTGACTTTAAAAATATTGATCAGAAATGTGATCATGATTTGATCATCGATAAAGCATAATTATTCATAGAAAATAGCAATAATAATAATACAGTGTCCAGAATAGAAAACACATACATATAAGTCACATTTTAATATTTAATTGAAGCACCATTTTCTGCCACATATGGCATAATTTTTAATATTTTAAATAGAACTTTTAAAAATTCAAAAATAAAAATTGTTCAAGTCAAAAAGTTTAAAGTGAAATTATACAGCAAACTATAATTAAATTAGAAAGTTACTCCTCAATAGAAGATCAATTATTCATGATACAATTAAGAGTCGAAATGCAGTTTATATTGTAAAATATATAATTCTTGAAAAATGTGAATATTTCATCGGAATTGTAACATTTCTCTTGTATGTAGTATACATAGTATTCGTTAAAATCTTTTGTTATTCATAAATTATTAATGTATCATGTACATCATGGAGTTAAGGGACGTATGTTTTAACTGTGTAATTTGTCGAATCATGTTAAAACTTATCCGAAAAAGGAAAAGAAAAATGCGATTGCATATTGTCATAAACGTATAGAGCTAATAGAATAAAAATATTTTACATACTAGAATTTGCATTATTTTGTAAAAAGGAAAGAAAAAAGAAATCTGCGCATTTATTTTATACATAAACAACATATGAGAATTTATGCGAAAAATTAAATTATTTATTAAAATCCTTGTTTAAAATAACATTTTTGTATTTATTACTATTTTACTAAATTACGAACAATGCGAATATAATTTTATATTACGAATAATATAAATATATATATGTTTGTTACTCTTTTTCATATACTTTGTTATATATTATAAGAATATTTACATCTCCATGTAAATATTTTTATAACATGACAAATAATGATAAATGACAAATAATATGAAAATAATAATAGAATAATATGGAATAATATGGAAATAATAATGACAAATAATATGAAAGATATAAAATTTTACATTTTATTCCATGCGTTTTTTTTCGTTATAATATTGTACAGCTTGCTGTTATGTTCATCGATAATGTTAAAGAACTTGTTGAAAAATCGTTCGGCTGATTTTTCTAAAACATTTCTCTTCTGGTAATTGCACCTAATTTATCCGTAGCCTCTTCTATTTCTAGATCTATTGCTCGTACATCTGGCATCGTCTCCTGTATGTGTTTAATTTCATTGTTCAACACCTCTATCTGTTTCGTCAATTCAATTTTCTCATTTCCCACGTCTGCCTTCATTTTATCGATGCAAGATCTCTCCTCTTCCAATTTTTCTTCATTTACAAGAGATTTAACTTTCTGTTCCAGTTTCTCCAGTTTTGTGGCCTCCGAACAGATTTGAAAGTCCACTTCGCTGCATTGCTTCGCCAATAATTCTTTGAAATTATTCATCAAAGCAAATTTTTCCTTCATAACATCTATCATCTGTGGATTAAACAATCCTTCTTCCGGCAATTTTAATTCATCAAAATTCACATCGATGTCGTTGTCGACATGCATAAAGATCTCTTTATTATACGCCCACACTGCTTTCTTGAGATTATTATTGCAGGATGCTAAATTGATGTCCAAGGTGTACAATTCCTTTTCGTAATCTGTCAAATGCTCATCAAATCCATATATGGAATTTTGTATTTCCGTGCATTGTTGGACAATCTTTTCCTTTTCAGACTTAGACATGGGTTGAGTCTTCACAATTGAGATTAATTCTTTATACTGTGTATCTGCCACTCGAATTTGCTCGTTCACAATTTCAGTTTCCATATTCAAATGTTTTGTTTCGTCAGAAATATTTTTTATATAATCTTCCTTCTCTTTGATGCTGTTGAGCAGCATAGCTTCCTTGTCGTGTAAGGACGATGATTTTTCGCTCAATTTTTTTACGGTTTCGTCGATTTCCCGTGATTCCTGTTCCATTATCTGTAATTTTGAGTTATTTTCTTCCAATTGTTGATGGATCTGAACCATATCTCCCTCAGAGACACCTTTCAGATCTGCAATGTCCTGTTTATATCTCTCCAATAATTCTGCTTCATCGTTGTGTCTCTCCTCGTTCCAAGCTCTATAGCACTCTAACTGTGCTATGAATTCTATCTTGCTACACTGAGTTTGTTGTTCCGTTCCTATGAAGGGTAAAGTTGTCAACTGGTATGCGTTGAACGCAATTTCTTTTACCTGACACACCTCAACCAGCCAACCGATCCATCCAAGAACATTGGGCCAGGAATGTGTCGCACTGGCAGTTTTCAACCATGATTTGGTCATCACACCAGGGTAATGCACCTTCTTCGCACACTTTGGAAGCTCTTCTATGTAATTTGCCGATGTGAGCTCTTGCTTGATATCCAAGATCTTCAACAGAAAAGCAGAGACTTCTACAAATATCTTCAACGTGACAGGCTTTAGACTGCCGCTGCTATTGAGCATGCTCGACTGCTGATTCATGTAAAAGAAAGTGTCTATCTTATGGAGTAAATCCATCTGATAACTCTTATCTGCCAAGGGCCTCGTGTCCTTTCTGGGACCCTTGACACCTCCTCGCTCGCTTGATGGCGATCGACCTGGCGCATATCCACTAGATCGTGCTGAATTGGGCAAATTAAGCTTGGCGGAACCTTTCAGAGGTGTAGCTATAGTTGTCGATGCACGTAGAGGAGTTCTACCTAAACCTGTACACACAAATATATTTATATCTCTGCGCTGTGATTTAAAGATTTAATAAAATGATTTACATAAAAGAAATATTCATTTATTTTTATATATTAATACACATATTATTTTATATATTAATATATATATATATAACAAATTAATAAATTATAAACAAATAAATATAAATACATATAAATTATAAATAAATATATATACATATATGTATAATAAATTAATAAATAAATTATAAATAAATAACTAAATTATGAGTGAATTATTGTAAATAAATAAATTATAAATTGCATATCCAATTAGGTGGGAATACATTTAAAAAAAAATCAGAAAAGACTTGTGTAAGGAACATTTATTCCAATCCTGTATAAACACTTTTGAATTACCTAATCCTGGCGGTTTTAAATACGATATCCTGGCGCCGATCGATCCCGCCCGGTCGCTGGAGGAGCTTCTGAAGCGGGGCCTGGGAATGTGACTCTCGTTCGTCGAGACTCTCTTCGGCTTCAACGTTTGCGTCCTTCGCTGCTCACTTCGGGAACGACGATTATCCATCCTGGGAAATCCTGTCCGATATATTCGAATTTGTTCTCTCCTTGTGAATGTTTTCCTCCCTAAAATCCAGCATTTATACTTCTCTTCTGCGTCTTCTTCAAGGAGACCTAACTTAACCAAGGATTTTCAAAGTTTTGAAACGGTTAAAAACCGCCGAAGAAACTCGGGTGACACGTGACACCAACCTGTCAAAAATAGGGAATTTTTCCGAACGTTTTGATTGGTTGGTTTTTTGGAAACTCTAGATTTCCCTAGCTCAGCAGCCAATCGAAACGTCTGACGGATCTTCGATCGACCAATCAGCGTGAAGAATTTATTTTTCTCCTTTTGCTGAAAAAATATATTTTATATAATTTTTTTTAATATGTGAATTTTTCTTTTTATAATGCATTTTAAATAAATTAAAAATTATCAGACATGCGGAATTAATGATTTATAATTAATATATTTTACGACGTCGTCAGACTTCATAATCACCGGCGTATCGTGAAGGGGATACATCGCTTTTTCACGTGTAATTTTTTGTAATAAATAGAATGTGGAATATAATGTTAAAAAAGTTATTTAATACTATTGTTAAGACCCAAAAATTGGAGGTAAATTTCTTGCATTATATAATAAGAGAGAGAGAGAGAAAAAAAAAATGTAACTGTAGAGGTTAACTTTTATATAAATACAATGATAAACTTTGTAATTAAAAATTATTACATAAAATTTGCCCTACATTTTTTCTGTTTTATATATATTATATATTATTTCAAATATAACAAATTTTTAATATTTCCCTTATTTTTTATTTATTATTTTAATTTATTTATTTTAATTTACAGGTATGCAAATATTGGAGATCAAGTGCGATGGCTCTGAAAATAAACAATATGTGTACCGATGCTGTGACTGCAGATCTTCTATCGTTAGAAGATAAAGAGAAGATACTCGAAGTAATAAATGGTAAAAGCACAGAAGATCTATTGCAGTGAGTTAATTATTCGTATAAGAATAATGTCGTATTTCGCAAAATCAATTTTTGATTATACACTTTTTATCGTTGAAATTATATTTATGTCAAGGTATTCCATAACTAAGAAGCGTGCGCAGAATTTGGAATGCCATCGGACAAATAATGGGCCTTATAAGTCTCTGGAGGATTTATTACAAGTTAAGGGAATGAATGACAAATGTTTGTACAAGTTCTACAAGTCGATCATATGTGGCAAGAAGAAGACAGGTTCTAAAAAAATTACACGAGGCTTAGTTCTAACACCGAAACCTACTACTACTCAGAAGGTTCGCACTTAACAAGAAATCAGACATAATTTTTAAATTAAATGTATCTTTCCTCTGTTATTTCTGTATCGTAAGAAATATTGCAGGATGTCAATACAGTATTAGGTATATACATAGGACCAGATATGATAAGTTGGTCATTGTTAAATCGAGATTGCCAAGTATTAGAATGGGATTACAAGTGCTTTCCACAAAGTAGGTTGAAAGTGAATATTCATTCTTTACTACAAATAGTAAGTAATCGCACCAAAAATTACAAACACAATTCTAAATTTGTTATATAATAATAATAATTTAATTATTTTTGTGTTTTTCAAGTTTCCCATTATAAACTTAATCAAAAATATCTAATGTTTTCAAGATCTCGAATTGACCAGAATTGTCAGCTGTATTTTTATTTTTTTTAGACGTTACCAATAGCTGCAAAATTACCAAAAGCTGATCGATATATAATGCAAGAAATTGTTAGTAAAATGGGCTATCACAAGGACAGCCCACTTTATCAAGTTTATGTACAAGAATCTGTGATAACTGGTATCATTCTGTCATACCTGGCAACATCAAATATTAAATTTAACAGTATGAAAATTGTTTTGTACACAGAAAGTTATATTAATACTAGAGAAATTAACATTCATGATTATCGAAGGAAGAAGAAATAATTTTCTTCTTTTTACATAAAGGAAAATGATTACTGAATAATAAGAGAATTTTTTCTCTTAATTTATATTAATCATTGTGTTTAAAAATATAAGTTTAATGATTAAAAAGAGATAGAGTCTAGTCTTAAAATAAATAAAGTTACATTTATAATTATAAAGTCGAAAAAAATAATCCTTATTATTCTAGTATTATAATAACATTTCATATAAAAATTTTAAAGGAAAGAACCAACGTAAAAGCATGATTATAAATTTTTCAGGTACCACAGAGTTTATAACTAGCAAGGTATTTATACTGCGCCAGCGTATTTTACCAAAAATCTACGGACTTGAAATTGGTGACGAAGCTGTAGCTACAAAATACACGATGAACAAATTACTGCAGGAGAGTGACGGAATGATGAAGACCAAAGAACGGCTGCCGAGCGTATTGATAAATACGGAATTAAAAACATGTACAACGCGCAAAATTCTATCTATCAAGAGCAAGTCAGTTGGTCTTTATTGATAGCATTAGCTTTTCTAGAATTGGTTGTACATCAAAGAACTGATATGATCGTTCGTAGTGATATATAAAGTCATTGTTTATCATTATCTAATAATGCCAAGAAGAGAATGATATTAATATTATCGATGAATTTATTTTAGAAATTGATGTTATATATTATCGTTATACATATAACAGCTGAAATATATATTTTTGTAATTTTGAATCTAAAAAGAAAAGTAGATCCGACGTTATCGATAACATTTGTATCATTATTGTATTATGTCAAAAATATCTTGACACTTCAAGTTATCCAAGATATACAAATAGATAACATAAAGGATCTTTAATAGAGTATTTATATATTTATAAACTTCAATATATGATTTGGACCATTTTGGAAATTTTCTAAATGATAGAAGGAATTGATAATTCTCGTAATATTCCATATACTCGCGAATGTTGTATTTCGTGAAAGTAATTAAAATGATTTACGAAATTGCGAGAATTATCAATAAGAATAATATATAAATATTATAGAGACTTTTCTTTCTGTACAGATCCATTCATTTATTATATCGTCACGTTTCATTATGCTATCTATTTATTTCCAAGTACGTATTGTATTGTTGCTCGCTGCTCGGATACAAACTCGTTTATCTCGTATAAGATATTTTTGCGACAAAAATAGAATTATCCGGACGACGTTTGCAAAAAACTATCGAGCAAGTATACGAGAGCAAAACGATGAGCTCGAGCCGATAAAGCTTCTCGGTGAAATGAAATATACATCTTCGTGTATTCTGTACCTATATTTTCTATTGTACAGAATATTTCTCGTGCTGAAATATATTCACATAATATTCTAATAACGACTCTTGAGATACAGTTACGGGAGACATTTATATAAGCGCTACTACTTTTTTAATCGGGCAGTGATACTGCAATGTGTTAAGAAAAAAAAAAAAGAAAATGTATACTTGTGTACGAAAATGGTGATCAAGCGTAAAGGGAAACACACCAAATCTTTATTTTTCATTCTATGTATCTGAGACTTGACTTTGGTTTACAACCGCGCTTAGGCTCCATCACGAAAATACGTACATGAACGTATCCGAGTTAAGCTTATACGCGACGAGACGTGTCCACGTAAGGATGTCGTAGAAAAAAATTTGGAAACTGTTTAAAATGTGAATTATGAAAAAAAAAGATGTATACAACAGATTGCACTGGGGAGGATTATTGTGACTTAATTTAGTTCTCTTTGTAAATGGAACGCATTGCTGTTTTTAAAACAGCGTCCAATTTTCTACGACATCCTGTGTATGAGAAAAAATGAGTAGTAATAATTACATCATTTGTTATGTACGAACAAGATTATTCGATTAATTCTGACGTTTCGGTAAAGGCTGCGCGCACCAAAACCAGTATATTTGTTATTGCACGTGTAGAGATATGTATTTTGCCACCAGGAATTTATTTTTTTTGTCAATTCCTTATCGAGCAGAAGATTATAAGAAAAATATATTTAGATATATTCATAAGAAAGAATTTATACGATTATTAATAATCGTTTAAATTAAAATTTTCCAAGAGTTTTTGATTAATAAGTGATTATAGGGAATTATTGGGGTGTCTCATTTCAATCGATCACCCGCAAAAACTTTTTCATTTTTGATTGTATAACAAATTGTTTCAGACAAAAATTGTTTGATTTGAGGAGGACAGAAGGTGGATGCTATAAACTTTTCTAAAAAGGGCTTTTTAAGGTCATTTAAAGGTCATTTGTTTATTTAATCGCTATATTTTTTTATATAAATTGATTCTTCGCAACTTTTTATAGTAAGTATTGCGAGAAATCGATTTATTATAAAAAAAGTAGTTCCATTTAAAAAAAAACAATTGACCTTCAACTGACCTTAAAAAGTGCTCTTTAAAAAATAAATAGTACCATCCGTCTCCCTTTAAATAAAGCAATTTTTGTCTAAAACATTTTGTCGTACAATGAAAAATAAAAATTGTGGAGATTGATCGACTAAAATGGGATCTGTATAAGACGAGAATATATCTGTTTGCGAGAATCTGCATGCCAATCAATGTGTGACGATCAGAAAAATGATCTACAAAATTGTCAAACTGTCAAGTATCGTTAAATTCCAGGCATGTAAAAAAAAGAACACGTGTACCTCTAATTTCCAGTTCATTATCGATTGCTCTCTTGCCTCATATAATTACGCATATTATTACAAGCATTATCTATGCGGCGTGGAATTTATTTTGTATAAATGAATTCTATATTCTTAAAAAAAAGAGAGGAAAAGACGCATGGACGACATGTGATCGCGCATCTTACAGATTTATGTTACAAAGCGTGCGCAAATACTCCGTTTTTAATTTATATACCCTTCGTCCTTCGATTATATATATATATATATATATATATATATATATATATATATATATATATATTATTCTCCGGATTATATTTATGTATAATATTGTACGTAGGTAAACTCGTGCTGCATTCACAGAGCATGCAGAAAATCTTTAGTAAAATCTATTTACCTCTTGATATTTATATTAACAAATTATATATGGACATACAATCTGCAATCGTATCATATCGTACAATAAATCGATCCGTCTGCATTTTGAATCGCATCGCCGCCAGATTTTTTCTTTTTAACACAATTTATATAATTATTAGAATGATACCCGATCAGACCAGCTGGAAACGAGTGTCGACATATATATACTGATATTTTATGTGTATATATATATATATATATATATATATATATATATATATATATATGTATACGTGTATATATACCTAATGTGTAATATCCATATACATGTATATATTTGCATTAAGTATATACACTATATACCTAACAATCATATATATTATATATACTATACGCATACAGGGTATTTCATATAGATAAATACATATTCGGAAATTGTGCCAGAGGAGAAAGAGATGTTTAAATTTTGACAAGAAATAGTAGCAACAGTTTGGATTCTTCCATCTACATATATGAAACACCCTATATATATATATATATGTGTGTGTGTGTGTGTGTGCATATTTCATTATACAATACTATAACACATTGCAAAACGAGGGGCATTAAGTACGTACATTACTAATTCGTATAATTTACAACACTCTGTTATAATAACTATAGAAACGTTCCTATTGCATGCATTATGTATAAAATCTATTGTTTAAATATACAGTTCGGGGAAGGGCCGTATTAACCGACAATGTAATGCAAAACAAATTATTTACGACATTTTGTTAAATAAAACTACGTATATATATATATATATTTTTTTTTTTCTTCTCCAAAGATGTAAAAATTTTTGACACGTCAACTGTGCGTGTCAAAAATATGAATACTTAACAATTTTAATACGTATAATTAATTTCGAAAACAAAATCGAGAGATTCCAATAACTTGGGAGATTTTTCACATCACTAATAAAACATAAAGAGTCTGACAATTTGATGTTATATCCGCTATATAATAATAATAATAGGAGTCACGCTTCGAGCAACATGTGTATACAGACACATATTTGATAAGGCTAATTATAATTATATATTCTAAATTTATTCAACATTTACAATACAATCAGAGAGAGATTTCTCTTTATCATACTTTGGTTCGAAGATTATAATGAAAAAATGGGAACACACAACTAAAGAGACACACATATATGTATATAATATATGTATATATTTCTGGGCCTTTGAACGTCCCAATTTCCCGTAACTGTATACTCTTTCCTTCCGTTCTGTTCCAACTGCACATAATAATAATGTGTATCCGCAATAAATAATTTATGTCAACGGATTCTGGAGAAATCTAGAGAAGCACACAATTTTGTTTCTCCGCAAGGAAATATACTACAATAATAATAGTTAATTCACCATAGCATTCATTCAAGTATGGGGAAAAAGTGCACCAAGATGACGAGAGATTTACAGTCTAAAGAAAGGAGATAAAATATAAGTGTATATAATAAGACTACCGCAAGATTATACTTTCGTACAAGCGTTTCTCGGACGACGACACCGGACGATTGTCGGCACGCAATCGAGTTTCGAGACTCGTATTGCTTCTTTTAATTAGGACACACTACATTCCTACAAACTTTACGCGTCTGTGCGTGGAGAGAGAATGTATCTTCAAAATCACCCAATTGTTTGGACTCACACACGCTCTACGGGGGCAGTAAAGTTATTAGAACGTAACACATTCTAGAATAACTCGATACAACAGGAAGAATTCACGATATGTGCTAAAGCTACACGATGAAAGAATATTAGAGCGGAAAGAGGGAAATATACTCGGCAAGTTCGCAATTGCTCTTTGAAATTGGTCCGATGCAAAGTGCACAATAACATTGACGATACATGTCGCTAAGAACGCTACATTTAATCAAACGTATTGAAGAAATACATTATTGCACGTAAAGGAAAGCATAAACTGAACAAGTGTTACTAATAAAATAAAACCGCGATCCATTATCGACTCTCTGATACTCTTCGATACATGGCTACTTGGTCGGAAACATTTCTCTATTATGTCACTTTGGACTAGAATTACATTAATTTAGCGATGGGCAGAGACAAATCAATTATTGCAAAACGAAAACATTTCGAATCGTTTTAAATATTATTGAAAAATCTTGAAATCATTTTGATGAGCAACGACTGCAAGATCTCATTTTAAAAGGCTTCTCGATATATTCTTTTTGTGTGTAACAATATATAACAATAACTTATGCTAAGAACACAATTTAATTAATAATATAATAATACAATAATTTATAATACTTGCAATAGAAAAATATACTCGTTCAAATATTGATGCACAATTCATATTAAAAGATTCTTCGAGATGTCAAGATTAATAAAAATTTCTAATATCCAATAATATTCGAAATAATTCGAAATTGACATATATATATATATATATATATATATATATTGATTCGATTGCTTGAAGACTTGCAAGAGGGAAAATTTGAATGCCCATTACTGGATGTAGCACATGTGAATACATGACTAATACACTGCTGTTTGAAGATAAGACATTGCAAAAATTCCTACAACACAAACTTATATTACGAGACATTCATACCGAAATAATTCATTCACATACACTAAATAATGTAACTGATTTAAACGAAGCTAATGAAAGGATCCCACATCAAATACATAGGATTTTAGCTTTTGAAAGAATTGGCTGTTTTTTTTCATATGCTATAGCTTAAGTTGTAACTTATATTGAACAAAAATAGACAGTTATTGATTAATAGCCAGTCAAATTTAGCTTTAAGGCTATTACATCTTTTATTTGACAGTACATAAGTTACAACATTTGGAAAAAAATTAGAGCCAAAATCCTATATATTTGTCTTTTAGTAAGACGTCTTTTTTCAATCATTTTATCCAGCAGTATAAATCGCGGATATACAACAAAATCTATCTATCTTCGATTTCCTCCGTAGATCTTCCCCTCTTTAGGAAGTAAAAAGGCGAAGATTCAGTGCGCGGCACAGTAAGGCATACTACTGTTACGATATTTATCCATAGGACATATTTCGATATATATATATATGTATATATATATTGCATTATATATATATCTTTAATGACGATAACATGAATTATACAACTATCGGAGAGTGTAAACTATCGATATAATAATAACATAAATTAACAAATTACTGGCTCGATCGTCATTCCACATTCGCACTCGCACGTGAAAAGGCAACACGCAACACATAGGACAAATCACATGATAGATACACACAGCGTAATGTGAACTGGACAGACTTTCTAACTCTTTTAACGCTTTACATTTAATTCATCGAATGTAAGCTAACATAAGTAAGTACTTACGCGAGTTTATTCAATATATGCGAATTATTATTATTATTTTTGTTGCTTCTCTTTTGCGCGATAAACGTCTAGAGCTCCACGTGTTCAACAATAATTAATCGAAGTCGCGAATCCATTGAAATCTCTGTCGCACTTGTTACATTATACAAGAGATACGTTGGTTTGGTTCGTTTCAAATAAATTCACTTCAAGTTTGATGTACCACGAATTCGATAACAATTACAATATTCTTTTTTTATTCCTCTTGTAGGAAAAACTACAAGAAGGGGAATGAAATACTCAGTCGAAAATAATATCACAGTCTGGAGATACACAGTGGAAGACTAAAGATGCTAACAAAGAAGAAAGAAACTTTTTTAATTGCTAAAGTGTTAAAGTGTAAATTTACTCCAGATTATCAACGACGTTTCCAGTCAATTCATTTAACTCGCTCAACTATTCTCAATTAAACTCTTGATAAGAAAAGTTTTTGCGCACGAAAAAAAATTAGAACGATGCAAAACGTCGTAAGTGCATAAACAAAAGGATAATTGGTAACAAAATTGTTGTTAACAATTCCTATGCTACCTTCTCTCTATTTCACTCTCATACTAGTCTCCCCTTACTCCCTCGCACGATTGTGATATTATTTAAAAAGCTCTTTCGCTTCGTCGAGTTTCTCAGTCACGTAGTAAATATACACGATTTATCATATATATAATAAAACGTATCTTCTCTTTCCTCTACTTCTCCTGATCGAGCATTAAATTGTCGCAAGAAGAATGGGCGGGATAATAGCACAATCATTAAAAAAAAGTGACTAGCACATTCGCAACTCTTATTCGTACAATAAGCGAATCCGTTTCTCGACTGGACTCTTATTTATCGATGATAGACGTATATATCATACATGTATAACGCATTTATCATACACACGTAATAAAAATAAGTTGACGGATTCTCGTACAATCGATCCTCGAGTTACCACGATTTATCGGCAAGACACATTGAATTTAACGCTCGGCTTAAACGCGCGGTCTCTTTATTCATCTAAATTTGCATAATCTTTTGCAAATGATAGACATACATTAAGGCTCCGATCGTGTCAGATTGTGACGTCAGAGAACAAATTCTTAGATGCCATTTCAAAAGAACTTTTTGTTTCAAATTTTGTTAAAAACAGCATCTGAGAATTTTCGACGTGTATTTTCTCGTTTCTGACGTCACGATCTGACATAGCCGCGGCGAGGATCCAAGAGCCTTAATACATGTAAGTAAAAAGCAATTAAAGAATCTTATCTTTCCTCTCTCTCTCTCTCTTATTTCGCATTTACATTTGTATTATAAAGAGTATCTTTTATATTTATCATTTTGTACGTATGCTCAAATATATGTTTTATTATGCTAAAGTATATTCGCTTTGCATCCGCGCATTTAAGCCAATCTTAAGGCTCGCTAGTCCTGGATTTCCCTATATGCATTTTGCGAGTGCTCTATATCCGAAATAGAATGCATTTTATAAGATTCTGGCATTTATTAATCTTTATCTCTTCATAAAAAAGCGGATATATAAATCAATACTCTTCTCAATTTTTTATTTTTTAAATTTTTATCTGTATTATAGAAGTTTTGGAATAAAAATGTCATACGTCGTAATCAACGCCGGTCTTTTTTCATTAAAAAAAAATTAATCTGCAATTTAAAAAATAATTGGTATTATTTCGAGTGGGAAATTATTTATCTGTGTGTGCGATACACGCTAATTTAATCATAAATAATTCTATATAAAGTTGCAATAAATTTTAAATGTGTGTGTATCTTGTTTTCAACATAATATATATAAAATTAATAAAAAACTCATAAATTTATTTAAAAATAAAATAAAAATATTATGGATTAAATGTTGCGCTTAAAAATAATTTTACTACAATATGCGTGTTTTATGTGCGATGTTTGTTCGTGCATGTACATGTGCGTAATTTTTTATTCACAAAGAGAGTGCGTGTTAATACTCGTTGGAAATGATAGATAAAATCTTGATTGTCTAACTTGATATTTTTTTCTTCATTAAGATATTATGTTCTTAAATAGATCACGTATCAAAGGATATTATATCGTTCACGTTTATTATTCAAGTTTAATATGGCAATGTTACTTTCATTATCTTCAAAAAGGAGTGATATGCATATGTGGGTATCTCATAGAAACTTTTTACAAAACTCGTGTCACTAATGCGATCACTAATATGGTCGTTTTTTTCTTCTGTAATCCATCTTCGCCAGAGAGAAGAAGAAGAGCATTCAATTTCGAATATTACAAACTCCTGCTTATGTCTCATTAAATGTAGCTGCCGATTTGCTTGTAAAATATGAATAATGACGAGAAGAGGAGGAATTTACACGCGAGTTGTATAGATTGAATACATCGAGATAAAACTGTTAAGTTCCATTCCAGGGATAAGAATATTAATATAATAACGCGTATTTAATATATATATATATATATATATATATATATATATATATATATATATATATGCTGTCCTAGATCTCTCAAAGCATTATATTCCAATCTTTCGCCGAGACTGATAATAATAAAATGAAGATATATTCATTTCGCAAACGATCGAGCGAGTAATAGAATGCACTAACGTACTCTCTCTTTCTCTCTCTCTTTCTCTCTTTTTTTGATCTAGTACAGTCTTAGAGAATAGTTATTAAATATCTGTTATTGTTTATACATAGTCGAGTATAGTCGAGCAGCCTATAGTTTTGTTCAATGTGTGTCGTAGGTATAAACTTGGTAACTATATCGTCGACGAATCTTAATCGGTATACGTCTAAAGTTGAACAGTCATACGAAACAGTTGACCTCGAGACGATACTCGAAATATACGCGGGATGAGATTCAAAAGTAGGTGGTACAAGTTCTCTCTTTTGTGCTCGTTATACATTATATATATATATATATATATATATATATATATATATATATATATTTATATTTATGTATATATATATACTCTATGAAAATGTCGCGTGTCCTTTAGCGACGACGTTGTGTCTCTGCTCGTAGACAGTTCATCGAATGTCGGAGATGTTGGTTTTGCTGCCGAATATTTTGACTAGCTGATCCTCGTAATCGTCAATATTACGTTTCATAAGTTCCATACACGGGCCGAGCAAACGCTCAAAAGCCTCAACGTCCAAAACTGTAAACAACGATTTAAATAAATCAAATAATCCCTCGCTTTAGAGACGAAATTAATTTATTATTATTATTTGCGCAGGATCGATATTATAAAATCGCGCGCGCGCGTGTGTGTGTGTTTGATATAAATAGAAAATTTTACAAGGCGTCTCCTCAAATTTTGTAAAAACAGATTCACCGAGAATTTTCTGGTAAAAATAAAAATTTATTATAAACGTCTCAAGGAATACTAAATTATTTAAATTATTTATTAAAATTAATTAACTTATTAAATTTTTATTTAATTATTTATTAAATAAATAAAAATTATTAATTTATTTAAATATTATCTATTAAAAAATTGAATAATTTTCTACAAAAATCATTTATATAAGATCTTAATATTAAAGATAGATTATCAATAAAAAAATCACACAAAGTTTTAATAAAAACTGAAATTTTGCCACGATACATTAGACATATGTTTCTTAAGTGCTAAATAAGAATAAAATTAACAAAAGGACAATTTATCTTTAATTCCCTAAATTTTAATCAAATTCCATGAGAATTCTCTGATAAAAATAAAAATATAAAACAAAAAATAAATTTATTTAAATTATTTAATAAATAAATAAGAAATAATAATTTATATAAATATTATCTATTAAAAAATTGAACAATTTTCTATGAAATTTAAAATTTATATAAGATCTTGAGAGAGATATTAAAAATAAATTGATCAATCAGAAAAATCACGAAATTTTAATAAAAACTTAAATAATGCCAAGATATGTTAAACATGTGTTTTTAAATGTTAAATGTTAAATAAGAATAAAATTAACAAAAGGTCAATGTTTAAAAAATTATCTGAATCTCAATCAAATTCCCTGAAAAAATACCAGGTTTTCGAAGTTTTTCCAGAAGTATTTAATTAATTTCAACAAATTAGTAAAAAATATTTAATTAAAATAAATTAGTATTCCTCGAAGACGTTTATAATAAATTATTTATGTTTCATATTTTTTATCTTTTTGTTTTACATATTTATTTTATCAGGAAATTCTCAAGGAATTCCGGAAATTTTTTACAAAATTTTAGACACCTTTGTTTTGAATCCATAGAAGAAATATCGCGACTCACTCTCTCTCTATATCTCTCTTTGATACACATCTAATAATAACAGTAATATATTACTTTAAATATCAATATTTCGTAAATGCGTTATTGACGCCTCTGTTATTGATTACCTATCAATTCGAGAAGTCGTGGGCTATAAAACGAAATAGACTTACATGCCAGTTTGATATCCCCTACAGCGTAGGCCGAAGCGGCGCGTGGTTTATGCGTCACGAGTGCCAGCTCGCCTAAATAACCGCCAGCCGGAACACGATTAATCTGCGCGATATTAAAGGTACTGGGTTAAGTGAGGAAAACAGAAATTTTCTTGGCGCTCCCAGTAGTCGTAGTCGTATATAATAAACGTAGCCCCGGATCCGTGAGTGAAAAACTGAATTATAAACGTAATAATAAATGACCTACCTCAATCTCACGGCCGTTCTCGCCGAGTATAGTGATCCTGACGATGCCGTCCTCGACGAAGTACATCCCGTCCGCGGTGTCGCCCTGCCTGATTATCTGCTGGCCGTCGGAATACATTTTCGGTACCAGAGCATCCGCTAGATTCATACGTTCGTAAGGCTGAAACAGAAGTTTCACGTTTATATTTTCCGACGTTAGAGGGCGCGATACACAATAATTTAGAATTATATTAATTTATTATATTATAATTATAATATTAATTATAATATTAAAATTATAATTATATTAATATATATAATATTAATACATTGTATGAAAATATTAATTTATAATTGTATTTAATCTTAGAATATGAAAAAGACTAAAGAGTTACTTAAGATGTACAGCGCAAACATACATAATCGATAAAAAGAAAAAAGAATGAACGATTGAAGCGTAATAATAATATACTTACCTCGAGAGATTTCAACATCGGCACTTTATTGATAAGGGCTTCGTACATTTTGCGCTTCTTGTACGCGGATTTGAGGAGAATACGTCGGAAGGTCTGTCTGTCCATGGCCCAGAGGGTGCCGAGGGTGACGGCCTTGACGGTGGCCGCTCTGGGCATGTTGTACAGGAGGGCCAGTTCTCCGAAAGCGCCGCGATTATCGTAAGTGTGAATCCGATTATCCGTCGCCGTGTTGGGATCCTTCACGTAAACGTCGAACTTTCCCCTAAAAACGCACCAAAAGACGTTATTAAAAGCGAATTTTGGACAGAAAAGACAGAATTGGTTGCTTTTTTTCGCATGTTGTAGCTTATGACTTGCTGAACAAAAGATGTAATAGCCTCGAAGCTAAATATTCGACAATTACTGAGTTACAGCAAGTCATAAGTTACAACATGTGAGAAAATCAACTGATTTTATTAGGCTTCAAGTTCATCTAGAATTTTATATAGGTTCAAAAAATCCTACTAATCATATAAAATTGAATCTTGGTAAGATCAGCTAGTTTTCTCATATCTTGTAGCTTATGACTTGCTGAACAAAAGATGTAATAGCCTCGAAGCTAAATATTCAACAGTTGCTGAGTTACAGGCAAGTCATAAATTATATGTGAGAAAATCAGCTGATTTTACTGAGATTCCACTTTATCTAAGATTTTATATAGGTTCCAAAATTCCACTAATCATATAAAATTGAATCTTGGTAAGATCACCTAGTTTTCTCATATGTTGTAGTTTATGATTTAAACAAAAAATATAATAAACTCAAAATAATAGACAGTTACTGATTTATAACCAGTCAAATATAAAAAATTAGACTCTGCGTATTATTTGACTGGCTGTAACTCAGTAACTATCCAATATTTAGCTTTGAGGCTATTACATCTTTTGTTCAGCAGAACATAATCTACAATATCTGAAGAAAACAAACAAGAACCAAAATATGACATGTATTCGATGCTGGGCCCTGTCTGTCTTGAATAATTACGCGTAAAATAATTGTGCGTGCAATCGAATGATAAGATAATTTATTGATTGAACGATTGTTCGAATATTTTCAGCTCTAGAGAGTAAAAGAGCCCCGCGATCGAGCGACTGTGAGCTGCGCATCTCATCTTGGTTCATTGGAGCTTCCCGCTGAAGGGAGAAGCCTATCGATACGTTAAGTGTAATATATAAAGAAAAAGTATTATACCTCTCGATCACATAAAAGTTATCACCATCGTCGCCCTGTCGGATAATAAATTCTCCCGGTTGAACGGTTTTTTCGAACATCGCGTCAAGTACGTCCGCCATTTGTTCCTGCAAAAGTAAGGTTTTATTATTATACGTATAAATACACACTTTAGACACGGATATTATCATCGTACCAGGATTTAAAATATGTATCGGTTTTAAAATTGCAAATACGGAGTGTGTCGCGTGAATATATATCGTGGCAATAATGTATACGTGCCTCTGCATACGTAAGTGCAGTTTATATATACATATTACGAAAGAGAAATTTCACGAGACACGCTTTACCAATAACTTATAGTTGATAGATTCTTAAAATGATATAAAACATTGATTTTTACTCGCTCGAAAATCTTCAGACCCCTCTTTTCTCCCGTTTCCTCGCGAATTTTCAATCTCGATATAATTAAATCTCTCTATATACATAATATAAAATATTTTTATAATATATTTTATATTATATTATAACAAAATATAAATATTATATATAAAATGGTAATATTTTTTTAATAATAAAAATATATATGCATAAATTAAAAATATATATAATATAAAAAAATATATAGCATCTATTAAAATATCTAAATATAAATAAAACATAAATATATATTAAATAATTACGTGTCTCGTATCACAAATTTTATTGAATATTATCTAATAGTCAAGTGACGATCGCGGATATTATTTGATTTGGCTCGAACAAATCAGCGATGATGAAAGAAATAATTATCTTAAACACAGTGTGCTGAGTTGGCAAGAGCAATTGCTCCTAATAAGAGATTATTCGTGGATTTCTTGGTATCTCGCCGAGCTGGCGCGAATATCGAAGTAAGTCGCTGTTATATCTATTCCTGTTTGCGATCCACGTCTAATGAAAGCACAGATGTTTAACTCACCACGTCTAGAGCGCGAAACAGAAGTATGTTCTTGACGCTCTCGCTGAGCCTTTGTCGCTGCTCGTCGCTCTTTGGATGGACCATCTGAAATCAATGAACCGAATGTGAATGCGAAGTTCAGCTTAAGATTAAACGCTGCTTATATAGAATAAACTACTCTATGATCCAAAGTGTTTAAACGATCTCTCTCTCTCAACTAATAATGAGGAAAAATACGTATTTCACAATAATATATATATGAGTCTATAAATAAAACTCGTGCAAATGTACGATGTTTTCATTCTCAAAGCTAGTGTTTTTCCTTTCTCGAGGCTTATAATAATTATAATTTACTCGCATGAATTATTGTTTGTAGTTATTTTATCGCTAATTATTTTTATTTTAAATTATTGTTTATAGTTTCATTGTGTTACTTTCTTATTATTATTGGCTGTATCAATATATTTGCCATATTCATCGTCCCACGTTACCTATCTATCCTTTAAGTAATTCTTGAACTTTCGACTTTAGAAACTAATTTTATAAGATTTTGCGAGATAGAGAAGGAAAAGAAAATGAGAGTTCAATTCTCTCTAAAAGCAGCGAGCAAATTCGATACTTTAACTCTGATATTGCTTTTACATTATACTTGGTGTAGTGAACTTTGACATATCTCTCCCATCCTCTCTTCACTCAACATTATTTCGGAGATGAAGCACATCAAGTTTGGAGAACTGTCAAGCGATGTACGCAGTTTTGCGTTCTAATTATTGGCAACTATGGAAACGTCGAACCTACACGTTTATTATTTTTTTTTGTCGTAACCAGAAACGGTTAATTACAAAAATTACGCGTCATTTGCGTGTGTCGAAATTTTAATTTTAATATCTTTCTGCGCACATATTCGTCTCTCTAACATCTATTTTAATATCCATAGGTATACAGAAACGAGACATAATCCCTATAATACAGAAACGTACATAGTCCCCATAATAATCACTATAAATTTTTCATACGTAGGAAAACAGCACTTTAGTTAAAAGGTTCCATTTTTCAGAGAAGCTACTTATTCGCTTTTCGTTCCGGGGCCAGTGAAAATGTTACGTTACATCGTCCGCGCATTTATATTTGAAAATTTCACTTCCTCCCTCCTTCAAGCGTTGCTATATTAAAATTAATTATCTCTAAACAAACTTGGAGCGTTTCATTCCCCTCGCGAAGTGGAACAGTACGCGAGTAGATTCAGTAGGAATATATACATAGCCGTGAGAGTAGATTTTTTTTATTCCCGACTTGTGCCACGACACAACTTTACTCCTGCCACGCGCGCCAGGTAGGGTAATCAGTCCTCTCCACAAGCGGGCGAGTGCTTTGTTTCGTTATCGGTCGCAATTGTTGAATACAAAAGCGATCAATTTTGTAGAGAACCGCTTCTCTCTCTCCCTCTCTCTCTTTCTGTCTCCATCCATCTTCCATTCCTATTGCGGACGTATCCCATCTGCGAGCATTGTTGATTGAAGACTCGGTGGCTCAGGCCACCGATCAGCTGTTTGGTCCGACTCTGTCACCTGTAAAGTTGTTATTTCGCCGAGCACGTTCGCACGATGTCGCATTATCTTTTCATGTCAGCAGGGGAGTATCCCGTTATATTTCAACCAAAGATTCCTCGGCCGGAATTTTGAATCGATTTTTTTCTGAGCTCTCAACTCAGTCCCCTGAATAAAAATTCTATTAAATTCAAGTAACATGATATGGCAAAAAGAGCCAAGCAGTTAAGGCGCGTGTGTATTTTAAAATTGTAAAATTATTATTATAAAAAAAATTCAAAATTATTGTTTGTTATAAGTTCTATATATATATTAAACATCATTATTTTATTATAAGATTATTATTATTAATTTATTATAAAATTATTGCGAACTTCGACTCCTGGATCCTCACAGCACCCATATTAAATTATGATGTCAGAGAGAATTTTGCCATTTTTTAATGAAAAGCTATTTCGATGAAATACTACTTCACATGGCTTTAATACTCTTAAAATACCTCGAAAATTATTTTTTTTCTTTGATTGGGCCTCATATTACAGTCATTTTACAATTGTTGATTGATTATAAAGGAAAAAGGAGGTTTTCGAGGTATTTTCAGAGCTAAAGCTATCTGAAGAGCTGTTTCGTCGAAATATCTTTTTATTTCAAAATGCCATCTAAAAACTTTTAGCCGCTGACGTCACAATTCCAACATGGTCGAGGAGGAGCCAGGAGCCTTCAAAATTATTCAGATTTTTATTACAGATTCTATTAAATCAAAGAGATAAAAAATGGCAAGAGCCAGGTAGTTGAGACGCGTATATGTTAAAATGATAAAATTATTACTATCATTATAAAATGATTGCAAATTTAAAATCCCTATGTTGTTCTAAAAATCTATTATAACTCCGAAGAAATTAATGTCTCGAAAAATGTATTCGGCCCTCTGGAGTTTCTTTTTCGCTCGCAAAATTTCAAACCCTCCTGGCCGAGGAATCTAACAATAAAAAAACCTGCTGTAAGTATAACTTTCCGTAAGTGAAACGCAGTTAAGAATCTTGCGTGCGTAATTTTGCGTAGAATCTTCCGTCGCAGTCTCTTTAAAAAAGACGCAGGTCGCCCCAGTTTCTTCTACGCCTTGTTGTCCTGGTCTCGTTGTAGCACGTAGCGAGAAAATGTGATCGGTCGGCCTAGCAAGCCTATAGAAAGAGAGAGAGAGAGAGAGAGAGAGAGATCGCCGATTTTCCTCTTCGTGTAACCAGCCACCACGGGGCGCCGATAATCGGATTCACCGGGCTCTGTCTTTGTGAAAATACTCTCTCTCTCTCTCTCTCTCTTTCTCTCGTCAAACCCGACCCTTCGCAAACCTTACACTCTCTATACATACACACACACACACATATACATGTAACACCCCTTTCTCCCTCATTCACGGGTGCGCGCTCACGTGCACGGGCGTACGCGATGCCACACACACATACATTCATACACACACATGTAAATCACGTCCAGGTTATCGAACACGCGACCTGACGTCACAAAGGTACATCGCCGGCCTCGCATCGCCGAGCAAAGTAACTCTCTTCGCTCGCGTTTCGTCACTCGCGCGGCAGCGAGCCGAGAAAGAGTGAGAGAGACGGAGAATGCGATGCTTTAATAGACTATGATATATTATATACCTCTACTACTACTTTACAAGCGTACACACGTATATCAGCGCGGTGTATGACGACGTTTCGTAACGAGAGAGAGACTATTTTCTGCCGCTACACCGAAAAAAAAAAAAAGACCTAAACCGCCTCTGTCGAAGACGCGAGCCGACGTTCTTCAGCGAAATATCAACGAGAAATATATGCAACGTTTAATATGTATGACGTAAATATGTTTTTTGAAAATTCATCAGCATCGTCTCGCTCTTTCTCTCTCTCTTTCTCTCTATGAAAATATAATTAAAATTAAAATACATTAACTTGGTATATAAAAAAAAAGAACCTTGTCGATGAGGAAATCGCCATCGATTTACATAAATATACATCTTTCAGCTTGATTACTTATTTCTTCACTGAATTCTCGTTATTTCGATATCCTTGCATATGTAACACATTCTTTTTGGTGACACTTCGGCGACGTTTCGTCGATTAAGTATTTTCGTGTATCGGTTTTCGTTGATTCCGCAAAAATCAGGTGGTTCTAAGTATGGTAAACATATAAAAATGTATACTTCCGCAGGTTTCTCGTTGCTGAAAAAAATGTATTAATATATCGATTATATCATTAAATTATATAATTTAATATATTATAAATAATACATATATAATATATAATTAAATTATAGTACATAAATAATAAAATATGTATAATAAATAATATATAATAAATATAAGATATATATAAATATATAATAAATAATAAATAATTAATGATCGATATATTAATATATTAATATCTGATCACAACGAAAGACCTTGATACGACGATGTAACAAAGTGAGCGACTCTTATTGAGAAAAACACTGCTTTTCGAGTAAAATGATTGTGGATAAATAATATATCAAGGCAATGGAACAAATTGATTAGATTGTAAGTCAGATTCAACAATTATTAACAAAATGTGTCGTGAATCATAACTTGTTAAGTCAACTCATAATCTTGTTCAGCCATCTGTATATAAAGTCGTATTTTCCCTCTTTTCTCGAAAGATAAAGAGACAGGAGGTCTCGTAGCTTTGCAAAAGATTTGTCTCGTTATCGAAAACGTGCAAAAAAACAGTAACCATAATAATATACAGGATGTTAAAAAATTAGACAAACTTCAAAGGGAAAAAGAAGAATTGAAAATATAATTTAATTTTAATACTACATGATATGAGATATAAATTTGTGACCTTTGTATTCAAATTAATGGAGGAATTTTTTAGCTTTTACTGTAAAGAGCTTACTATAATACTTTAATTACTTTTATGTTTTTGTTCAAGATTAAAACACAATTTAATTTTTCCACTTATACGTTGGTTTATTATTTAAGGTTTCTGGATCCTTGTAGAGACCATGTTGGATTGTGACGTCAGAGGTGAGAAAGCACACATTAAAAATTCTTAGATGCCATTTCGACATAAAAAGATATTTCAGATGACTCTGCACATTCTTAAAATATTCTTTTCCCTTTATAATCAATCAATAATCATTAAACGTCAAAATGACGTCATTTTGATATTTAATGACGTCAGTTTGCTGCTTAGAGCATTTTACAGTTGTTGATTGACTACCAAGAGAAAAAGAATAATTTTCGAGGTAATATAAGTCATCTCTCTGAAGTAGTGTATTTAAAAATGGCATCTAAGAATTTTTGACGTGCGCTTTTTCTCCTCTGACGTCATAATCTAACATAGCCGCGGCGAGGATCCAGGAGTCTGACGTCACAAACTCTATTTCTTTCCATATGACGTAAAAACTGAAAACGTCATAGAGAAAAATAAGTATTAACAAAAAATGTTTATTTTAAAAAATCTAATTTCCCCTATAATTTTTTTAACATCCCGTATCAGGGTGTATACTCAAATCTTAGAAATAAATTCTAAGTACATTTGTTCAAATATCCAGGTAAAATTAATAAATATTTTTAATATAATTAATGAAACAATAAAAATACAAATTAATAATTAATAAATATTTTAAATAACATTTAGAATACAATTTTGAAATAAGTTTATGTTATACATAATTTTTAACATAAATGAAGTATTTTTTTAATATAATAATGTAATATAGTATTATATTATAATAAAAAATATTTTACTATATACTTTATATAAAACTAATACATTTGATATTCTTTAAAACTATATTTTGAGATCAAAATGGCAATTTTTTAAAAAATTCCCCGAGTTCAAATTAAATTCTGATAATTCCAGGATTTTTCAAGAACAAAATTACTTGAGAATTCCAAGTTTTTCCAGGGAGTATACACCCTGTGTACATATTCTAACGAATGATTACCTTGAAGCCTTCATCTTCCTCGTCATCTTCAGGATTGTACGTCTCCGCGAAGACGCTCTTCCTTCTGGAGGCGAATCGGCCGACTGGTGGCTCTAAAAAAAATGCAAAAGAGACGCATATTTCAATCTAAATCTATAACACGATTAATTTGAGAACTAGGCGTAATGATAATTTGCAACTTGGAATAATTACGCTGCCGAGAGAAGGAAAGAGGGAGCAGGGAAAAAAGAGAATCTCTGAGAACCCGTCGCGTATACAAGAGCAAAAAAATAAAATTATCTGCCGCTCAATTATGTAAATGCAAAAGGTTACGCGCTGGCTCGTTTTAGTCGTTAACTGCGGCAAATTCCCGGTTTCTGAGATAATTATGAGAGAGAGAGAGAAGTCGCGCAAGTTGAAATTTATTTCGATCTCAAAATTTCGCAGATATTTCAGGTATTTTTATAAATATAAATTTTTTTTCGCGACAACAACTTGATATCAAAATGTCATTATTTCGTCATAAAATATATTTGTATACGGGGTATTAAAAAATTAGACCCACAAATTTTGAAGGGAGATAGAAGACTTCGAAATAAACATTTTTCATTAATACTATTTTTCTCTATAAATAAAACGTAACAAATATATAAAAAAAAATTCGCTTTTTTACAGTAAACGCTTAAAAATTCATCCATTAATTTTAATACACAAAGATAACAAACTGAAAAGTCACAAACTCATATTATTGTTAAAATGTTGTAGAGAAAATTAATATTAACAAAAAATGTTTATTTCAAAGTTTTATTTCTCCCTTCAAAATTTGTCGGATTAATTTTATAATATATTATAGTATTATTTCGCTAAGTGTAATATATTATTTCGCTGTCATATATGTGTAATATAGAGTTTCCCTTATGTTACACATCAAAAATAATAATTTTACATGAAAGAGACAAATCGGAAAAGTAGAATGATCTTGAGAGATGCAAAAGTTTATTACGTTTTCCTCCTCTCTTTGGATTTATTAAAAAAGCTTGAAGAGAAGTTCAAAAGACGGAAAAATATATAATGTAACTTTAATAACTGTTATTTTAAAAATGGCGGCTTCCTTTTACTTAATAAATGTGGAATTCACGAATTTGCGAACAAACTCTGTCAATTTTTGTGTCCGTTTATTTTTCTTCATAGATAAATAAAGTTAAGTGTCGAAAAAGCGTTTATTCGGGTTCTTATACAAGATATCCTATTTTAACTTTGCTATTTTGCATAAACTAAGGCTTCCACTAAAAAAAGGTTTCATACAAAAATTATATGATTTCGAAGGAGACAGCTTATCTTATTCTAGAGAAAGGTATTTTTAAAATTTTTAAATCATCATATTTGGCGTAAAAAATTGTTAGACTGGAATAATCGAAAAATAAATAATTTAGATATTTTTTTATACATTTAAAAAAATGTAAAAATATAAAAATAATTATAAAATATATTCATTTTTCAAATAATCTTACCTTCATAATTTTTTGCATATAGAATACTGAAATATATATAAATCAAATAGTGCAAGAAAAACTTATTCTTAAACTGATAAAAAAAATTGCAATTTGCATTTTTTTTTATAACTATGTGTTCTTCTTACACCAATTGATTTATCTCATTATTTTACGCAGAAAATTATGAAGATAAGATCATCGAAAAATAAATATATTACGAGATTTTTTTTTTGTTAAAATATGTGTCAGAATAAAATATCTCATAAATTCATTGTTCAGCTATTCTACTCAAGGAACAATTTTTTACGTCAAATATTATGAGAAATCGATTTATATAAGAAAATTGATGAATTAAAAAAATGACAATAATATAAAAATATTTATGACATCTTCCTCGAAAAATAAATATATTACGAGATGTTTCATATTTTTTATTCAAATGTGTCAGAATAAAATATCTCATAAATCATTCATTTCTCAGTTATTCTATTCTAATTTTTTACGTCAAATATCACGAGAAATCGATTCATATAAAAAAAGTGCTGAATTAAAAAAATAATCTAAGATCTCGAAATATTGATGACATCTTCCTCGAAAAATCCCACAACTTTGGTGAAACATTTTTCGATGAATTTTCGAGGAATCTCCGAAGTTGACACGGGACACCCTGTATAATATTCGAGTAGATAAAATTAAAATATTCGCACCTTTATCATCCAGCGGCTCGATGACGGAGAGCGACATTTGGAAGAAATGAGGAAGACACACAAGAAGAGAGAAAAAGACGAAGACACACAGAGTTCAAGAAAGAAGGTGAAACTTCTCCCAGTAGCACACTTTTTTTTCGCACACTTGTGACACGAAACAAGTCAAATATATCGAAGAGAAGCGATATCCCTATCGCATCTGACTCACGAATTTATCACAATAATAATCGACCATGAAACACCGGCGCGAAATAAATGTTTCTCTGAAACACACCCGTGTAAGCATGAAAAACAAACAATTTTCCGCGCAATATTCATTAATACATTCATTATACACTCATTTCTTACGACATTTTTCTCCCGACGTTCTAACATATCATCGTTTTAATTAAAATTTAAATTAAAAATTTAATTTATGTATTTAATTAAAATTAATGGTTAACAAATATTCTCAATCTTCTCGAAGAGAAAAGAAGTGACATTTGTGTGAGATGTCACTTTATTTTTTTCCCGAAGAGAAAATTAAAAAAAAATTAAAATTGCATAAAGATCGCGAAAAAGGATGAAATTAAATGATCGTTTTAATTAAAATTAAAATTAATTTATATATTTAATTAAAATTAATGATTAAAAAATATTCTCAATCTTCTCGAAGAGAAAAAAATTGACATTTGCGTGAGATGTCACTATTTTTTTACCCAAAGAGAAAATTAAAAAAAAAATTAAAATTACATAACAATCGCGAAAAAGAATGAAGTTAAATAATAAAAAAAATATTAACAATCTTCTCGAAGAGAAAAAAAATTGACATTTGAGATGTCACTATTTTTTTCCCAAAGAAAAAATTTTAAAAAATGGATAAAAAAGGCGAAAAATATGGTAAAATAAAAGAAAAAAAAAAGCGAAAATCTCGATCAAAAAATCGGAATTCGAGAGGGAATATTTCGCGACACGCGCTCGTGTTGTGCCGGCTAAGAAGCGCTGGACCAAACTGCCGAAAGCGAGGAAACCTCTCGGGCGCGCAGACTCTCGGAGAAGTCCGGCCAGGTCGGCGAGCCGAACGTCGTCGTTTACGTACCCGTTTATTTTTTTCACGCACTCTACATCTATCTCTCTCTCACTCCGTCTCCGAACGAAGAGGAGGAGGAGGAGGACGAGATTCCTCGGACGCGACTCGGGGCCGAGACTGATCTCACCCCGCTCGACGCTCTGATAATATCTTAAGCTATTCGGGGAAGGAAGATGGCGGGGTGTCTATGGGGGGAGAGAACCACGTGAGGGATGAGAGACGCCGATGTGGAGGGATTCCGATCGATTATCGACCTTCAATCCGCGAGGAAAACCGAGAAATGCGCCTAATGATGATGATTAAAGCGGGAGCAAACTCGATTTTTTTCGGAATTAAACTCGTTAATTCCGCGACGATTTTTATTTCCCTCTTTTCTGCGATAGGATTTCGAATTTTTGAAATTCTCGAATTAAAAGGAATATATTAATATGTGGAAAAATTATTTTAAACTATTATTCAGAGAAGAGATATTTTTGTTTATAGAGGTTTTTTAATATAAAATTAATTTATATTCAACAAAGTGTCTTCAAATTTTGTAAAATTTCCTTCAGAAAATTCCTTGATCAAAATAAAAATGTAAAACAAAAAGATAAAAATATATAAAACAAAAAGTAATTGATTATTGAATAATTAATTGATTGTTAAGTGATGATTAAAGCGGGAAAAAACTCGATTTTTTTCGGAATTAAACTCGTTAATTCCGCGACGATTTTTATTTCCCTCTTTTCTGCGATAGGATTTCGAATTTTTGAAATTCTCGAATTAAAAGGAATATATTAATATGTGGAAAAATTATTTTAAACTATTATTCAGAGAAGAGATATTTTTGTCTATAGAGGTTTTTTAATATAAAATTAATTTATATTCAACAGGGTGTCTATTCAAATTTTGTGAAAAAATTCCCTCAAAAAATTCCCTGATAAATTTCCTGAAAATTAAAAGGAATATATTAATGTTTTTAAACTATTATTCACAGAAGAGATCTTTTTGTGTCTATAGAGGTTTTTTAATATAAAATTAATTTATATTCAACAGGATGTCTATATCAAATTTTGTAAAAAAATTCCCTCAGAAAATTCCCTGATAAATTCCCTGATCAAAATAAAAATGTAAAACAAAAAGATAAAAATATATAAAACAAAAAATAATTGATTATAAACGTCTCAAGGAATACTAATTTATTTAAATTGTTTATTAAATTATTATTTATTTGTTTATTAAATAAATAAGAAGTACTGATTCATTTAAATATTATCTATGAAAAAATTGAACAATCTCTTATAGAGATAAGATCTTGATATTGAAAATAGATTGTCAATAAAAAAAAATTACATATTAAATATTGCCAAGCTATGTTAGACTTATGTTTTAAGTGCTAAATAAAACTAAAATTAACAAAAGAATAATTTTGAAAAAATTCCCTTCATTCCAATCAAATTCCATGAGAATTCTCTGATTTTTAAGATTGAACGAAATTATCTGAAAATATCAGGTTTTCAAGGTTTTGCTATACACCATAATATAAGTCGGAATTATTTAAATTAGTGTGACAAATTTGTTGATAAAATTATATTCAACAATTTTCATTTTCACCCAAATTATGTTCAAGCGAGCTGATGCTCAAATAACTTGAGAAAAAATTTATATTCGATAAAAGGGAGAAGGCGATGTCTATTTTTATTTTTTTCTAACAAGGGGGATTGTTTGCCGAAATATGTGACTAAAGTTTGACGATAAACTAATTTCATTTAAAAAAAAGATATTCTTATAAAATTGCGTCTCGCAGGTATCTTTTTATTCGTGCGATGATAGATCCTAATAATAACATCTATCGAGTAAATCTACGAGATTTAAGGGATTTCTTCCTAATAATAAGAAAAAATTGAAAATTGAATTAACTCCCTCTAAAGAAACAGAAAAACAGAGCGATATATCGTTTCTCGAGATAAAGACGGATATCCGGATTAGAGGGAGAAAAACAAGAGGGTAAAAATTACCTATAGACCGAAAAATATCTACAGTTCCATCAAATTAAATAAAACTTTTATGTGCAAATAAATACGTTTCGAATTTTTTTTTTTTTTTTTTTTTTTTTTTTTTTGACATTTCACGTATCGTGTTTGTCTTAAGTATCCTCGAGCTTCTATCAATATCGGTTACACTAATCCTCGACAAATAATTGCGTTATCAGTATTTTACACTCGTAATTAATTCCAGGTATCAAGTGTACGTTATTTTAACGTCAAATGACGTCATTAGATGTCAAAATAATCCCAGGTAGCAGACTGTCATCATTGAACATCAAAATAACGTCATTCGACGTCAAAATGACATCATTTTGATCATTTTGACATTTAATGACATCATTTTGACATGCAATGACATCTCAGGTAGCAAACTGACGTCATTAGACATCAAAATGACAATAGATGTCAAATGACATTAGATGTCAAAGTGACGTCATAGACGTCGAAACGACGTTATTTTGACGTTTAATAATGTCAAGTTTGTTATTTGAGATATATTACACGTCTTCCTTTATTGTAAAATAATCGACATATTCGAGTTAATCGCAAGAACAATATCTCGTTGATTGGAAAAAAAAGAAAAAAATCGTCATCCGCTATTATTAAATTTGCCGATCAGGAGACAAGACACGACGCGGACGGAATAAATAGCGAATTGTTCCGTGTCATTAAATTATTATTCATCTATATATCTACCTTGAGCCGCTAAATTACTGGTATAGTATATTCTTCTAGTTATAGCCGTCATATTACGTACGTGATTCGGAAATAAAGCGCGAATCTCCGCGAGTGACGAGTCAATTGACGTCCCGAGGTGGAGGGAGGAAAAAATCGACCCTGCATACACGAGAGTTCGCCAGTTTTATAACCACACAACCGATATCGATCTCGCAAGCTCGACGAGCTCCTCCTCGAGAGCTGCTTTTACCAAGCAGCGTCGATTGACGCTAATCAGAATCGGTGTTAACTGGTGCTATCTCTATCTCTATCTCTCTCCCACCAGGTGCTATATAATCTCGGATTCTCGCGTACGTTAGAAAAAGAGCAGCCATAAGCGACGATAGAGTTGACCTTTGACCCGGACGAGCCTTCCACGTCCTGCCAATTATCCTCTTCCCGACGATCTGGCCCCATTGAAAATTTCATTATACCGTCTATGATCTTTAAATGTCAAATCTCTATTTTTTTTTATTGTAACGAAAAAATGATTTTTATAAATAAAATTTCCACACCCCGTCGAGTACCGAGAAAAATTGCAGACCTGTCAATTCGATCAGCTGCGCGACACGGAAAGACAGAGACAGAGATGACAGATGGAAAATGACAGATGGAGAAAAGGGACTCACCCTCGTCGACGGACTCGTCTGGGGTGGACGAGCAGGTCTGGCCGTCCTGGATGAGTTGGGTTCGTCGAGCGTCCCGCAACCTGGTGAAGAAGTCCACGGCGTAGTCGATGATGTCGCCCGGCTGCTCCAGGAGGTAGCTGATGGTGAACTCCAGCAGGACGTCGCGCAGATCGTCCGGCACCGTGATCTTGCCGGCGTTGCTACGTTGACAGCTCATCTTCCTCTGGACGACTGGTTCCTCCGGGTCGGATCCTCCCTCCTTCGCTCGCTCGTCTCGCGCGGCGAAAGATTGCGGAGCGCCTGGCCGCGAGTGACAGCTGTCAAACGTCAGACGTCAAACGAGGCTCTTGAAGCCGGGGGCCAGGTGCGATGGCCGCCTCCTCCTCCTACCTCGGGCGAGCTGCTGCCTCTGGTTGGGTCTCTTTCTCTTTCTCTCTCTCCTCGTCGCCGGCCTCGCTCTTGTGTCTCTCGCACCGGCGAAGAGAGAAAACCGCGCCTTCGACGAAGCTCCCCGGGTGTCGCGCTGACACTCTCCGTCGACGGGGAGAGGAGGGGGGGGAGAGGCTACCTGCCTGCCGAGACGACGCTGCGCACGGTCGCGCGGAACATACGATATACGCGTATACCCCGTATTCAAGGATCCGATCGCGGTTGCTAAGATGGCGACTGATAACATCCGCGTCGCGCGAACGCAGCGCCGCGGGTTAGACGCGAAGTTCGAGTAGAGTCGAATTCGAATCTCGAGTTCGATTCGAGGGTCGACCGCGGGCTACCTTCGCGTTTCGTCAATAATGCGCTTTACTTTTTTTTTTTTTTTTTTTTTTTTTTACAATAAATATATATTTCGATATGACGAAAAAATTATTATTAAATATCTGGATATTTTTTAATAAAATAATATTGTGGTTATTAAATAGTTGATTTTATATTTTTTTATTAAATATTTTAATAATATAAAATTAACTATTTATATTTTTTTATTATTGAATATTTTATTTATATATTTATTATTAAATATTTTTATTAATAAAATATTAAAATATTTAGTAATAAATATAAACTATTTAATTTTTTTTTTATTATTGAATTATTAAATATTTTAATATTTTGAGGACATAAAAAAGAGACAGCGATGATTGATAGAGCGCAAATTTAATCAAATATTAAATAAATATATATTAAATAAATTATTAAATTAATATAACTGTAATATAAATCCTTTTGAACCCAATATGGATTCTTTTCAATGGTAAAATAAAAATACGCAAAGTAGAATATAAAAAAAGATGAGGTAAATTTAATATAATATATTAAATAAATGTTTTAATTAATTATAACCAATTGTCAATCGACCCAATTCGGGTTTTTCAATGGTAAAGTAAGAAAATGCAAAATAGAATATAAAAATAAAAATGCAAACTTGATAAGAAATTTAATATATCAAATTAATGTGTTCAATAATATATTAAATGATTTAATTAACATAATTATAATCAATTGTCAATCGACCCAATTCGGATCTTTTTCAATGACAAAATAAGAAAATGCAAAATATAAAATATATAAAAATAAGACAACTTAATAAAATATTTAAACATTAAACTATACAATCAAACGTTTCGAGCCAATTTGGGGCTTCTTCAATGACAAAATAAGAAAACGCAAAATTAGAATATATAAAATTTTATCGCAAGTACTAATCGTTAAATATGAATCGCAGTCGAAAAAAATAAAATTCAAATAAAAAGTTAAAACATGAGAGGAGCGGAAATTCAAATAAACAGCGCTATAATCATGTTGTTATTAATTTGAATCTGCTTCCCCGTATTTCATGTTTTAACTTTATATTTGCATTTTATTTTCCTTGACTTTATTTCTTTGTACTTTATTGCGATCAATTTACACTGCTGTATTTGTTTTATCTTTATACTTTATTTTGCCATTAAAAAGAACCCAAAAAATTGAGTCAAAACGTTCAGTTACGATTTTAATGTAAACATTTATTTATTATTATTATTAAAGTTGCGCTCTACTAATCGTTGTGCTTCTCGTCTGCCTTCTTTTTTACCCTTTGATCTATATCTCTGCGAGTCTATTTTTATTTCGTTCATTAATATCTTTTATAATATCGCTTAAAGCGTGATTTACACTTTCTAGCTACTAGCACAAGGTGATATTATTGCATGTAATATTAACTATTTTAGTGCACTCAATCAGAAATTGTCCATAAATAAAACATCTTTCTCCTTACGTCATAATTAACGCGTTTGTATCTAATAAAAAAAAGCACTTAATCTTTCACATATTTCAAGTATCTACAAACGATTCAAAATTCTAAATCATAGTAAAAATAGCACAAAAAATATGAATGAATATAATATTAATGAATGAACATATTACAAATAAATTCGCTAAGTGATAACATCATGTGAATCATAATAATGAGAATCAAAGAGAAAAATGGAATGAAAAATACTTGTGCGGTAAGAAAGGAGAGAACAGGTAGTTATTAACCCAACCTTTATTTTCCAAGCCAATCAAACGTGTGGAAAAATGATTGTGAATGAAAGAGTGACCACTCGAAGTTGCGTTTTCGTTATACATCCAGTTTATTTCTTATAACCACAGCTGCGCCTACGGCCTCTCGCCCTCTCAAACTTTCGGCCCTTGGACCGCACGTACGGTTTCGTGTGAGAGTGCGGTACACCCGGTGCCTTACCGAAGTGCTTCACGCTCTCGCGAGCCTTGCGCGGTCCTTGCATCAAAACTGTGCGCTTGCCGGTCGGGGCGCGTAGAGCCAACTGATCGAAGGTGATGATGTCACCACCGGCTTTCAAGATGCGCGCCCGGGCTCTCTCGGTCACGCGTAAAGCGCATACCTGGAAGATTCGAGGCACCAAAATCAATTCAATTAATAAATAATTATTATATATTATATACAGGATAGACCATAGAAGCAAGATAGACCATAAAAATTATATATGAAATTAAATGGCTCAAACTGAACTTTTTTGTGAGCACAGTAGTTGCTTACAAAAACTATCTATGTTTGAGCAACTTAATTTCATATATAATTTTTATGGTCTATCTCTTTTAGTTTCAAAGATAAAAGAGGGTGGCCTCATTCACTTTTGATAGGACACTCTGTATATATATATTTTTCAATTCAAGGTATTTGCATATCTGATGTCAGCACATTTATTAATTATTTATCAATATATATATATATATATATTGATAAATAATTAATAAATGTGCTGACATCAGATATGCAAATACCTCACGCAAAATATCTTATAAATCTTGAAATATATTCTAAATAACATTTAGTAATACTGTTATATGTATTAATAATAAATCATAATGATAAGAAAAATCCAAGATTTCTAAATATTAGTATATAAATGTCACATGTACCGTCAACTTTGGAATTTCAAAAATCCTAGCATCATCAGTGACGGTACCAACAATCACAGCGAGACAGTTCTCCCGTCCAGGTTTCTTCATGAATCGCACAACACGTGCAAGTGAGATGGGTGGTCGGTGAATTTTGCTCATGAAGAGTCTCCGCAGGATAATTTTGTTGAATTTGGAATTCGTTCTTCTCGCCAGGAACCGATACAGCTAAAATATAAATTTCTGTTATCGTCTTCATTATAATATAAACTTAAAGTTCTCAAACTTTAGTCCCAGAACTTTGCAGTGTCTTTTGGAAGCTTTATAAGAATTGTTACTGAACAAAGCACAAATAGATTATGAAAATAAGTAAATACATGCATACTTTTTTTAAGATATCAAAATTTTGTTGAGTGAGAAGCTCCGCTGGAGGAAATTTGAGAATAACAAGAAGCAAAAATGATTTAATATATGTATCAACCATAATAATCGCCCTTCGATGATGCAAACAAGCGAGATAGGATAGTTGATGTTTTCTCTAGCGAACTTTCAAAATTGAATCAGCCTATGTAAGATCTGACACAGAGTGCAGCTCGCAAAAAAAAAATATTAAATAATTTATTTTATATTCTTGAATATTTTAGTAATTAAAATATTTAATAATAAATATCAAATAAGATTAATGTAAAATAAAAAATATTAAAATATTTAATAATTTTTATCACATCAAAATATATATTTAATTAATAATATACATTTAGTCCTTTGGTTCTGATAATCAAAAGACGAAAGATGCGATTCCAAACGTATTGTTTTACATGCAACAAAAATCTGAAACCCAACCTCAAAGAGAGACACAAAATAACAGATGCATTTTCGCATATAATAAAATCAAGCGGTTGTACGGAAAAAAAAACATTAATTACTGCTTTGCAGACGCGCAAAGCAATTAAATTAACTAGTAATTAACGCAAAAATCATTTACCTTGACGAGGAGACGTAAATACACATCCTGCGATTTCGGCTCCTTTCGCCGAACCTTCCTGTCATGCTTATGATTAATATCGATACCCTGCGAAAAGAAATACGCGTCATTAATTAAACCTGAGCGATTTGAGACTTCGTCGAGCGACTTTCAGCATCGCGATCGAGCGCCGGCGATATAATATCGTCCGATTTTTCATCCGAATCCAAGATCGGCACATCGTCTTACCATGTTGACAAACCGGAAAAGAAACTACGCACGCGAGTGAAAAGCGGAAATGACGGAGGCAGACGCCGGACAGCCTCTCGCTCAGTGGGGGAAACAATAGAGTCCAAAAAGTCCCTAGAATTTTTAGGGATTTAGTTGCAAGGCCACGCCACAGATTAATAGACAGATCGCCAAAGGCCTGCCTAAAGAAGAGACCGCCATCTTCGTGCGATAGACTTTGCCCCTTACCGACACACTTTGCCCCTGGTTCGAGTCCGTGCTAAATTCGTAGACTTGAACCAAAAGACTTTGCCCCTGGTTCGAGTCCGTGCTAAATTTCGTAGACTCGACCAAAAGACTTTGCCCCTGGTGCAAGTCCAGGCTAAATTCGTTTGACATTACCAACAGACTTTGCCCCTGGTGCGAATCCAGGCTAATTGATCATGAGACCAATTTGAGAGATTTGGCCCCCGTTGTGTGTGTGTGTGTGTGTGTGTGTGTGTGTGTGTGAGAGAGAGAGAGAGAGAGAGAGAGAATATTTTACATATATGCATATATATATAAAATTTATTAAATATAAAAAATATATTTTTTACACATAAAATGTTTTTTTATTGAAATAATCACGATTTTAAATGTGATATAACACAGTGTTCAAAAATTTTTAATTAAATTTTTTAATTAAATTTTATTAAAGAAAATTACTTGAAATTTTTTACATTAAGAATTTAAAGGCTCCTTATTCTCTTGTAGAAATTTATCACTACGCCAATTAATCACTTATTTTGAGTATTTAAAATACTATAATATACAGTAATTTAAGTATTCGAAATAAAAGTGATTAATTACTCGAAATAAGTGATAAATTGGCGTTACTAGTAATAAATTTCTATAAGGGTTGAAATAAAGTATAAGAGATAAATAGGCTATATGTGAGCCGTATGCGAAATGTGAGATGTAAGACGCATATTGAAATTTAATTTTTCGATATAACTTTCAAAAATGTACACGAGGTACAAAAAATTAGCTTGGACATTTGTAAGACTTAAAATTGGGATTAATTCTCAATTCTATTAATTAAATTTCGATATAACACACCTTACATCCGCGCACGGCTCACATATATATAGCCCATTTATTAGTGCAATTTTTAAGTTCCTTATTTTTCAAAGTTCACCTTTTTACGTTATCAAATATTTTTACGTTTTCAAGAATTTTATATTTTTACTTACCGCAGTTTCTTATCCAAATGTAAAATCTTTTATCGCAGTCTATAAAAAATTGAAACAATTTACAATTTTATGATATAATATTATTATTATTACAATTTCTATATATATGCACATCTGTCAAATATCGTGATTTATTTCACATTATTATTATCTATTTTAATAAAAAAAAACAAAAACACTTGCAACAATCAAAAATAAACCGCCTGCCGCGAACGGAAAATGCCAAGAAAGCACGCAATTTCCGCGAATCTCGTAATTTTTTTGAAAAATCAACAATTTCAACGAAATTGTAAATTCTTCAAATCACTGCACAAGTATAATTCACAATAATAATTTTCAGTAACTACGATAAAAAATCGTATACTGAAAACCGCAAACGAAAGTGCAATGGGAGTAAGAGTAAAGTCTGTGATAAAATTAATTGGCAATAGAAAATTAATAATTTTCAAATAGAAAAATTTTGAAATTACCGAGGATTTACAAATAATAAAGTAAAAATATTAAATAATTTATGTTTTCGAATTTTGCTCGCGGAGAGGATCTTTAAAACAAGATTTTTAGAAGAGAGGACCTTTAAAATATAAACAGGCAAAAACGTTGGAAAAATTAAAGCGCGCGTTTAAACAGATAAACGCAATGAAATAAATACGCAATTGTTTTTACTTATCGCTGTAAGCTCACAAGCTTCTGACGTGCTATACACTTTTATATAATATATACAAGGTGTCCGGTAACTAACGGACCAATGATTAAGGGCGGATTCTCTGGCCAATTTGGAGACGATTTTTCCTTAGCAAAAATGTTGAGAAGTCAATAATTTTCGAGTTATAAGCGATTGAAAAAAATAGGTTTTTTGAAAACTAAACGTTTTGGAGTTAAAAGTCTAACATAATTACATTCTTCAGTTAATTTCAGGTAGAGTTTACTATAATAAAATTTTAATTTAAGGCTTAGTTATAAAGATACATAATGACAAAGATTGGAAAGTTGTAAAAAATGATGACCTTTTTCGACATTTTCGCTGAGGAAAAATCGTTCCCAAATTGACCAAAGAATCCATTTGTAATCATTGGTCTGTTAGTTACCGGACACCCTGTATATTGGACACGAGTTTCGTTTGTTTCAGATTCTCGAGAGTTGAAGTAGGAACATACGAGTATCATATATCGTTTGTGACTTGCCGAATGAAAGCAAGACAGAGAGAGAACGAGATGATGAGCTTAATAGCTCATAATGTTATAAATAAATAAATAAAAAATTATAACCTGACCTACTAGTTATTGAATCTTTTTTTAATAAATGTTTCATTATTATTATCATCTAAGTCTAAGTCGTTTAATTACTTTTTAGTTTTTAATAATTAATTTAATTTATTCTAGTCATTTTTATATGAGAAAAATAATATCACGTATACGTTTTATAATGAATTAATATATTTCGGGAATCGAATTATATATTCTTAATAATATAAAAGTGTTCAAAAATTATATTTGACTTTTAATTTTAATTATTTTATAGCAAAGAGTTCCGAAATCTCTTACACACATAATGGGGATTTTTTTCATCCATATAATTCGCAATTAAGTATATATGTTAATTATTAATTTTAATAAAATAAAAATTAAAATTAAAGGTCAAATATAATTTTTAAACACAAATATATTAAATTAATTATAAAACGTATACCCATGATAGTATTTTTCTCGTACAAAAATAATTAGAGTAAATTAAATTAATCATAAAAGATTAAAAATTAATTAAAGAATTTAAACTTATATTTTATATAATAATAATAAAACATTTTATTACGTCAAACCGTCGTGAAATAATTAAATAAAATTTGCTAGTTACGTCAAAGTCAAGTTTTCTAAGCTTATAAAACATTTTATTAAAAAACAGATTCAATAAATATAAGTACATGTTATATATATACTTATATTTATTGAATCTGTTTTTTTTATAAAATGTTTTATTATTATCATATATAATATAAATTATTTAATTATTTTTTAATTTTTTTATGAGTAATTTAATTTGTTCTAGTTATTTTTGTACGAGAAAAATACTATCACGCGGGTATACGTTTTATAACGAATTAAATATATTTATGTTCAAAAATTATATTTGACCTTTAATTTTAATTTTGTATTTTATTAAAATTAATAATTAACATATATACTTAATTGCGAATTATATGGATGAACAAAATCTCTATTATGTGTGTAAGAGATTTCGGAACTCTTTGCTAAAATAATTAAAATTAAAAGTCAAATATAATTTTTGAACACTTTTATATTATTAAAAATATATAATTCGACTCTCGAAATATATTAATTCATTATAAAACGTATACGTATTAGTATTTTTCACATATTAAAATGATTAGAATAAATTAAATTAATTATTAAAAAACTAAAAATTAATTAAACGACTTAGACTTAGATGATAATAATAATGAAACATTTATTAAAAATAATTATAATAGGTCAGGTTAATATTTTATTTATTTATTTATTTATAACATCATAAAATTCTGTCCTTTCCGAAATACGCGAACGCTACGAAAAGATAAATCTCGTACATGCCGCCGGACGAGTTCATGAGCATGAGACGCTCTTATCTTGGGAACGTATTAATAGTTACTGCATTGACTACTACTACGATATGGCGCTGAAATCAGTGAGAAATACTGGTCTCTCCTTCATCCAGACCTTTGGCGATCTGTCTATTAATCTGTGGCCACGCCAACTAAGTAGTTTTTTCGGTAATAAAAAAAGGCGGAAAACATCAAATTTAAAAAATTTCCGTTCCTTCGAAAAAATTTATTTTTTTCTCCTCCATGAAAATTGTGTAATGTAAAAATGATTTTCATGTAATTATCAGTATTATAATTAGTTCAAGTCAGTAGTTCAAGAAAATAATAAAATGTTTGCACGGAGATAAACATAAAGTGATAAATAAATTTCTAATAATATGTATAACGCACAGACTTTGTAATAAATTAATATATTAATTTCTTTTCAAGTACTATAATTAAATTATTATTATATTATATTTAATTATCATTATCAAAATTGGAAAGCTCGTATAAATTAAACAAATTATTTAAACACAAAATGATATTAAATAATTTATTTTATATTCTTGAATATTTTAGTAATTAAAATATTTAATAATAAATATCAAATAAGATTAATGTTAAAATAAAAAATATTAAAATATTTAATAATTTAAATACTAACTAAACGAGCAAATAAAATCTAAGGTGTTATTTATTTATTATAAACTTATAAACATTAAAAAACCGCAAACTTTTCGACTGTACTACAATCTTCTTCAGTACAATGATAATAACATGAATAATGATTACACTATAAAAATAAAGAACAGTTAATACTGCGCAAACAAAAGCGGTAAAATCCCTATTCTTATCAAATGTGGGACAAGAAGTTGTGCTATATAAATAATAGAATGAATATTATAAAAACGGACGGCAATAAAATATGTTAACACTTCGCAATTAGTAACAGATGTCGAGTCACAAATATAAAACATTTTAATTTTGAAATAAAAATTATAAATCAAACAAATATATTAATTATTTTTCTTAAAATTGCCGCGACATTACTAGCGCCACGCGGCGAAACGAGGCAACATAAGCGTGATTCCGCGACACGCCGACAGTAGGCGTCCAGCGCGCTTATGTCAGTCGGCAGTCGGCGAGTTTAAGGTTAAACCGGACAGCGAGGAGGCCGGGCGAGAGCGCGGGCTGTCCTGAGCGAAGTGTCATTATAAACAATCCGTCGACGACAATTTTCCCCATCTCCGAAAACGTGGGAACACGTGCGGTTAAATGACAGACGATTATTATGGCAACGCCCATTTGTGATAAGAAAGCGAGGGTGATCGTCCTAGGAGGTGAGATATTTTTTTCTTTATTTTATATATATATATATATATATATATATATATATATTTGACACATCAACGTGTCAACCATATATATATATATATATATATATATATTTGATACGTATGTGTGTGGAGGAGCGGAAGAGTGATAAACGGATGACTGAGGGGTTCTTATCGCGCAGGATGCGGTTTCATCGGGCGTAATCTCGTGGAGTATTTGTTGGATAATCATCTGGTGTCGTACGTCCGAGTCGTGGACAAGGTGCCCCCGCAGACGGCCTGGCTCAACGCGAGGCACCAGCGGCTGTTCGAGAACCCTCTGCTGGAATTCAAAAGCGCCAACTTGATTAACATAGGTGACCGCAGTGGGATGCCTAATTAAATTTATTATCAAAACTATATACATATATATATATATATATATATATATATATATATATATAATCATGTACGATTATACATATATGTATAATCTGTATTCTCGTTATATATATTAAATATATTTAGTATAGAGTTTCTAAATTAATTATCATGCAAGCGGAGAAAGAGTGGGAGGTCTTTGATAATTAATTTGTTAGAAATTTTCTTGATAATTTGTTAATAATTGTAATATTGGATATATCTGTTATTTTTTTATTTAGTCTCTTACTTTCTTCACTCACTCTTGCCTTGGTCTGTCATTTTTTAAGTATAAAATATGATGCGGATAGTTATATGTATAGGAATAATTTTTGTCAACCTAGCATCCTGCCAAAATGCATTTTCATCTGATGAGCCTATCGATTATGTGTTCAATTGTGCTGGCGAGACAAAGAGCAGCCTCACAGATCCGGTGTACAAAGAAGGCATTTACAAATTAAGTGTGAACTGTGCTCAACTGGCGGCCAAGATTAAAGCCTCGCGTTATGTGGAGATATCTTCTGGCAATCTTAATGCCTCTGAAAAGGTATACTTCATTGATATATATTTTAACAAGAATTTTCATAAAAATTGAATACTTATATAACGTTTTTCTATAGGCGCCTCATAAAGAAGAGGACGCTGGAGAACCATGGACGTTTGTCGCGAAATACAAGTTGCAAGTGGAACATGAACTGAAAAATGTGCCAGATTTGAAATATACTATACTTCGACCAGCTATTGTATATGGTTGCGGTGATAGAAATGGTTTAGGTAATTCTGAAAAAATATATATCATAAAATCTGGAAAAATAAATATATATAATTCTTCTCATAATTTATTTTATATTATTGATATATAATTCTCCATTAATTTAAATAAACAAAAAAAATAAGCTCAATAAATTTTGCAATTTTTAGCACCGAGATTAGTAGTGGGTGCAGTTTACAAGCACTTAGGAGAGATGATGAAATTACTCTGGGGACCGGATCTTCATATGAACACGGTTCATGTAAGAGACGTCGCGAGAGCGATCTGGCACGTGGCCAACAGACCAGAAACAATTGGTCAGACATATAATCTCGTCGACGAAGGAGATTCCACTCAAGGTTCCATCAGTGCTATAGTCTCAGAGCTGTTCAACATCAACCATGATTACTGGGGCACGACGTTATCTACACTGGCCAAAGTATATCATATTTTTATGTATTAAATTTGTGATGTTTAAAACAGTGAAATGTCAAGAAAATAGTAATTTAACTCATATTTTGCTCTGTAGACCGATATGAGCAGTGTCGTTGAGGAAGTGAACGACAAACACATGGGTCCCTGGGCAGAAGCATGTCGCAAAGATGGAGTGGAAAACAGCCCTCTGTCGCCCTACATAGATCAAGAGCTTTTATATAATAAACATTTATATTTACATCCGGGAAAACTTTCAAACACCATAGGATTTGCATATCTGTATCCTAAATTAACAAAAGATGCCCTTGCAGAGGTAAGTTGTCAATAATCAAGTCTGAAAAGAGACGCGCATAAAAAAGTACGTAATTAAAAATTTCGCGAATTTGCAGGTACTCGATGACTATGTGAACATGAGAATCTTTCCGCATTCCTTGGTCCTATGAACTCTAGCAATATCGACTGCCGAATTCAAATATATCGACAAGCTTTCACGATAATTCTTATAAATATCAGCCACATACAGACGCCAAGCGTTTTCACCGTGTGCCTAAAGAAAAGGGTTCTATACATGTTACATACATTCTATTACACGTTATACATCTTTACACGACGCTAGACTTTGAAAAGCGCGTATATATATATATATATATCTGGAATTCCAAGATTTCATAGAAGGGCCTATCGCCAAATGTGATAAAGTAGCAATTAATGTACTTAATTTTATCAAGTTAATTTTCAAAGTACAGAACTTTTTTGCACCTTCTTTGAAAGGTCGCGCTAGTCAAACTCTTAAGAATGATCCGAAACAATGTTAAGATCTTGCACGCAAATATAGGTATACATATACATATGTATATATGAAGACGCTTAAACTTAACTTACAATTAATGATATTCGTAGTTTATAAATCGATTTGGATACATTTTTTAGATCACATCATCGCAAAAAGGAAAAAAAAGAAAGATGCTTTTTATACGCCATTTTTTCCAGACTGTGGATTGTCCTAATCAAGTTGTCGAGAATCCATATATTTTTTTATCATTGGATATATAGGAGGAATTTTTTTCTCTTTTATATTCGCTACATTCCAAGATGTATCTTCCATTTAAGCTGTGAATTAAGTTGAGAAATCTTTTTATTCCAGTCAAATATTAGATAGCAAATGTACGACCTAAACTAAAGGCTCGCATAAGTACAAACATTGTTAAAGACGCGTTATATAAAAGATACATGCAGAAAATATTACTTATTGATGTATGAATGATTGTTCATATTGGTAGATTTATATATAAGAGCGCAGCATGTATTTGCATGCATTTAATATAAAAAAAAAGAAAGAAATTATTATATTCGTCTATTATTGGCATTGAATGCCTCGATGATATTAGTATTACATTTTTTGATTCTATTGTTACACGCTGTGTAGATTCTTTGATAATAAAGTTGCTCCATTTATGAAACTGTATGTATTGATCTCGCTTGTGTATCTTAAAACTAACACTCTCCAAAGTGAGCAGAAGAGGGGACACATTTTTCTACATAAAATGCATTTATTTATTTGTACACTGTCTTAATTTTATTGAATCAGTGGTTACAACAAGACGACGTGTTCAAGAAGGGTCAACAATATTATTAAATATTTTTCGTATATTTAGTCTTAATACTTCAAACAATAAGATTATAGTTTTTATGTAGTTTTTTTTTCATCATTCTTTTTATACGTAATATATTAAAATATATATTTTATATATTGTTCTTTGTAGGTAATACATATATAATATATATATACAAATCGCAGAGATAAAACTTATGTACAAAGTAACTGCACCCTAAAAAATAATCGCGCATATATTAAAATAATAAATCTAAATAAAAAAAAGAGGCTGTATGAGAGATGAGGATTTATGGAAAATAAGTTAATAGTCTTTCTTATAATATATATAATAATTATTATATAATTAACTGTAATAATAATTATAAATGAATAAATTTTGCCGAGTTCTCTCTTCTCTTTTTTGTATATAACCATGTGTAAAATAAAGTGTGTAAGGTGTATCTTGGCTATTATACACATATATATATATATATATATATATATATATATATATATATATATATATATATATATGTATATGTATATATATATGATATATACTACAGCTGATATACAATATATATATATATATATATTTAAATATAAATATATATATTGTATATATGCATCCACCGGGCGAGAAAATATATTCTTTGAGGTAAACTGTGCATAAATGTAAACAATAGTGTCTAATAGGTACCCAAGTTAAGTTAAAATTAAGTAATGTAAATCACTCTCTGTGCTGAGAGCAAGAGTGAAAATTACGGAGGTATATTCGTTCGACTAGAGCCGCCGTACAATATAATCAATACTTGCTACTGTGTTATTCAACGCTACAGTTTATCTGCGATAAATTATATCAATTATTTAGAAAGGAATGTGTGCACATATAAAGTAATCTTGCACCGATCTCATTGATTTCAAAGCTAATGAAGATGAAAAAGAAATGTTCTCTCTCTCTCTCTCCCTCTCTCTCTCTCTCTCTCTCTCTCTCTCTCTCTCTCTCTCTCTCTCTCTCTGTATATTGTACATTATTCCTAAATTAAGATAGTGAAATTGAGACCGTCAAGAGATCCACACAATACATGTAGAGCCTTGCGTCACATCTCCAAGTTAATTATTATAGTAATTAATGATCAATGAATGAGATACAATGAGATAAGTAGATTATAAATCTATGATATTACGTGTGTTTGTGTATGTGTATGTATACGTGTCATTTTCGACATTTGTAATAGTACAAAGAATTCTATATACGATGAGAGATGCTTATTGCTTTCGTACGTGTACTAAGATAATGACCTTGTCTTTATACTCTTGGATTTTGCGAAACACATAGATTATTATTATTATCTCTCCGCACGGCGACTCTATAGTCTCTCAATTGTTCACGACACCTAAAAAAACTTATCACATCCATAAAATTATTTCAAGAGCACTATGGTATGTACGGAGTGTTTGGATTCAAATTGCTGATTGTGTTGCTGGCTGTTTAGCTCGGTTACTTTTCTGCACGGTGTTTTTCTATATATAATATACGGTATAGCGATATCAAATCAGCGGAGTACAGCAGAAATGTGACCGAAGTAACGTATATATGTTACTACAACTAGAAAAGTATAAAAAGTATATTACGCTACTTATAAATGTAAAAAAGATGTATGAGGACAGTTGTTTCGACAAGCAGAAAAAAACGCATTCGCCTTCACGTAAACTCGGAGAAATACATACTCTGTTCAATCGCATATCTAACACACAAGAGGAAGTAAAATAGCGCGAGAAGCATTATTTTATTTATTACATACTTTCTACCGCTTGTATTTTCACTCAATCAAACCTCTCATACTTCTCTTAAAGTTAAAATCTCTTTTTGACGTCCAAATATTCGATTTTTTTCTCTTATTTTTTTTTATAATATTGATAGATCTCTCAAAAAACGATTCCTTAAAGTAAACTTAATGTAAGCTGCGGATGTATACTTTCGGAACTTAGGAGTGTAGTACCATGAGAATATATCTCTGTATGTATGTGTATGTATGTATATATGTGTATGTATGGTGCATAATATTAACAATACGTAATGAACTAAGGAACAATCGGTTTAGCATCCTGATTTTTTTTCTCGTCATTATACACCAGCTGTCGTCAACGCTTTATAAGATTCATCTTCTAAAATATACCATCAACAAATACAAAAAGTACACAAAAAAAGCACATATGAATGTATATACCTTCAACAAATATGAAAATAATAAGAAAATGTAACAGGCATATTACATACACAGGGTGTCCCAGTTTAATCGATCACCAATTTTCGGCATAAAAAATTGTAAGGGTAAGGTAGCCCAATAAATAAGAGATATTTTATATTTTAATTCGATAAATTTTACATAATCTATGAAACATCTCGTAAAATATTTCATTTTTATATCCTACCTAAATACTTTTATGCATAAAATAACGAGAAGAATCAATTGGTAAATAAAAGAAATATATAGTTGTTTGTAAGAAAAAGTATCTAATTACTAGTTGCAATTTAAAAAAACGTAAATGACTTTGAAAAGCATTCTTTAAAAATATCAATAATGCTATCCTTTGTCCCTCTTTAAATCAAACAACTTTTGTTTGAAGTATTTTGTTGTACAATTTTGAAAAATAAAAAAGTTTACGCAGGTGATCAATTAAAATGGAACATCCTGTGTATATATGTGTATATATATATATATATATGATAATAAACGCAAAACGTGTCGATTGAATAAAATCGTAAGCCAGACACATTGAAAATGTGCAAACGCACGCAAATTCGCAAACAAATAAAGATTGCTGCGCAAGAACTATTTAAGAATATATAAATTCAATATTCATGTATATATGCGATCTGTGAGATTCTCAATTATAATTATATTTATAATACATATAACAAGTTCCATGTATTCAATGTGTTGTAAATAAACGATTCTTTCTATTTCTGTAGAAACTGTATGTATGCGATCTGTAAACTATATAGAGCTATTGTAATGGATAATTTGCGGGATCCAATAAACGGAAAATAAGTAAAAATCATGGTGCACAGTCAACTAAATAAAACATCCATTTAAACGTGTGAAGTGTCTGCAGTAACAATGGTATTCTTTTTCTTTTTTCCGGTGTAAAAAAATGAAACTGTTTTTTTTTTCCGGAACACTATTATATAATATATATAATATATTAGACTTCTAACAGACTCTGTTATGAAAATGCGATATAATATTCTATGGAATGAAGATAAGATATATAGCCTTTTTTTTATATAATATACGTGCAGATCAAATTAATTCTAGCGTTACTTGTTTTCATAATCTGTGCTCATGTGGTGACTAATATTATTGCATGATTCCAGAGAGTGTAATGTGTTCATCTAAAGTATATACTGAATGTAAAATGCAATAAATAACAATTAGTGGAGGTAATAATAATAACATTGACATTTCTACGTCTCACTCTAAAAGATATAGCTTATTCTCTATCAGGTACTGTGTTGGGTTTTTCTGTCATGGTAACATGCACCAGTCTGGAATATGTGTCTTGTAATGTTAGTCTCAATGCTGCTTCTTGCTTTTTTCTTTTTCTTTTTTGTGTAATACACAGAACTGCTTTTTACCAGCTAACACGCTAAATATCGTACAACAAAACGTTGACGTTTAATCGTATATCGAATACCTAATCGTTTTTTAAAACGATATCAATCTTATGAACGGAAAGAAGCCCAAGAAATACATACATATGTAAAAATCCTTACGTAAATTATTCTGAGGAATAATCTCCGTCAATTATATAAAAATATCGCGTCTATTAATACATACAGTCTTTAAGATCTCTTATGTAAAAGTAAATGAACGTGAAAAAAAAAATGAGATGACCTCTGTGTTTCCTTTACGCGTGCTCTATTTATTTCACTTGAATTACTTATTAAAATTCTGAGCGCAATTATTATCTTTCCGAATATTCTTCCCATTCATAGGATCCATCTCTAATATAAAGTATGACATATCAATAGTCGTTTTAAACTAATTCAAACTTACGTTTAAATATTTTTAGGAAGCTATATATTCGACAAAAATGATTTTTTTTCTCAATCGCTAAAATATGCACGCTAACTCGAAATTCGAAAGAAATTTAACTTTGATTTCTTTAAGAAATCAATGTTTTCTTTTTTTCTTTTATGAAATAGAAATGATACCATAATGACACACATACGGTATATTAAAATAAAAAAAGAAGGAAAGAAGGAAAGAAAGAAAAAGAAAGAAAAACACGAAATAAAAAAATTTTCTTAATTTCTAAAACGCGTAGCATCTGGTTAGAGCCTTTCCCTGTCTTCTCTTAATACTAAATGTTTTTTTTCCTTCTTATTTATAATTAAATATTATCAATGGAAAACTTATTTTGGAATGATCAATGTTTGCGCTCTCTCTCTCATTTTAAGGTTCCTGGGTTCTAGCTGCGTCCATGTCAGATTGTGACGTCAGAGGCGAGAAGCCTCTGACGTCAATTCTAACGTGATCGGCGAGGAGCCAGAAGCCTTAAGCGATCATCAGTCCGAAACTTTGTTGTCAGAACGAAACTTCGTCAACTGAGTTTAGGCCATGCTTTGCCCGGCATTATTTATAGCAATTTTTTTCTTTATGTTCCCAAACGCGAAGGAATGCACGCTCGTACACGTCTTTCTACTATATATCAGCGTTTCAAAGTGTGATATTTTTTCTTTTTTTATGAACATATTCACAATTAACAATTAATCTATCCTATTTACAGAGGCATTTGGAAACTTACTATTTCATTCCAGATTTATTTTGTTCGCGCATCTCTTAACGTTGACAACTTATTTAATTTTAATCTTACACACGTACAGAATCATTCAAAATAGTATCGAGAATTGATAGAAAATTACAAATTAAGCACTTTTTGAAAAGACTTGTGCGAAAATTTTGTATTTTGTTGTTAGCTTAAATATATATCTGTTTCCCTATTATTCAAATACAAATATTTATTTAAAAGAAAAGGTATCAAGAGAATGTAATTCTCAGTCAATCTCGCGGTGTTGGCCTCTAATTAGCTTTAATTTAACTTTACAAACACTTTTGCGCAAACCTGTCAATTTTGCTTCAAAAACACGTAACTTGTTACATCCTCTATCGATCCTCAAATAGTATTTCGAATCATTCTGCACACACGAGTCCTCCTTTTAAGTATCATCTACACAATCAATGCACCACTGCAACCTCAGGAATGTGATCATGCAAAGCGATGAATGAATTTGAGAATTATGTGTTGCCACCATTTGTTGAAAAAAATGGTATTGCTCACGCAGCCATTTGCCTTGTTCTTTGCGCGCAATAAATGTATCTTATTTACACAAACGCGAATTCTTTACATTGATCGCGTGATCAGACGATACTCCTTGCGAGTCCGACTTCGTCAGGTGGTTGTTGCGGGTCGTTTCGCGTCGCCTTCGCTTCTCGCGAGGACTCGAATTCGTTTTTTCCATTCTGTTTTCTCGTAATATTGATGTGCCGACCATGAAGAGGAAGGAGGAAACAGGTATTCCTACTTACTGTATACCTCGATACCGGTGCGAAGCATTGAACACTTTAGTGTACCGCCTAACACGTCCTCAGCCGTTTGGTCCGAGCGTCGGAATAGACACGCACTGGATTTTCGGCGACGATGAAGTCTCCCCGTCCGGACACCCTGAGTTGTTATTTAAACTGCTAGCACTACTGCCTAAAGTACAATTGACCATTGTGAGCTGCGTGCCTTCCAAATCTTGTTCCTCGTCTTCCTCATCATCTTCCTCCTCTTCTTCCTGTTGATTATTCGAGACAGAGCTGTCTCTCCTTTTGTACTGCAAAATTTTTACGAAAATTATGGATGTGTTATAGGATGCCTTCATTCATCTACAACATGATGAAACTCATAGAGATACCTGAGGGTTCTCCATAATATGAACATCTTTCGAGCCTCCATTTATCTCCCAGGGCGATAATAAGGGTTCCTTTGCACAAATTTCAAAAACTCCATTAGATTGTGCACCCTACGCAACATATATCATATATTATATCCCTCGATTAAGATATATATATGTATATATATATATATATATATATATATATATATATATATATATATATATATAAATTCCTAGACATAGGACAAGGTGTATACTCAAATCTGAGAAATAAATTCCCTGAGGATTCCATGATTTTCCAGGTACTTTTGTTCAAAATTCCAGGTAAAATTAAAGTATTTTAAATAATATTTAGAATACAATTTTGAAATAAGTTTATATGTTATACATAATTTTTAACATAAACAAAGTACTTTTTTAATAAATATAGTATTATATTATAATAAAATATACTTTAATATGAACTTTGTATAAAACTAATAAATGTTATATTCTTTAAAACTATATTTTAAAATCAAAAGAGCAATTTTTTTTAAAACTCCCCGAGTTCAAATCAAATTCCATGATAATTCCAGGATTTTCCAGAGAGCACACACCCTGTAGGAGAAATTTTTCTGTCTCGTTACCTTCGCATCGGAATGCGGATTCGTTTCGAGCGGAGACGATGGACATAGCACAGCCAGTTCGATCTCGTTCGAGGCACCGGTAGCGTTCGCCTGTTGATTCACAGAGGTGGAGGACTGCTCCGTGCAACATCCGTTTCCGGTTCGCGACAGAACTCGTCCGTTCGTAGGCTGAGCGCCGTTTCTCAACGAGCGAGAATCCTCGAACTTTCTCCGACAGTATATGCTGCATAGACATATCGCGATGAACCCGATGCTTATGCTGACTCCGAGAATCACACCTGTTTTGTGCACCAAAACACGTATTAGTATTACGGTTGACATAATATTATCAATATAATGATTATTTTTCAGAGTGTCTACTCAAATTTACAATAATAATGTACAATATCACACATAAAAATATAAAACAAAAATAATTTATTATATATTTCTTAAGAAATGCTAATTTATTTAAATTAATTATTTATTAGATTATTTGCGTTTCCTAATATTTTCTATACATACAATTGCATAAATGGTCAAGAGTGCAATTTTCCTAGCATTTATTATTATTAATATTGATTTATCAAGATTATTGATATTGATTTATTAATTATAAAATTAATTTGAACAATAACTATTATTTGGATAATAATTATATAATTAATTTAAACAATAATAAAGTACGATCTATTAATTTGAACAATAATAAAGTATATCTAAATACTAAAAATATAAAATATAAAAATGTAAAACAAAAATGATTTATTATAAACTTCTTAAGAAATACTAATTTATTTATATTAATTATTTATTAAATTATTATTAATTATTTGCTTAATTATTTATTAAATAAATAAAGTACTAATATATTTAAATATATTATCTATGAAAAAATTGAACAATTTTCTATGAAACTTATACAAGATCTCGACACTAAAAATAATTGTCAATAAAAAAAAATCACATAAAATTTTAATAAAAACTTAAATATTGCAAAGATACATTAGATACATGTTTCTTAAGTGTTAAATAAGAATAAAATGATCAAAGGAGCAATTTTTCAAACATGTCCTGAATGCTAATTAAATTCCATGAAAACTTTCCCTAACTTTTCAAGATAGAACATTCCCTGAGAATACCAGGTTCTCAAGATTTTCCCTGGGAATATACCCTGTTTTGACATCCTCTACTCTTTCACTCACCTAGACTCTGATCAGGCTTGGGGTTTTGCGGTGGCTTATCCTCCTTGCCGGACGGGTCGGGTACTTTCGATACTCCACCTCCATTGCTATCAGCACCGCCAGTAATAATAATGATAGGATCCGACGGTTTCCCATAGCCGGCTTTCGTCGCTGCTCGTACCATGACAAAGTACCGTTTGCCCGGCGCTAAACTCGGTAGAGTCGTCGATGTTTTATTACCGGGTACGGTGACGTTGCCCCAGGTCATCGTCAAGTCCATGGTGTACGCGACGAAATAATTCTGTATGACTCCGTTGACGATGCTCGGCTCCTTCCACGCGATTCGTACCTTGGTATTGTTACCCAAGAACCATTGTACCTCCTCGACCTTACCAGGAACTGTAACATTTATTTATATATAACATAATATAATAAATAATATAACAAATATAATAAAAATAATTTAATATAATAAATAATATAAATATAAAATAGATAAATAATAAAAAACCGATATATAAAGATATCCATAGATCTGAATAATAAAAAATTTGGTCTCTCACCATCTTCGTTTGTGTAACATTCTATAGATTCACTGTAAAGACTGGTTTGATTCGTATCGTGTCTAATGGCCCTTACTTTAAACTGATACAAGGTAAAAGGCTTCAATTTGTCGACGTTCACTTTTGTATCGTCTCTGTAATATGTTTCACATAGATTTACAGAAAGCGCTTTTGTATTATAAAATTATGTTTATGTTCAAGTTATGTACTTACATGATGAAACATTTAGAATTGTTAGAAGCTAGCACATGCACTGCTTGATAACAAAGTTCAAATGAATCTATACTATGCACATCAGACAATGTCCACGTTACGTTTATGGACGTGGGTGAGACAGGAATAGCCTCCAAAGCCATTGGTATGGTATCTAAAATTACGAGATTATCGCTTTGTCTATTTTCTGTTCGATGAAAATGTATTATGCAACAATCTGACCAAAACTACTTACTAGGATTGGATTGTGCAGTCTCTATATGTTTCGTCAAGCAACCTGTTGCTTCACCCAAGTTCACCATACACAAACCCATGGTATAAGAAACATTTGTATCTAGATAAAAATGTTATAATATATATTTTTTGTCTGTAACATTATCCAAGAAGTGCCACGAAATGCAAAATATTTACCAAGATCAGTAAACAGATATTCAGTACTGTTTTGCGGTAAAAGAATAGTAGTCACTTTTTCACCATCTTGATTTTCACAATAAATTTGCCAGGAATCAAATTTTGGTTCAATTTGATCATTTTGCTTGAAGTTGATTTTCCATTTCATCTGTTAGAAGAAAATAATTGATTGAGAAATATTCAAATATAATTATAAATATTTGTTAAAAATTTAATCAATGAGTTTCATTAAATATTAACCTTAATTATCGAAGCGTTTACAATTAATACTTGAATATCCACATTCCTTATAGTAAATTGATTAGATTCAGGAGATGGCATAGTCACAGTAATCCAATTCAATTGTACCTCGCTAATATTTGGCCAGCCTTGCTTTGTTTTCGCCAATACTCGAATATCATATTGCGCTCCGGGTATCATATCTGTAATTATAATATATATACATATATATAATTATATAGCGCATAAAAATTGTTTTCATAAAAAATAATAGATACCCGAAAGTATGTGGTATTTAACAGTGGCAGGTAGATAAACTATTGTAGAATACGGATGCTGGTGGAGTCTCCATTGTAATTTATATTCCTCCACGACGCCGCGAGATTCCTTTTTGCTCAAAGGCTCCCATGATACATTTAGCTTTGTACTACTGATTATATCCACATTTATTTTTGGTGCACCTTTAGGAACTGGAAGAAACAGGATCGTTAGATTAGATTTGAAAATTAAAATTGATAAATAATAAATACCTACCACTTGGAGCTGTGGAACACAGAATGGTAGCCGATTGATCGCTGGCACCATAATTATTCCACACTCGTATGTAAAATGAATAATTTGTAAACGGTTCAAGAAGCTTTGTTACTTCTACGGATGTAGAATTCCCTGGTTCTGGCGGAGAGACTTCCTCCTTGCCACCTTCTATTATCAAAAATACGACATCAAATGTACAAATATATAGAATTACAGTCTCTCTGCATCATACTTATCCTTATGGACCATAATCGAACTCACCTACAGGACTATAATGGACGGTATAAGCTGTAATACTGGTATACGGTAGAGACTTTGGTGGTTCCCACGAGATTAAGATTCTAACTGGCGAAACAGCGTGACATTTTAGAGAAGTGGGTGCTGCAGGACTATTGCGCGACGTATTCACTTGAAGCCGGCCAGCGGCCCAAATTTCACCCGCTGAATTTACCGCTACACATTGGTATATGCCAGAGTCAGACGGTACTGTCGCTGATATTGCTAATTCTACCTTATTGTATTCCTTAACGTAAGTCGTTCTGCGACCTGGAACATTGATTTTTTTATTTAAAATAATATTTTTTGTTTTATAAGTATTTTTAAGAAAAAACATATTTTAAACAAACAAAAAAAAAACACTTGATAGCTTTAATCTGTGTAAGCATTTAATATATATAAAATTATATATTCTTTATTTTATTTTGAGTTATTACTTTAAAATTTAATTTAGTTTAATTCAATTTATAAAAATAGGTATTAAAAAAATACCCAATATGACTGCAATGCATTTCCAATATATTATTGTTACCGTTCATTTTTTCTTACTTAAATGTGTATTATTTTTTTAGTTAAGAGAATTACATTATTTTATTATTTGCAATAAATAAAATGTAAAATGCAATGTGTTATAATTAAATCTTTAACAGTTTGTGCTTTGTGTAGTTAACTTTATATATGTATAATCTTTAATATATTCAATTATATTAATTGTTAATATTTAATATTCAAAATTAAATATTCTGTTAAAATAATATTTACCTAATTATTATTTCATTATTTATATTTATATTTTTAATTTTATATCTATAGATTACATATAAATATAAATAAACTAAAAAAATTGGAACAAAAATCTTTTTGCAACATGCACGTCTATTAGTTTTTGTTTTTCTTTGTCGTTTCTTTTTCAAATAATCATATATTTTAATTGCAATGTTTTAAACAGTTTTAAACAAGCTATTTAAAACATGCTAAGCCTAATTCTTACCATTGATAGTAATATTCAACGAGTCTTTTAGCCAATAAATTTGAGGTACGGGTGATCCTTGCGCCTGACACTCGAATCTCGCTGTTCTTCCATTTGGACAGATTTGGTTCGTCGGCGTTTTAATAAATGACGGTGGTATCAATATGTCTACAGTTACCTTCTGTAACAATTTAAACAAGAAAGACATATATATTTGTCCCTTTTACACATGTATATATTTATTTATATAATTCATCTATTTAATCATACTCACCTGTACTTCTAAATCATTGGTGATAACATTTTTCGAAGAACACAAGTAAATACCAGCATTAGAAACATTTATATTTGTCAATGACAGTATAGCGATGCCAATAGTAGAATTAAGAAGGATGCGAGGTTGTGTAACATTACCTGAGAACACATATACATTCAAATGTATTAAATTTTACTCAATACTTCAAACTATGTGTTAGCAAGTCTGATTATTTAATTCTTTACCTATATAAATACGAGGAATAAATGACCATGTTATGAGTGGTGATGGATAACCAGATGCAGCACATGCCAGACTAAGATTTGATCTGTTAAGTAGCTGATGACTGTATAAAGTCTGTGGAAACAAGGATGACGGAGTATGCGATTTGTTACCATCAGCTCTCGAAATAACTATTAATTTTGCTTCTCTGCTCTTTTTGGTCTTCTTTAAAAATTCATTTGTGACTATGCATCTGGAACGCACAACGTTTATTTAGTTTTAAAATATAGAAATTAATAGAGACAGAAAGGAAAATTGAAAATTATATTACGTACCTGTATGAGCCAGCATCTGACAGTTTCGTTGCACTTATATACAGAACACCTGGTGGTACCATAAAATACTTTGATTCATTATGATAAGATAACAATGTTTCGTTATGCTGCCATGTAATATTGGGTGGGAAAGGAACACTGTCTATCAAACAAGACAATCTTGTAACTTCACCTTCTTGAACCGTAATATTTTCTGGAGATTCTTTAAATGCATGTGCAAACTCTGTAATGTAAGATATTTATTATAGTAATTATAAGATATTCTAGACCTCAACAACAATTTAATATACTCTAAAAATACATATATATATATATATATATATATTTACCTGCTATTTGAATAAATGTAGGAGCTGACCGTATCAAACCTCCTGAACTGCTACGTGTTACACAACGATATTCATCCTTATTATGGTTTCTAGCATTAACAATACCACTCCTTTCCTTTTCTTTGAACTTTTGCATTTGTAAATTTTGTTTCTACAAAAAATAGAGTCACAGATATATAATTTAATTTTTTATCCACATTACAGTCTAATAATAATAAATCTAGCAATGTATGTATACTATTTTCTACCTTGTAAAAGTGAAGAGAGCCATTAGAGAGAAGAACACAGCGAGTAAGACCACATGGAGGTGCTGGTAATCCATTGTGCAGCCAAGATACAGTTTCGTTCGAACCAGCTATGCAATTAAGCGTGATTCCCTTTTTTCCTAGTATCACATGGCCGCTAGGTTGAATTTCCAGTGTTAATCCAGACCCCTTAATCAGACCAACGTCGAAACCATCTGACTTGGACACGTTCCTACCACTGATGTTCCCTCCAATACCCCTAACACCTGGTCAAACAAGCAGTTTTAAAGCAACAAGATTTTTAGAAGAATGCAAATATCCTTAGATACCAAAACGACATTTTTATGTTTAACAATGTCACTTTGTTACTTGGAAATATGCAATATTACATTGCAGTTATATTTCCTCTTCAAAAATTTACTATCGAGACCCTAAAGTCTCAGGAGCAAATTTTACAATAACACAATTAGAGATTAATAATTGATAACAAGTCTAATAAACTTGGCTAGAATATATTTGCTTAGTTTAAGATAAATAAATACGCAATATTAAATTATAGTTATCAATTTCTCTTCAAAAATTTGATATCGAGACAATTTAATTAAAAACTTTGAAAGCAAATTTTACAACAGTAACAATGTTAAAGAATATATTATATACAAGAACATATATAACTAATGTGACGAGTCCAACATAAAATATTCAATACGGAAAGCGATGCCACAAAAAACTGCTCTTGGAAATCGCTTTTCCTAACAAACGTCACATAAAATCCAACGAATTGGCATGAAAACTGCGACGAGCTCTCGAGGACGACGTCTGGACTCGTGGTTCGCATTTACAATCAGTACACCGTCCCTCCGAGAGCTGCGCATCGGCTCGACGTTCGCAAACCAGGTCGCCGTGGAGGAAGTCGCGACGACCTGGGGGTCGGTCCCGGGGAGAGACGTCCCGGACGGGTCTGACGCACCTGCGGCACAAGCTGGCTTCAGCACTTCCGTAATCAAGACGCTCAGCAAGAGTACTCGCGCCGCCATATATCCGCGCTCATCGGCAACGGCGCGTGTGTATGTGTATATATATATATATATGTATATATACATACACACACATATATATATATATATATAATAAGGTTTCACTGGCAGAGCCAGGGCCGTCGTCGGTTCGTCTTCTTTGACGTCCTCGTCGTCGTCGAGCTAGGAGCGGGTGGGACTCGGCGCCGCATGTTTGACGTTTCGAGCGTCGTCGAGGAGCCGAGAAGAATTCCGTTCCCCTTCCTCGACTCCCTCTCTGGTTCGCCTCGCGCGTGTATGTACGCTCACATCGTCCCGACCGGCGAGGCGCGCGTCAACATCCCCCGGAGGACGGTGACGGACGCGGGAGCGGCGCCAGGAGCGAGAGTCCTGGGGAGGATCGCGGCGTCGAGAGGTAAGCACTGAGAGTTCACCACTGGCCTCCTTGGGATTCCTTGGAATGCTTTTATCGTCGAGCGTCACGTTCCCCTAGCACGCGACTCCTTCGTTTCTGCTTGCCATCTTGCAATCTTGCCATCCCTCGGGCGTCCTCGGGCCTCACCGCCTCCTAGCAACGAGAGAGGGAGATTCGAACGCGCCCGGCCGAAGGTAGCTGTTTTCTTTAGGTTTCTATCAAGATTGTCGGAATTAATATATTGTTATTATTATATAATGTAAATAAAGGTGTACGTATATATAACAAAATGCAAAATAGGAAAAATGTTGATTTATTTGTAGGAAATAAAATAATAATGGATTATTTTGAATCGATGTCGAACATTTTTTCCGTGACCATCCGATGGTACATGAATATTTGTCTATGAGAAGTTTGTGAAATCTTTTTTATTGATTGAAGATAATTTTCTAGAGAAAAAATTTATTTATATAAAATTGATATTTTTCTAAGAAATTTCTCAATGTTTGTATAGTTGATTCAGAAAGAAATTATCATGTTAAATAATTATGTTTTTCAAACACAAAAGAAATGTCTTTTACATTGATTTATAAAAAATGTGTAATTATTTTACATATATGAAGTGTCTAGCATTTTTTTAAAATTACATTTATATATAATTTATTCATCAAAGCAATTTTTTCAAAATATTTATACTTGTCTCAGAAAGAAAAGATTAATAATATAAAAAGATATTAATTTTGTGTCTATTTTTCAAACACAAAAGAAATTTCTTTTACGTTGAGTTAATTTACAGGAAAAAATATAATTATTTTACATATATGAAGTGTTTAGCATTTTTTTAAAAATTACATTTACATATAATTTATTCATCCAAGCAATTTTTCAATTTTTTCAAAATATCTGTACTTGTCTCAGAAAGAAAAAGTTAATAATATAAAAAGATATTAATTTTGTGTGTCTATTTTTCAAACACAAAAGAAATTTCTTTTACATTGAATTGATTTACAGAAAATATATAATTACTTTACATATATGAAGTATTTAGCATTAAAAAAATTACATTTACAATACATATAATTAATTCATCAAAGCAATTTCTCAATTTTTTCAAAATATTTGTATTTAACTCAATGTCAGAAAGAAAAAGTTAATAATGTATAAAAAATATTAATTTTCTGTGTATGTGTCTATTTTTCAAACCCAAAAGAAATTTCTTTTACATCAAGTTAATATCATACAGAAAAAATATAATTATTTTACATATATAAATAAGTGTTTAGCATTTTCTTGCTAAAACAAAAAATCTATTAAATAGTGGAAACTCTATAGAAAATTTCTATAAAAAATCTATAGAAAAAATCTATTAAAGAAAAAAATAATTTAAATATTGATAAAAAAAAAGATTTATCTTGATCTGAATTGACAGCTTTGTTGAATGAAAATATTTTTTTATTTATTTATATATTTATATAAGTTCAATTCGAATATCAATCTTTTCTTCAATTGCAATAAATAATCTTAATTAATTATTTCTTTTATACATATCTCAGATAACAACTTTTATATTTATATATATATCTCAGATAACAAAATTAGTCATTTTAATATCAAATTACATCAAATATGATTAATAAGAATATAAAAAAAATTATATTCAAATCAAACTTGTATACAAGATATATATAATTTATATATATTTTATATATATATATATATATCTTGTAATTTTTGATATTAAAATGACATCAAAATGACTAATTTTTCTACCTGGGGATGTGTATATATATATAAAAGAAATAATTCATTAAGATTATATATATTATATATATGTATAGCTGCTCCATGTCAGTTTTTTTCTCATCTGCCAATCATACTTATTTCTCTATGATGGCAATCGCGTGCGAGAGAAATCGCGGAATCATGTTGTACATAAATATATCTCGCGGTCATTTTATTTCCAACAAAAAGAAGCATGGCATAAAGCACTGTGTGTCGTATACTTATCGATGAGAACGACGATGACGATGAACGTCGACGCCGGGTCGATCGAATAAGAATCGCCCATATTCTATTCGCGAGAGAGAGAAAACCGGTTTAACTCCGACAATTTTCCGACTGCGTCTGATGACCTTGACACTGCGCTTTCACTCAGGGAAAGTATCCTCCCCAGGTACTGGAGGGGTTGCTCCCATCAGTCGCCAGAAGGGAAGAAAGGATCTATGAAAAAGTTTAAAAAAGGAATAAATAAATGGCTCGATTAAGAAAGCCTCTTATTAATTCATCTGGGATCATCAGCATTTTTTGTTCTTTTAAGCATTCATTTTCTTCTGCTTCCCCTCCTTAGCAGATATATAGAAGCCTATACTATAACGATAAAAATAAATTAATTATATATTTTATTATAATTATTGTAATTATAGTATTTATAATTATAATAAATTTATAATATTTATAATTATATAATAAATATATGTATATAGGAGTTTATAATTATATAGAGTGTGCAAAAATCGTTTTTACATTACAATTATGTTTGAGTTAAAATTAAAGATATAATTATAAAGTATATTAATTTATTTTCAATAATATAAACCGGTAGAAAATAATTCATTCTCGAGCAAAATGGGCAAAAATTATCCAGAATTGTCTCACCTGTCAAACGTTCTGTCAAACATCAGATCAGGATGAAGGGATCAATAAAAAGTCATTTTTGGTATGAATTTTTTTCCTCATTTGGATGAGTAGAAGACGTTCTTGAAGCAGCAATAGTCCATATTTTTGCTACACCCTATAATAAATAATTATTATGATATAATAATAATAATAATAAACAATTACTTGATGCATGACAAGTGTAGATAACAAGTGTTCCTCATATCCTTGTTGAAGAAAACGTACCGTTATTTCGCGTTCCCTGCACCCATAATGATACGTCATTTAATTTGATCCATCTTCGTGCACCTTTCACGTTGAGCACGAAATAGAAACCGCTGATTTCCGTTATCGTCATCATCGTCGTCATCATCATTGTCGTTGCATGTGTAAAAGAGGAAGGAAAGACTGACTGCGAAAGTCTTTCTTCGCGTTTGTCCGGTTCAGAGATTATCGTGCTAGTAGGCCGACTTGACGTCTTTGACGTCTTGGCGAAACTGATTAGCACAATTTGTCATGTTTATTCGTTGCCAGGTTCATTAATCCTTCGAAGGATTGCGATCTAAAAAATATATCTGTGAAAGAAAAATGAACAAAATCATATATTAATTAATTGTATCGTCAATTTTCTTTAGTTCCTGAAGAAGAAATGAAGATTACATGTGAAAGTAAGAGCCAGACGCAACAAAGTCGGATTGCTCGATTTGATGGAGAAAATAACTGGATTTTTTTATTATTTATGCGATGGTCGCATTTTATTTTATTTTTTTTCAAATGAAAGAATGCACCAAATACATAAGATTTTGGTTTTTGGCGGAATATTGGCTATTTTTTCATATATTGTAACTTATGTCCTGCTAAACAAAAGATGAAATAACTCATAGAACCCAAGTTTTTCATATTTGACTGGATGTAAATCAGTAATCGTCTATTATTTACCCAGCAAACACAATATATAAATAATAAGAATATTTTTACAATATATAAATGTTATATACTCAAGCATGTTACATGTAACGTATATGTTAGTTGTAATTTCCCACTCATAGATGTAACATTTTAATATTACATATATTACATTGTAGTTATATTGTCATTATATCACAAGATAGCACCGACTTATCAATACATCAATGTGCTATTTGGTATATAATAACAATATAACTACAATATAATATATGTTATATTAAAATGTTACATCTATGAGTGGGAAATTACAACTAACATGGATGTTACATGTAACGTACACGTTATATTACCTGTTATATTCCGTTTTATTATAACAATGTAACAATTATATATCGGTGTTTGCTGGGAGTGTTTGCTGTTATCTATATAAAATTATATAGATGATCATTTAGATGAAACTTTGGCATCATCTTATATAGATAATAAAAATATGTATTATCTATAAGTGCATCTGAGATGAAAAAAAGTATTATCTTTACTAAATTATCTAGAATAATTTTCAGATAATTTTGGTTTAGGATCATAGCATATAAAAATACTTAAATGAGAAAACTTGAGCAGTAAGCGAAAAAAATTTAGAAATAAAAATATGAATCTATTTTGATATCCCTTTTATAATATTTACATTTTTTTATAACTGTGTTTACATAAACAGTTTTAAAAATTATCTAGATGAATCGCCATATAATTTTATCTTTTATCTAGATATATATATTTAAAACAAAATCATCTTTATTTTATCTAATAAGATGAATTTACATATTGTTATCTCATCTTTATCTAGCTAATTTTAAAATCACCTAAGCACAACACTGATGGTTGCTAATTTACAGCCAGTCAAGTGAAAAATTAGGACTTGCGAGTTGTTTGACTGGCTGTAACTCCAGTAACTATCGAATCATCTTCTATTACAACATATGAAAAGAAATAGCCAATTCTATCGAAAGTCAAAATCCTATCTTCGGTGTTGGGTCCTTTGATTTCTTGGCGCTTTGAAATAGACAGGAAATTTAAAAAAAAGTCGATCAGCCAACCTGTTGCGCCGAGTCTGACAATCCGACAATGTTAGTTTCACCTTTCTTCATCTTCCGTTTTATGCACAAATGTGAAAGGTGCCCGCGAGGTATAATTGTAATCCTCGCGATTAGAAGCGCATATGGAGCATCCTGTGCGTTAGTGAGTCGATTTCCAGTTAGTCTGGATATCAGAGTGAATCTCGTTTCACGTGTTATTCTTACTGTCACTTAAACAAGAGCAAAATCGCCGTTTCGCCGATTATTATAGGGATATATTATTCATGAGAGCCCTCGAAACGTATCTCGCTCTTGCCAGGTTTCAAATGCGCCATTAGGAGATTCGCTTTAAACATACACATTCATGAAGCATTGTATTAAACAATAACACACAAAAGACTCGGTATAGTTCATTAGAAAGGTTAAATAGACGCAAAATACTTTTCTCTCGGTGATAATTGGCTTGAAAGTGGAAGTAAACTGGTGTATTTATCGCTCTATTATACATGCACATTTTTCCCCTTTCTCGCTTATTCTTTCATTAAGATCTCTTAATTTTGTTCTATCGTGAAGAGAAAGAATTTATGAAAAACAAATTTATATATAATAAATAATGTAATTAATATGTAAAATATATAATTAAAATATACAATTAAAAAATGTTCAATAATTCAAAAAAAAAATTAAATTGAATGAAGGAAAGGATATTTTTGTGCAGGTGAAATCAATCTCCGAATAATCCTCCAGGAAGAGGGTAAAATTCGATGAGATCCAGATAAACGATAAGGCAAACGAGGAGAAAAAAATGTGCATGCAAATATATGTATCGAGATAAAATTTCTTTTATATTCCACTTCCTACTTTCTATCGAACTCACGTTCATATTTACTGTACTGTTTTTCTCAAATACGTGTAACGCACACGCAACGTGTTTCGCACACAGATATCAAAATCGCTCTTGCAAGTATAATCTCTGACAATACACACCACGACACACACAAGAGACTCTTTACAAGAGACAAAGTCGTCTCGGCGATCTGCGCCCGATGAAGCAACGTTTCCGAGGGGAAAAAATGAACAGCACGAGAAGCGCGCGAGGAGAGAAAGAGGGTAAGAGCCGCAGAGAGCTATAAAGCGATCCAGTTTCATCGAAATTCTCAGTTTGTCGTATACTTATATCGCATAGCGGACGAACGACATCCCCGGCCCGAGTATACATGATACCCGGCAAATATGAAGGCGGGGCCAATATTGCAAGTAAATGTCCAGCGAGTACAGATACATTACATCTCTCAATAACGCAAAAAACGCGAATAATTTCGTATTTCGAGTTTTACAACGAAAGTGAACAGAGAAAAGCGGACGTGTTATTGATACATTGATGATTTTCGCTTATGTAGACGCATATAATTCTCAGTGCAATTCGAAATTCGACATAGGTATACATTTAAATCGTGTCTTCCCAAGTAGCAAGCTGACGTCATTTTAACGTTTAATATGATGTCAGCTTGCTACCTGGGTTATTATGTGTAACATGGAATTAATTATTGACTATACAATAGTTGTCAGTTGCTACCATGCATGCGTGATCAAATAGAATGTACAAAGTATACAAATTAATTATTGTGGTGATTTACAGTTGATATTACTCGTGATGTTACTGGTTGGACCTTCGGAGGAATTTTTTCTCGAATAGTGAGTGTGACTTTTGTATTTTCTTCTCGCTAGATTATTAAAGTGCTCGAAGGAGAAAATGTGTGTAAATAATTATACATCTTACAAACTAATGAATTCTTCAGCCAAAAATTTTTCTTAATTGTGAAAAAAATTTGACGCCCAATTCTTAAAGATGGAGTTAAAAATGACTCAAAGAATTTCTATACTAAAAAAATACGTTTAATTTTCAGAAATAAAAAATAAGAAATTGATATTTTGAAATAAAATAGATTGATTGAATAAAGTAAAAGAATCTTTATGACTTTATGATTCTTTACGCTGAATTTGATATTTGCTTGAATTAATATTTTAACTATAGATGATTCTTTCAGAATTATCCCAAGTAACAAACTAACATCATTAAACGTCAAAATGACGTACGCTTGCTACCTGGGATTGCTTTTAAATGTTTATTTATATTTGTAATATATGTTCTCTCTTACATTTTAGTTCGAAGAAAGCTTTGCAGGATTTCTTCCAGTCTTTAAGGGCAAAAAAGCCTACTCTGCAGCCTAATATACAGCACTATCACGTACATTATTACCCGATGCCTTACTCAATGTTAACGTGGCCGAAAGTTCCAGTTAAACGGGAGCTCGAGAAACTCTACGAGTACGTTCGCACATTTTGCACGTTAACTACCAATTAGAAAACAAGAGTTAAAATCATTTCTCGTCGTGATTACGTCCGTGACGAGAAATCGATTCAGAAGTACACGAAAACTTATGTATAAAATAAATGTATAGCATATATTAGGGAAAGTAATATTTCAAGTTCGTTTTTACCTCACTTCGCCGCCTTTTACAAGATGAATAGCGTGAGAATCTCTACAATCTCTCGCTATTAATCTTTCAGATTTACTTGTGAACATTATATTAATATTAAAGTAATGATTTGATCGAGTATTATTATCATTTTCCAGCGATACTTTCGCGTCGTTCGGATGGCCAGATTACTACTACAATTATTTACCTCATCCATCCATATTCATGTCGGATCTTCAACAACTATGGGATGCGGAGCTTCCAAGTGAGTTCAAGTCATATTTCACGGAGAACAAAATTAATTGCCACATTCGTTCGTTCAAACAGTAAAGAAGAGAGAGAGAAATATTGCGTAGATCATGATTTAAAACGTTGATTTTTTTTCTTAGTACCAGACGACACGCCAGCTGCCATTGATCGAAACGGCCAGGGATTACTCATGCAAGTTCCTCTCAATCAACAATTAGTGTTTCATTTGCTAAGGAGATCGCAACAACGACAGCTGGCGAAAGCAGCGACTTAGAATGTATAGCTAACGTAATATCGTTAACGAATTGTGATGTAAATCGGTATTTTTCATTAGTCGATTAAAGTCTAGCTTTTAAACGCTTTTATGCGACGTGTATAAATTTCACAAAGGCCTATATTAATTATTAAGAGTGTATACAGACGTGTCTCACAATCAGAAACGTCTGCGTATTTGTAAAAATAGTTTTTACATATTATTTGTACTCATAGTTGGAGAGTTCGAATTTGTAAATTATTGCTGTACGCGCTTAGAATTGAAGGTCGCGAGTAAAAGTCCCGGAAGTTGCTTGCACTTCTTAGCCGCCTCGGCGTGAAACTTCGGAGCGCATGGACGACGTCGCCGGGTTGGTCTCTTCAGCAATAATTCAGGCGGGATTTCGCGCAGTTTCGGCACGATCGAAGCGGCATTCAACTTCCTGCGTTCGATGCGAATCTTCTGACGCGCCTCGTAATCCTCTTGCAACCTCGACGCCAGTTGCATCATGTATTTACGATCCGTTAATCGCGCCACGTTACTCCCCATCAACGTCGTCAATCGCAATCTTACGGGGGTGTAGCTAAGCCTAAGATCGATGAACCCTTTTGTCAATGAATCAGAATCCGAAACCATTTTCAAAAATTACATATTATATCGGTAAAATTGGAAAATAATTAATTAGTTGCCGGCGCAATTAAATATCCTCATATAAAAATATTATGTTAAAAATATGTATATTATAAATAATTATATTAGATTAAAAATATTTATATTGAATAATTTATATATTTTTTTAATTAAAAATGTGTCATTGTTCATGTGTTAAAAATGATAAAAAAAATTAGTATCCAGATCTACATTGACAGAAAGATGAATAATTATGTATTGACAGAAGGGTTAATTAACCTACCCGTATTTCACGCAATCCGTTTCCCACCATGTCGGAGGTTCATCGTAAAGATCAACAATTGGCGGAAACATTTTTCTTAATCTATGCACGGTAATTCTTACTTTAAAAAATTAAAATTTTTAACGCGAAATTTAGCAGCCTGATAATTTCGTTCCAAATAAAAATATTTTCTCAAATTTGAGCGTTTTTTGTTGCCCGCCGATCGATATATAAAATTATTGGAGATTTTTCTAAATCCTCTTCAAACTTTTAAGGTGGTTCTGGTGCTTAAAAAATGCAGCCAGCCTCATGTAATTTTAATGTATTGTTCTGCAATGCCTCCTTAAATGTAATATTATTCGTTATTACATTTAAAATTCGTTTGATCTGTTCATTTATATTCGAATCTGGTGTTCATTAAAAAACTTAAAGTCTATAATCTGGCAGACAGATCTTTTCTGTTTAATCGGGCGTAAATAATACCGGACGGCTTATCTACGGGTAGATAAACATCTTTGTTCGGTCCTTTTACGAGATTGGAGAATTTGCTGAAATCCACATCGAAGTAATGCTTATTCGGCATTTGCATCTCGATGCTATAAATCTGAAAAATATTTGTATTACTATATAATATACATACGATATAAAATAAAATAAGGTATAAGATAATTCAATGTATATTCAAAATATATTAGTTATTGTAATTTGAGAATTTTTGCTATTTGGGAAGAAAAGAAATTACGAAATAAAAAACTGATCATATTTACTTGTTGGACTTTATCGAGTATACACTTTTCCGTGAGGTAAAGCGTATTCTGCACACTGGGAGAGTAAATTCCTACGTCCGGAGGGCCCGCAAATTTCTCCATAATACAATCCTTCACCGTGTACCACACATTATCGAAATCCACTTCGGTCGCCGTCGAGAAGTCCCAGCTAGCCATTACAACAGTACTGAAAATACGGTCGTTCATGTCCGGTAACGTGCGGTACTCGTCCTGAATGAAATCCGTGAACGAACTTTGGGTGGTCTTCAACAATCGCAGTCCCTTCAATCCACCGCGAATTCGTGGCGATTCTAGAATTTGAATTAATCGTCATAAAAATGGAAAAAAATCGGCAGATATTTTTTTTAATTAAAGAGGTTTTAAGCGCAACAAACTGGTTTTTAAATTCCTCTCTAATTATTTTCAATGTTTATTCATCCTATTTGCGAGTATTGTTTTCAGTCTTATATTATATATATATATATATATATATATATATACAGGGTAGTCAAAAAGTATCGGACCCCCCTAATATTTCCGTTCCCTTGCATTTTACAAGAAAATGTTTCAGACAAAAGTTGTAGGGTTTAAAAAGATCTATTTACTGATCTTATCAGTTTGACCTTGGATGGCGTCGCCAAGGTCAGATCGAAATTACATTAACTTTTTTAAACGGAACACCTAACTTTTTATTGCATATTCTTGTAGCTTATCTCGAGACCTTTCCAAAACACTACAAGAAAGTTTATTTTTGTTGAGTACTTTCCGAGTTGTGAGGCTTGAAAGCTACAGTGTACTGTAGTGTGGGTCCAGCCAGTTAAGGCAAGAGTGGCGTGTGGGTCCGGCCAGCTGGACCCACACGCCACTCTTGCCTTAACTGGCTGGACACACGCCACACTTGCCTCAACTGGCCGGACCCACACGCCACTCTTGCCTTAACTGGCTGGACACACGCCACACTTGCCTTAACTGGCCGGACCCACACGCCACTCTTGCCTTAACTGGCTGGACCCACACTACAGTACACTGTAGCTTTCAAGCCTCACAACTCGGAAAGTACTCAACGAAAATAAACTTTCTTGTAGTGTTTTGGAAAGGTCTCGAGATAAGCTACAAGAATATGCAATAAAAAGTTAGGTGTTCCGTTTAAAAAGTTAATGTAATTTCGATCTGACCTTGGCGACGCCATCCAAGGTCAAACTGATAAGATCAGTAAATAAATCTTTTTAAACCCTACAACTTTTGTCTGAAACATTTTCTTGTAAAATGCAAGGGAACGGAAATATTGGGGGGGGGTCCGATACTTTTTGACTACCCTGTATATATAATTTATAGTATAATTATATAATACGATATAATATATATTATATAATATAATTAACATAATATATTATATATATAATATATAATATTAATATAATATATATATAATATCAATATATAATATTAATATAATTCTATAATAAAATTTTTAACCAATAATACCCAGATAGCCACAGTAATTATTATGACATCATTTTGATGTCAAAATGCATAATTTTGATGGCAAATGATGCATTTTGACATCAAAATGATGTCATAATAATTACTGTGGCTATTTGGGTATATAATATAAAATTAAATGTGACACACAAATTTGTTCAATATATTTTTTTACAATTAATTATTGATATTTATTAAAATAATTTTTTAAAATAATTTATACCATTTCTGATCTGGCTGACTTGACAGTATCGTGTCGCGGTTGGACTCATGACGAAGGCATGATTGTGAGGCACGTTGTTAACGTAGTGCCTGGTCCAGGGATACTCCTCGACGTTGATGCTGACTTCCGCAACGTGCGGATACGTGTAGAGGAAGTGGGAACAAAGCAGAAGAGCGAACTCCTCGGGCGATTGAATACCATGTTTCTTCGCCATAAGGTAAACCGTGTTCTTCTGGCTGTCCGTCGCGATGATGTCATGATTGTCACCGTTCAGATAATCCTTCTGCGAGATCAGACGCAAATGCGTGTCCACCTCGTATTCGCGAATTTCGTGGTGCAACTCGTCTTCCCGGCGCACATACAATAACTTGACGTTATTCTTACCGTAACCATAAGCGCCTAATTCATATTTCTCCCTAAACGCAAATTCTATTTAATTTTCTCCTCATTTATTTATTACATAATTTTAATTTTTCACCTTTTGCAAACTTATTTTTTTCTTAATATTAAATTTCGCTCGATGCGATGTAGCATGTCATAATAATCTAATTTGTATTTATATATTTAAAAATAGTATTTTTAAATAATAATTATATTATTATATAATAATTTAATAATAATTTTTTTTAATTTTACTTAAATTTAATTTTTTTTGTTAATTTAAATTTTCTATTTTTCCCCAAATTAATTTTCGTACATTAAATCCATTATTTGTGTTCACCTTTATATTTAAATTGATTTCTGTATTAATTATACAAAAAAAAAGAAACATACCTTTTATCTTTGCTCTGCGAAACGGTGAGATTCGGCTCAGCATCTCTCGCAAAACTCAACGAACTGTCAAATGAATACTTATCGTTTTGCATATAAGAGAGCGTTCCTTTATGCGAAGACATTGTTATCGCACACTTTTAAACTCTGTCGTGTGCTAGACGTTGTAAATTACTTCCCGTATATAAGTGAAAAATAAGGAAAAATTACAACCCTGAACAATCCGATTTTCCGTCTTTCGATTTCACTTTTGAAATCGAAACGCTGGGCGAAATTCCATCTTATATATCACGCGCATTATTTTTTTTTCCATCGACTGACAGATTA